CTGGAGCCTCAGGAGAAAGTTTTGCCGATGTTGGAGCTGCCGGAGTTCATCGACGTCTTCGGGGCCAATGAGGTCGACCTCCAACCAGTAGCCAGAGTATTTGAGAGTTTAGGCAACACCTTCTCCTCTGATTTCAACCACACCGTTTGACAACCAACTCTGGCCGCTTCCAATAGTGAAAAAAGCTCGAGCTCTCGGCGCGGCCATGATGCGCAGGTTTGTCGGGACCGTACTACTCTGAGAAAAAAAGATCTCAGCCTTCCTATCAACGTGTTCAAAAACGCAAAGAAGACGAAACGCAAGTCAAAAACTAGCGGCTGCAAATCCTACGGAAAGTGTCTGATGAGAGCTTCGGAGCTGCAGAAGACGTGCCGAAAACCGTCCACAACTACTTATGACACTTGCAGCGAACAACTCGTGCCTCTCTACAAGGTAAAAAAAAACTCCATCTTTCAAATGAATCAAGCATTTTCCAGCTGATTGACGCGGCCGCCGACGAAAAGCAGGAATTTATCGCCCAATGCGTTGGCAACTCGACGATTTCGGTACGTTTTAGTGATAATTTGAGAAGGAAAAAGTTTATTTATTAAAAATATAAATGGTTATTTGGACGCTCTTGTGAGTTCACACTTTGGTTGAGGGTTTAAAGGCGCGGCTTGAAATAACACTTTCAAAAACTCGTCGAAAAATGTATGAAAATTTGGGAAAGGCGAGTTTGTGGAGAGTGTTAATATCATGAATCACCCCAACTAGACAGAAAAATCAGGGTTTGATGTGCAGGAGTCCAAGAAATGCACCGTAACTCCGAAGTCTTGGCGCAACGCCACTTGCGATGATCTTCCACAGCTGGAACTACACTGTCGTGACTTGTCGACCTGCTGTTCCAGTAGAAAAAGGTCCTTTCGACTGAGAATCACTCCGAGAACTTGTACTTTCCCAGATGCGACTTGGAAGCTGCCGGAAATCGCGTCGGGACCCGTTTGCAGCTCCTCGAACGGTCCTTCTCTCTGCGTGCGGCTTCTTGCAAGTTCCGGCACGTCTTCAATCGCCAGATTATCTGACCTTCTTCATTTTCATGTTTCCCTCATCATCTCATTAGTTTGATTGCCATCGAAGCTTTACCGGCTGAAACTTCTCTCACTAGGTGAAATCATATCATTTTTGCTCTGTGTCTTCATTTTTTCTTTTACTTGTCTGTACAGGGATGCGAGTTTTCATGACATTTTGACATTCTAAAACTTATTTATTCAGAATCTATTGCAAAAATCACGTGTTTATTGTGTATTAACTGAAAAGAGAACTGACAAACTTTTAGTTAATAAATTATTCGAATCTCTTTTTTTCATTTGTGAAAAGAATTCGGAACGACAGTATGAAAACTGTACATGTTTGTTTGTTTCTTTCTATAGCTGAAAGCAAATTAAAACTGAGTTTATGAAGTCAGAAGTTGTGATCAGGAATAGTACAGATTATGAATATGATACAGCTATTTTTGTTGCTTTGTGGCTCCACAATTGTCTCCGCTGAGCGTCGCGGTTAAGTAGGAATGCGGTTCGACACGATTTATGACCGATCGAGGAAACGACGAAAATAACCTGCGTCCTTTTTTTTTTAGTTGCGCGTCGCGAAGTTCTTCCTTGTTGTTTTTCGGGTTTCTTGGGTTCGTTCTCAAAGTTTGTCCAAAGAAGTTAGAAACCAAGTCAGAAAAAAATCTGTTTTATTTTCTATAAAGAAAGTTAAGGATCTTTGAACTTCAAACAGTCTGACACTGTTTGGCACTAAATAATAGTAAGCTTTAATTTTTTCGCATTAACAATTGATTCAAAAGAGCTTATTTGAAAAGATTTATATATAAGAAAGTTATTTTTAAAAAATTTAAGGAATTCTTGGCTTTTTTTATACGCAAGACGAATGGCTCAAAGCTTACTGCTGACATCGCAGGAGTTTGCCAAGATGCAATAGAAATTTTAACTGTAACATAATTGAACCCGCTATGATGTTATTGAGAGCCCATTCAAACTTTATAAAGTCTTAAAGTAGCCGCGATTTCGTAAAATGCAGTTCATCGATTTCAAAGCAGACCTCCCGGAGTCGAATCAACGGATGAAGCTTATCTTCGAGCTTTTTTTCCCAGTGTTAACCGCGCAAAGAACGGCCCTAAATGGAAACGAAAACAGTGGCGACAAATGAGTGTCTCGGGCGGCATTCCACGCATTTTCCAAATCGACGTCGTTCAGTTTTTTTTTTCGTTCGGCGGTCCGTCGGCCAGACCACTTTTCTCTTCATCATCGGGGCGTTTATCCGTGGAATGCTATGACGAACAGTCGTTTGGCGAGTGACTGAAAAAAGTGTGGGTTCCACTAACCTTATTAATAAGCAAAGATTTTTTGAAAAAAGCTTCGAAACTTTCTGAAAAATTTCACACTGCAGAGGATCTAGGCTACTTTTGGCTGATAAGCAAATACTTCGGGTTGAACTCCCTCTAGAACAGAACTCTCGAAACATCCTGGCTTTGTTTTTTTCCTCAACTCTATGAAGGATAAGTGTGACGAAAAAAAATATCAGACGGGTCTTCTTTTTCATTCAAGTTTTTTAAAACGAAGGATGAAATTATTTAATATCTGAATTTCGATCTTTTCTCATTTTCTGTGTCCATCTTCCTACCGTTTTAAGTATTCTTTGTGCTTCCTGAAAACAAAAGAGTTTCAATAACAACAAGAAAAAACCAGCAGCTGCAAATCACGAAGCGATTCAAATGCTTCGACGGTCCATAAACAAAACAGTCGAGTTTTTTTTCTTTTCCAAAGCGTTCTCACCTGTGTAATGTAATGTATAGTTGACCCATACCGCAAAAGTTGAGGAAAAAAAACGAGAAAAATGTGTTTTTGAGGGGTCATAATGTAATCGGAGTGATGGATCTTCTGTTTTCCCAAACTTGTCTCGGTTTGGCAACATTTTGCTGGACACTCTCTTCGAGATCATACTGTCACGCAAGGAAGAAGAGAAAGGATTGGAATCTTTTGTTGAGATTTTCGAGTTCTTCGATCTTTAGAAGGCATTTTTCTTGTTATCTCCAGAAGAAGCGAACAACCAACCAAGGCCATTCCGATGACGTCTTCTGTTGCGTGAAACCGAAAAAAGGCGCAAATCCAAGGCCAAGAAGCATTTTTTTGCGGTTCCCAAGAATTTATCTGATCTTAGCCGTGGGGAATCCGTTTGTGGTTGCCGCTAGGACTGCAAAAAGAAAAAAAAGCTGTTTTTTAGTGAAATGCCTTGGTGCCCAAAGAATGAAAAACTAGCTGATATTTTTTTTCAAAAAACAAAGCTTCGAAAAAAACATTCCAAACTTCTAACTTGACAGATTTAATTTCAGGTCTCTCGAATTTGTTCAAGTAGGAACAGACGAACAGTGATCGTTCTAGTTAAGTTCAGACAAACACGCAACATTTCTTACAAATAGTTTGTTTAACGACGTATTTACGGCGTCAATGATATTGCAGGAACGGACCCAAGGGCCGAAAATCATGGCCGAAACAGGATAGGAAAGTTCCGTTCTAACTTCGCCTCATTGTCCACTTTGACTTGTCTGTCATCTAATGGAATTCGAAAGGACATTTTGGGAGCAATTTTAGGTGAAAAGGTTGGATAGTACTCAATTAGAACTTTGATAATTGAGAACCTGCTTCTGATTGAAATCCTTCTTCTTCTTGCAAAAAATAAAACATTGCAGGTCACGAGTCATCGGTTTTACCGTTTCGAATGAAAAACGAGGCTGGAGGACTGTCCAAATGATTGATAATCCGAGAGAAACGACACGGATATATCACGAGATTGCAGCTGATCACATGCAAGTTTTTCATCTACGATCTTCGCACCATTTACGTTTCTCTTGAAGTTTCCAAATAAGAAGTTTAATTTTTGAAGGAATTTGTAAAGGAGAGCATTTCCAGGAATTCTCGAAAGAAAAACAATTTTTCTCCTACATGAATGTTGTCTTATAAGCACGAAAATCACGATAATTCTCTCATAGTCAATAAGTTAATCAAGTCAACCAGCTGAGAAACGATAAAAAATTTCGAAGAAGAAAAAGATTGAAGAGTACTGAAATCCAAATTCGCGACCAAAAATATTCCACAAGTTCAAAACCACACCTTGATGTTTTGAAAAATTTTCTAGCTTGGCATTTTTGTACAATTTTTGTTTCATATTTTTTTCGAGCCAAAAAAGGCAAAAAAAAATTTGAAGTCCTCAGCAAGGATTTTGGACAGGCTATACTCAGATAAAATATTTTGAAGCTATGAAATAGTTAACTAGCCTTTAAAAAAAAAATAAATTTCCTTGGTATTATCATTGATTCACCTATAATTTTTTATTCCGATCTAATAATCCAAATTACAATTTCCACATTGAAAAAGTAGAAAGAAACGCCTCCAGGTCCCACGAAAACTGGCGGCGGCCGAAAAAGGGGGTGGGATGCTGGAGAATTCAAAACAACCGTACCGCCTAGCCCTATAAATACGCTGGTCAAGACGGCAGTTTACCAATCAACTCGTCGACGTCTTCTGTTTCTTTGCATTCTTCCCGATTTTATCAAGGATCAGTTGTATTCTTTGACTAGGGCACATTCTTTGGAATAGGGAATTTCGTTGCCAAAGTTCAAAATTTTATAAAAAACAACTTGTTTTACGGAAAGAATCTCATTTTACGCTTGAGAATCGTGATGAAGAATTTTCTCGAAGTCTTGTTCTGAAAATTTTTCGAATTTCTGATTTCTGAAAAATTTATCTTCTTTCAGTTCTGAAGAAAGCGTTTTGAAGTGGGATTTTAACCAACATCAGAAAAATCTGAAATTTCCTATCTATTCATGTCATTTCTCCTCAAAGCTCAACTGCATACATTCTTTCTCAATTTCCTAAAGCTCTCTTGTGTTTTTCTCATTATTTTTTTCGGAAGATGTTCAGAACTTTTTCAATCTCATCTGCAACAAAAAATGTCTTCAGATGTTGGTTCGAAGCATTTGTCTGGTTTCACTCCTTTCGGTCGCTGTTTTCTGTGCTCCACTGCCTCTGGAAGAACAGTTCAACGTCTTCTCAACAAAGCAGGAGAATCATGGTGAGTCAGAACCGATAAATCAGCCAATTTTCTCCCATCCACCAGCTGATGATAGGACGATCGTTGATCGTCTGCCCAGAAAAGGGCGGAACATGACTTTTAGCCAGTTCTGCCAACTGACATTTTCCTTTGCCATGACCGCAGCTCTTACGCAGCCTAATTAGACAAAAAGGGGCCAATGACTCTTCTAGATGGACAAAATTTATAAGAAGACCTTGTAGAGTTACGTATGAAATTTCGCCAACAAGTTAATATTCTGAAAAAATCATAAAACTTTCAGAACAAAGATTTGTACGCGTGGATGCGAACAAGGATAAAGAAGTGACCTTCAATGAGTTCTTGCACATGGAGTTGGCTTACGTCGAAGCCAAGAAAGAGGAGTTCGACAACCTTGACAAGAACAGTGAGTTAGAAAAAAGGAAGTCATTCAACGTTAATTATTCACAGAGAACGGTAAGATCGAGCTCGCTGAGTACGAGGAGCACTTCCACGAGTCTTCAAGCCGCAGCGAGAAACTTCGCACCAAGTACTTCGCTCAAGTTTTCGAGGTAAGGCAATCAGTTTGAACAAAAAAAAAATGCATGTTTTTTGTGATAAGAAGGGTTAACATCTTTTTCTATTGCTCATTTTCTACACTGATATAAGTTACTTAAGGAAAGTGATAGATTCAGTCTAATCATAAATTGAGCTCCTCACTGTCACATTTATCTTTCGATAACCTATCTATACCCATTTTTTATTTCTTTTACAAGATTTTAGAAATTATCTCCCTTTTTCTAGGACTTTGACGAGGATCTCGACATGGCGCTGAACCAGGAAGAGCTGGAGCGAGTCCTTGCCGAGCGGTTCCTCGTCAAGCCCCGTGAAAACTTCCCCAAGCTCTTCTTCGCCTATGATGCCGACCACAGCGGTGGTCTCGACCTTACTGGTTAGTCCCTTCTTTAAACTTTGGAAATGACCGCTATCTTCTTTCAGAGTACATGAAGTTCGACGCGACTTTCCCATTCGAGCAGACCGACCCAATCGGTGGATCTTCTAGCAAGAAGGAAAAGCTCCCAGGACAGAAATCGGCGCCAGGCAGCCATGCTCAGCCTCCGCCTGCCATGGGTGATGCCGACGCCGCCGCCATCGCTGCCGTCATGGCTCAGGCCAGTCCCACCTTCAACCGGGTTCGTTCTTCGAATAAGGTGACTGAGAATGAGCAATGATTTTCCAGCCAGCCCCAGTCGCTTCGCCTTCTCAGCCAGGACTCCACCCAGTTGCCCCAGGAGCTTCAAGACAGGCCGTTCCAATCAAGAAGCTCTAAATCCACCTTTTCTTAGATATTTCCATTGTATCCCTTTATAATAACCTTCCTCGCTAGCCAAAAAGGCCGGTAGACAGCCTTACTGAAGCTTTCCCCATGCTCAATGGATCGAATATCACCCTTACTGGTATCAAAACACAAGTAGCGCCCTTGTACATACATTTGAAAACATGAAAACTGTACATAACTTTTTTCATAGTGCTGATTCTATGGGTAAACCATTTTCGTCATTACCACGTCCATATCAGAAATAAAACTTTTCTTCGTACCTGAACTGATGCTTCAAATAACAGAAAAAAATTAAGGATATCATGGAAGGATAGAAGTCAAAAGTGATCGATTTCTGAACTTCTGAAAATCATTTTTAAAATTATGCCTCACTTCAAAATCAAAATGTTAAATAATAATTCTTGACAATGAAAAGTTCTCGAAATAGTGAGAGAAAACAAAAGACGTTGTTAAGCATTCTTTTTTTCCTCAAACTCATTTTTTTAATATATAAAGTTTTTCCAAAAAGCTTACTAGTCAGGTTTTTTTAAAAAAACTTTGAAACGAATAGAGTCGTGGAGTGGGAACCTTGGTATTTATCCTTTTCACTTCGAATTTCTGTGAATCTAAATGCAACTAACTCTTAACAGCTGCTTTAATTATCATCAGACATAAAATAAAAATGACTACGTCAATTTAGCTATACCTGATTCCGACCGCAGCGCTACGCCTCGAGCCATTCCAAGTGCGACTCCGGGGTTTTATTTCACCTAGTAGCAAGGAAGACTGGATAAAGTATACCAGGTGTGAAAGTTGAAAAAAAGATATTCGAATAAAGTTTTTTGTTCAAAAAGTTGCAAACGGGTTTGAAAACCGGCTTTAACAATACTCTCACATAAGAACCCTATGATGTCCAGTTCCACCTGATATCGACTTTCCAAGGTTATTGAAGGGACAGCAAACAATTTTGAGTCATAGTCAAAATTTGACAACTTATTTTGATCCTTGTAGTGTTTGATGCGCATGAAAAAGTCAAGTTCCTTGGCTAGACGGTCCACGAGAAAGGAATTTAATGATTTCTGTTTATTTATCAGAAATCTGTTTTGTTATTCTTTCATGTACTTATAAACAAGTGAATTAACTTGGCGAACGGGTAGGTTTAAGAGAAATGTCAAACAGAAATCAGTCGCCTCATCAGAAAGTTGAGACGCCGGTATATAAGATTTTTCCCAGCAAAAAAAAATACTTTCCAAAACCTAAGTCTTGAAATACTTCTTCCTGATAAGTTCGCTCTAATTACTCCTTGTTAATCTTCTCCACTCATAAAAAAATTTGCACATCATCTATTTCTTTTTCAAATACAAGAATCCATTTTTTTCAGTTTGATGTTTTTTTCAGAGAATTGTGATTCAGATCTTCCCTTTTTCGCAAACTTTAGGAAAATAGAGAAGAAAAATGTTTTGTTTAATCAAATGTACAACAGAACGATTCTTAAATTTTTAAAAAGTTTCAATTTTTTGCTCTCGCCAAAAGAAATAATTGGTTTTTCGAACACCGTGCGTGACTGACGTTTTTCCTGTCAAAAGAACAGTCTTTTTGAAAACATATAACTTTTTCCAAACCCGAAAACGCCCATTTCTGGTGTTTGAAAATATAAATAAAACGGTTTTTACGGCGGTTCAGCCCCTCTTTTTTGTTCAGCGAACTCTCTATCTTCAAGTAATTGAGATTACGCGGAAGTTTCCCGTAGATTCATCTTTCAAGGTCTCAGATACTATTCAAAAGATGGACTTAACCTATCTCACGACGTTTCTCAGTGTTTGCCTTGTCGGTTTTTGCTGTTTTCCACTTTTTTAATTGTGAAAATATTTATGGAAAATCGTACCTGATATCATGGATAAATAGAAATCAGAAGATGGGCGAAAAAATTTCGAAGAGAAGTCTACACACCTTTTTTGTAATCTTTTTTTGCAACTTTGGTTTCCAATTCTTTCATCTATTTTCTAAGAGAAGCTCTTGATAACCCACAAATTGAGAGATTTTCCTGGAGATCGATCAATCTCAATACTTCCGATACCTTCGAATATTGCTCATTTTATTGCTTAGTAGAATTTGAAAACACTTTTTTTGGATTTAGCAGAAAATCGCCGCTTTTTCTTTCACAAAAACGCTCAAGGTGATACAAAAAAAGCTGATGAAGTCGAGATTTAAGAAGAAAATAAAACAAATCGAAATGCTTTTATGAAATGAATTTTTTTAATTCTTTTTGTTTAAATGAATTTTTTTGGAAACAACCCTGTTTGAAAAAAATAGTTTCAACACAATTTTTTTATCAATTTTTTTCTGGTAAACAAAACGGATAAATTTGTTATTTTATTATTCAGAATTTCCTAATAATTTACTTAAGTGAAAAAAGATACAAAAGCGGATTAAGTGACCGTCAAACAAAACGAGAAAGTTGAAGCGCCGCCCCCTTTTTTCGATGATTTCTCACATAAAACGCGTTTTCCTTTTGTTACCCTCGTGTACATGCATACCAGTTGAAAGCACTGTTCATTTTTTGTCACCAGGCCTGAAAACTTCGTCTTTTTTCAACCTTTGTCACGACACGGTGTTGTTATTCCCGCGCTTTGCATGAATTATTTCCCTCGTAGGTTTTTGTTCGTGATAACTTTGACACTGTTACAGTCAACGACCTTCAGTTCTTGGTTTTCTTTTTTTTTTCGCCTCACTAAAGCGATGATCACAATTTTTGGCCCTTTTAGTTCTATTAGCTTGACGATTTACCCATTTGCAGCAAGACTGTTTTCTAAACTGGTATTTTGAAAAGTGGACAAAAAGGTATTTGAGTTAAAAGTTTTTTTTAATAAAAATATGAACAAATAAAGCATTTCGAAGAAAAAGTTTCAAAGATTTTACTGGGGACTCAAGTCAAGTTCAACAATAAAATAGTTTAGGGTGGGTTCAAAAAATTTCTTTTAAAATCCTCGACATATCAGAACTCTTTTACTAGGTTCGCGAAACGCAGCATTGTCACAATATTTTCTAAAGTGTCAAACTAACGCTTCATTCGACTTTGAACGAGAATTCGATCAAATCACACATATTCCACCGATTCCCACGCTTTTTCAAAAGTTCACTGTCGCCGCCGAAAATGGCAAATCAAGAACGCGACAGTGTCCCTTCCCTCGACCGCAATTATTGTAACAACGGCAATTTTTCATGGTCGACACGGCATAGGCGGCGGCGCGTTCCCGTGAAACGTCTGATTCAAAACCTGATCTCTTGCGCAGATATCACAAAAGTTGTCATGTGTACTTCGCACTTTCGATCCTTCTCAACTTCAGTGTAAACTGTATTTAACAACGTTTTTTTCAGCTTTCTGATGGGCGCCAAAACTTTTTACCACGCTTTGTTCCGCAAAAAACACTTTGATGGTGAGTTCAACCAATTGGTTTGAAAATTTGCCAAAAAAAAAACGGGAAGGTAATTAATGGCATCATTGCTTAAAAGATAGACATAAAAATAAACGTGTTGAAATTCAGCAAAAAGAAAAGACATGAAAATAAGTTAAGAAGAAAATAAAACTGTTCAAGCAATTGGTTTGAAAATTCAGCTTTGACTCACCTACTCCGATGTAGTAGTTCATGAGGTAGTTCACTCAGCGTTCGCGTCGAGCCATTCGGAGTATCATACTCCTGTTTTTGGCTTCGGCGTTAAAGCAACTGAAAAAAAGTGTTTGTTGAAAGAAGCGTGAAAATGGTTTTGAAGCGGTGAACCACTCTCCATTTCATTATCATTCATGAAAGAATTTCGCGTCTTTAGACATATCGACAAGAAAATTCAATCAGACTATACCAAAAACTTGGAAAAACTAATAAAACAAAAACAATTTAAAAAATTTTGAAACTTTCATCTACACCCCTCGTATGGTTTGATGTTTTGTACGTATTGCACGCTTTGCATTCGAACCCACGCGCGAAATGTGATTTTTAGATTCATTCTTTATTATTTTTGAGAGTTCAAAGTTAAAATCCACCTTATTAGGGCACAGGTTCTTGAAAAACATTCATGATTAATGAGCTTCTGCGGTGTTATTTCTCATGTTTCAATTAGAAAAATTCACATTTTCTTCAGAGAAATTAAGCGTTTAGAATTCAGAAGACTCGTCGTTGGCTTCAAAGTTGAAAAGATGTCTGTCAGTATTCGACATAATGTTCATTGCCATCGGGCACATGATCGGCGCTGGAATATATATGCTAGCAGGTAAATCTGGTTTTTTAAACAAATTTTCGACCAGAAGTTGAGCTTTTTTTATACAGCTGCATTCAACTTTTTCCAGGAAAGGTAGCCAAAGATGAAGCCGGCCCCGGTATAATTCTCTCTTTTACTTTTGCTGGGGTAGCAGCGCTTCTTTCGGCTTTCAGCTATGCTGAATTTGGAGCAAGGTTAGATGGAATTCCGTGATCCACTATTTTCTTTCGATGTTAACGTATTTCTGAAGAACTATTGATCGTAAATTCAAAAAGTTACAATGTTGACATAACGGATCGTTAAATGGTGTTTTGAGCTGTTGGGATTACCGTTTGGGCGGATTTAATCGTTCGAATAGAACTGGTTGTTTGTTTTTTCGCTTTCTCCGAAAAATAGTGACTGAAAACAAGTGCGACCTAGAAATCGTTTTTTCAAAAGTTTCTAGTATATTGTTCTTTACCACCAAGATAACTCGTGATTTTTCAAAAAAAAAAGGCTAGAAAAAGACGTTTCAACTTTTGAAGCCAGAGTTGGATCAGTTAAACTTCAGCTATAGTCATGAATACAGATTTTATCTAACTTTTTCCCGTTTCACATCGTTCGGAACGAAAACGGAAAATCGAAAAAAAAAATGTTTTGATTATAATTTTATCAGAGTTCAAAATAAATGTTTAGATACCCAAGAGCTGGTAGTGCCTACACGTACACTTACGTCGGCGTCGGCGAGCTCTGGGCCTTCGTGATTGGCTGGACTGTCCCCCTAGAATATATGATCGGAAATGCAGGTGACTTCCGTTTTTATTTTTCCATAACCTTTTGCCAGCCGTGGCGCGAGCCTGGTCCTCCTACTTTGACAAATTGTTTGGCTACCCGGTTAGGAACTTCACACTAAACACCGTCGGACACCTCAGCACGGTTGGCTGCTCTGCCGTGTCTAACTGGGTTCTCATTTTCAGAACAGCGAGTTCTTCTCCGACTACCCCGATTTCCTGGCCTTCATTCTTCTGATTCTCGTGGCGATCGCCGTCTCCATCGGATCGAAGGCTTCAGCGAACTTGAACACCGGCTTTGTTTGTCTCAATGTCTTGGTAGGTAGAAAAGAAACTTCGATTGGTACTACATTTGGAACTTCAGGTGCTTCTGTTTGTAATTGTCAGTGGATTACGGTACGCCGACTTTTCCCTGTGGTCAGGAACTGATGAGAACGGAAGATCCAAGTTCTTGCCTTATGGAGTTTCCGGAGCTCTTGCCGGCGCTTCCAACTGCTTTTTTGCCTACATCGGGTTCGAAGCCCTCGCCACGGCCGGAGAAGAAGCCAAAAGTAATTTTTTTTTAATAAAAAAAGTTTTTTTAAGCTTATGCTTGGTGGCCATCAGAAATGGGAAAGTTTCGCTTTTTTGTTAAATTTTTCTATATTTTAGAACTTGCTCTAGCTGAAAATGAAGCGAAGGTGGAAAAATTTCAAAAACAATATAATTCTGCAATCTTTTTTGATATTTTTAGTTCACTTAGAAAAAAAGTCAATGTTCAGACCCGCGAAGGACAATTCCAATCGCGACTTTTTCATCTTTGGCCATCATCACCGTCCTGTACATTCTGATGGGCTCCACGCTTACCTTGATGATTCCATATTACCAGGTGAGATTGCACAAAGTTATAATTATCTAAAAGGTGATTGAAGATTGACGTGGGCGCGGCCTATGCTTCGGCCTTTGAAATGAAAGGGGCCAAAGTGGCTGGGACCATAATGTCTATCGGAGCTCTCGCTGGGATGATCAACAATTTGGTTAGAGGGAATCCCGACGAAGGATAATCATTTTTCGATTTTCCAGATCACAGGCTCTTTCGCTCTTCCGCGCGGAGTCTACGCCATGGCGGACGACGGCTTGATTTTCTCCTTTTTCGCAAAAATCAACAGCGTAACGAAGGCGAGTATCAACATATAATGAACTTTTTAATCTTATTCTCAAATTTAAGACGCCACTGAACGCCACAATTGTCTTCACCTTTCTGAACGCTCTTCTGGCTCTGGTTTTCGATTTGGAAGCGCTGGTGGGTCTATTCCAATATAATTTGAAATGTTTCGCTTTCCAGGTTGAATTCTTGTCGATCGGAACTCTGCTCGCCTACTCGATGGTCACCGCCTGTGTCCTGATCCTCCGTTACCAGTCAGCTCCAATCAACGGAAACGAGCAGCAACATGATAATGGTGAGACCATTTTTCTGTTGTTGATCATGAACTTTCTCAGGGGGAACCCTTCGTTCCTGGGTGCCGTTCCGCAAGTTCTGGGAAGACAAACCAGCGGGGCTTTCGATCAAATTCGCAGTGGTCACGCTTATTTTCGGATACGTTTGGATTGCTCTCGCGGTTCGATTAGGTCTGTCGGACGGAATTTGGTTTATAATAGAGACATATCTCGCAGGCCTCCTGAACACTCCCTGGGGCATCATAATGGTTTCAATCGGAGCGGTCATCAGCCTGTTGATGTTCCTATTTATACTGGGACATCAACAGAACACTCTCAGTACCTATTTCAAGGTTTCAGGAAGTTTGAAAACACAGAAACGGGAATCTTGTTCAAGGTGCCTTTGGTTCCGTTCATCCCATGCATCGGACTTTTGATCAACGTCTTCATGATGGTCTATCTGAACTATCTCACCTGGATTCGGCTCTTCATTTGGCTGGCTGTCGGTTAGTTCGAAGACTTTTCGATTATTATAGGAATGAACAGGGAAGAATCTATTTTTAGGAGTTCTAATCTACTTCGGCTACGGCATCCGCCACAGCAAAGAGGCTCGTCGCGGCGTCTTTTCCGTAGACATTCCACAGCCGAGGAACACCAAAGAGTAACTTTCTCCTTTCCTTTCCTTTCCTTCAAATTTCAGCTTTACTGGTTGTTTTCATGACTTTTAGCTTCTAGTCCCACTCTATGGATCTCGTCTTTCCACTCTATTTATTCTTGAAGTTTAGTTTGGTTTTTTTTTGCCTGGACACAAGTTCCACATCTTAGACAACGTGTAGAAATATTTGTTTTTTGAAGGTTGCTATGAAAGTAACAGCATGCATATCAATGTGATAAAAATGTACATAATTTGATTTAGATACGCGTTTTTTGGAGACCAAAAACAAAACCAAAAATAATGATATTTTTAGTTTTTGAAAGGGGTTTTTTTTATGAAGAAATTTTGAATTCGGGAATAATCTGTAAACTTTATGCCAAAAAAAAAAGTCTTTGGAATTGGATCGAATAGGTTTTTATAATTGGTTTTTGGTGTTCTTTTTGAAAACGAGTTTTCGAGTGATCCTGGTTCTAGGATGGAAAGGCAATTTCAGCGGTCCGGAGGTTGTAAAAAAAAAGTATAATGCGAGAGAAAAGGAGTGCATGAACCAAAAATTAAAAAACACTTTTCTAAGTTTCTCATTTTTTTTCAGGTATTTTAATTTCTTTTTCTGAATTTTTTCTCGAGCCAAGTCCAACAAAACTTGATACTGAAAAAAAAAACTTCAGTTTGATATCTTTTGAAACTAAAAATGAGACGTTTCTAAATCTTCAAAGAAAAATAATTGAAAGGAAAAATAAAAGGAGAAATGTTCGTCATCTGACTTGAAAGCTTTCTAGCTTGTCTGAACTCTCTCCTCTCCATTATTCGGTCATCAAAAATAGAAACAGCTCGTAGAAACAGGAGCTCACCAAAGAGATAGAGAGAGCTCAGAAAAATAAAATTCGCGCTGAATGAAAAATCAATATCACAAAAATTCTATCTTATATTTTTTTCAAAATAGATAACAAAATTGGTGAAAAGAGTGCGAAATTTTTGTAAAAAAAGTTTTCAAGTTACTTTTTTTAGCGGCATCGAAATAAAAAAACGGAAGAACTCTAGACAAAAATGGAGATGTTCCTGTAGTTGTCAAGTAGCGGCGCTCTTTTTTTGGTTCCAGAATGGCCGGACAATGAAGGAAATCGCGTCGATACATCGGAAGATGGGCCGAATTGGCCCCGGCCAACGGCCATATTAGAGGGAAGAATATCGTCGCGTTCCTTCTCAGTTTCAATTTCAATTCGCGCGCCTCCCTCCGTTCTCCCTTCTTTGTCCTGTTTCCCTGTCTTTTCCATGGATTTTCCGCCGTAGATGGCACTATCTAATTTTTTAACTTTACTGGGATGAAAAGTATTGGGAAAATAAGTAGTTTTGATAATTTGGATCTCTCAGGCTGAGTACAGTTATAAAAGTCAAATTAAAGAGCTTGAAGGCCAATAAAATATAAAGACGATCTCAATTTTTTGAATGCTCTTTTAGAGAAGATTCATGTTAAACATCGTTCATGGATTCCGATAGAAATTTTTTTTGAGCGCTTAAAAATTATCACTAAGAATGAGAACTTATAAGCTATGTAAATATGAAGTAATAAAGTGTTTTTAACAAATTAGAACCAGTAAGAAGCATTCTCAACCGAAAAATCAGTAGATTATCCAAAAAACTTTTTTTTTAAATTACTACGATCATTAATAAAAATTCAGATTCATTTGCTATATTTTTTATAGAGTAAATCTAAGAAATTAGGAGGATAACCTTTTCGAAGAACTTCGTAGAAGTACCTGCTTCTAATCAACTAGCACTGATTTTCATTTTGAAAAACAAACTTGCTGGAATTTAGTCATTTCCAACGAGATTCCGAATCTTTTTACGAGCCGTAAACTTTTTTGCATGTTAACCTATATTTTTAATGTTTTACGCTCTCTCATTTTCTCACAAAGATTCTTGTCTGCCCGGAACTGGTCTACTCGAATCGCCCTTTATCACATTTCCAAAAGAGATTTTCAGGCAATAGCTTTTATGGCGTGAAAATAATTATCTGTCGGCTTCCCCTCCAGAAAGTTGGGCCTTTTAACTTTTTCCTTTCTCAGGGAAGCTTCATTTTCCCATTCGCTTCGTAATTTTCCATGCGAGAAAACATTTTTTGAGCCGCATAATTCAAGTATTATCCACAGAAAAAGATGCAAAATCGCATGTGAGTAGGTGTTTCGCTACTTTTTTGCTGTTGGGTGACACCAATATATTTTTTTTGTTTTTTTTTCGGGAACTTTTTTTAAAACGCTTTCTGACTAGTGAGACCATTTTTTCATTTGTCCGGCAGATCATCGCTTCGAGACCCACACATTTCCGATCACCACCTTCGAAAAGATAATTGGCTTTAAATTTTATTGCTTTCAAGCAATTTTGTACGAATTTTTCCTTCTCCTTTATAACTAAACAAACAGAGGCGTTGATTTCTCAAAGTTTTTATCACTTCGAAAGGAGTGGCAAGTCAGAGGGAACACTAGACGTCGTCGAAATCGGAAGCGCCGACGACAAAAACCCACGAAAAAATGCGCCACGAGTGAAAATTTACGATTCGTCGACGCGCCTTTCCTTCGTTCCTATGAACAATCACACGGTGTCGTCGAAACTTTTCTCCATCCTTGTTATTTGTCTTCTTTATCAATAACTTTATTTGGCCTGATTTTCCAAGTATTTCTAGCCAAATTTCGATGAATCAGTTGTTTGAATAATGAATAAAATCGTGCATTTTCGGAAGTATGTTCTGACGCTTTCATAGGCTTTTTTTGATTATCACGTGATCCGACAGGCTGTTCTGAGAATTTTTCAAATGTCTCAGGAGACAAATCACGAAAAATACTAAAATTGTTTTAACGTTCTAACGAAATTAATTTTTTCGAAAATGAGCTTCTAGAAGCTCTGAACCTCATTTCAAGCAAATGAGTTCAAAATATATTTTATGACTGGGAAATTTTTGAATCTTGAAGCGATTATCTATTTGACACATCTTACGCCTTCAAAGGCCTCATAAAAATGAAAAATGTGGTCCTGGGGTTTTCCAAAACTTTATTACTTCAGGAAATGTCCTCGATTCCCATTCACTCTGTGAATATATGTTTTCCTATAGCTTGTTGAATGCTCAGAAAACTCAAAAAATGCAGATGACTTTTGAGAATTCTCAAAAATGCTACAAGGAACTGGTGTCAAGCCGACGCTCATGTTTGTTATGTACGAGAAACCTGCAAGAAACCTCTTTTTACAGCAGAAACCACCAAAAAAGGAATGCCAACAATACGAAAGAAGAGAAATTAGTCGTTTCCGCTTTCAATATTTCTAAAGAGCGTTGCTTTTTGTTGGAAAGGCCAGTAATTCAATTTTTCTCATAGCATTTGTTCGAATCGTTCCATAGAATGAAGTGAGAAAAAAAAACTGAGAAAAGAAAACATTTTGAAGGGTTTTGGCATGACATGAGTCGCATCGAATTGAAGATGGGCCGATCAAAAAGGCAAGAATTTCTCACGCCAATCTCTTTTTCTACTTATTCTTCTAGTTTCCGAAAATATTGTTCAGCCACTTTTTTTTACGATTTTGCGCCACGTTTAATGCGTTCCCTGCGTCAGAAGCTTCTTTTCAGCCGACTTTGTATGTTTTCAAGGAAAGTTTTCACTCTCAAATCCTTGCTTTTCCTGCTGAAACTTAAAACTTCCGACTTTTTTTAATATGAAATACGCGTCATAAATATGAATTTTCTACTTTTTTTCAATTTTTCTTAGTTTTTGATGAGGTTCACTTTAAACTCCAAAGTTTGATCAAGTTTCCGCACTCCGAAATTTTCTTCTTTGATTTATTGGTTTCCTTTTACTGTAACGGTCACACTCAAACATTGAATGATAAGGAAACGTTAAATAAACCTTCCGATCCAGGTTCTTCTCTGAACATTTTTCTCTTTTTTTCATTAAAAAAATTAATCTTTTAACTCTAAGTTTTTTCTGTCTCGCGTGGGTCCTTTGCTACAACCGGAACAATAAAGTTTTGCGAGGAAAATTGGCCAATTTTTGATTGACCCGACTATTTCCCGTTTTCACCATTTTTATACACTCTTCATTTTTTTTAGATATTGTGAACTATTTATCGTCAATTTAAATTTCGATATTTCAGGTTTTGAAATAGGCTAAAGTTTCATGTCGTTGTTAAAGGCGATCAGTCGCAAGAAAAAATTGGAAGGTTGGATTTCAGAATGCACAGAATAAGTCTAAACTGGCGATTTCAGAAGCGGCGTCGTTGGACTCGAATCTGCGGAGATGTCTCGGCCTGTTCGACATCACCTTCTTGGCTTTGGGCCAGATGATGGGCGCCGGAATCTACGTCCTCACGGGTTAACCCGAACTCGACAGCTTCAATTAATTAGGGAGGAAGTTCAGGCACGGTGGTCCGAAATATGGCGGGACCGTCAATCATATTCTCTTTCTTATTGGCAGGAGCGGCAGCTCTTCTGTCTGCTTTCAGTTATGCCGAGTTCGGAGCCAGGTTTATTCTATTTTAAAGGAACGGGAGTCTCTCCTGAATTCAAGCTTTATCAAATTCAATTATTGGCCTCAAAAAGTTTTCTACTTCTTTCAATTTTCAAAAAGAAGTGTTTTGTGACGAAATGTGTCGATTGAAGGTTCCCAAGAGCTGGTAGCGCCTACACATACACCTACGTCGGACTTGGTGAGCTGTGGGCCTTCGTCGTCGGTTGGACCATTCTCCTGGAGTACATGATTGGGAACGCAGGTTTCCACGAGTCATGAAAAACTCTTGATCCTCTTTTTAAAGCTGTCGCCCGCTCCTGGTCGGCCTATTTTGATACTCTAGTGGACAATCAGGTTGAGAACATGACCGTCGGAGCCTTCGGCGAATTTAACACGGTTTTTTCCCCTTCAATCTCCGATTTCACTGAAGATAATTCAGGCCGGAGGCTTTTTCTCGAGATACCCAGACTTTCTAGCTTGCGCTCTTATACTCCTGGTTTCCGTGGCTATTTCTTTGGGCTCACGAATCTCTTCCAATGTCAACTCGACCTTTGTCATTTTGAACATTGTTGTGAGTTCTATCGATTATTTCTATCGGAAAAATAACTTTGAAGGTGGTATCGATTGTCGTGATCTGCGGAGCGACCTACGCGGACTTCAGTCTGTGGACGGGCACCGTTCCGAACGGAAACTACAGGTTCATGCCTTTCGGGGTCGAAGGAATGCTTTCCGGGGCTGCCACCTGCTTTTTCTCCTACATTGGTTTCGAAATGCTGGCCACGACTGGGGAAGAAGTGAAAGGTGAGCATTTTTGCAAGGTGATTGGAAAATGAGAGCCTAGAACCTCGGAAAACCATCCCACGAGCCACTTTTCTGTGCATCAGCGTCGTGGCGACCATCTACATTCTCATGTCTTCCACCCTCACTTTGATGCTTCCTTATGAAGACGTGAGTCTCAAGAAACTCCCTACGAGGAAAGTTCTTCTGGTGCGAAGTTTGGAATTTTCCAAGATTTTGTGAATGGCTTTCTGGAAAAAAATTCTTTTTTTTTAGTAGATAGGCAAACTTTTTTTTCTTGGGATTTGAATTTTGAAAGTAGACGTTCAACACAAAATCAGGCTTAAAACCAATACTATCCAATTTCGAAAAATCATATCTCTAAAACTAGAAGTTTCCGCAGCTATGAGGAAGCTTCATCTAGACTTTTGATTAATAAGGAGACAAAGTTTATTTAGAAAAATCCTCTTTTTACTTCAAAAAAATATCCAAACTTGTGAGTGACGGAAAACACCGCAGGTGCATCCGAGGGCTCCATTCGCCGAAGCTTTCGACGCCAAAGGAGCCACCGTCGTGAGGTACATCATTACGGCTGGCGCTCTGGCCGGAATGAGCAACAACTTGGTGAGTTTCCCGAGCATAGGACCGGGCAAAGAAACATTGTAAATTGATTATTTTAAGTTAGAAGGAATTCTCAGATCACCAATTTTTAATAATAACGTATAAAACAACGCGCATTGAAACTTTTAACGACAAAACTTTGAAAAAAATCAAAAAAATTATCTACGGTTCAAATCCTGAATTTGGCGGTATCAGTGGAGCGCAACAAGTACATGATTATTCTGCCACCGAGTGGAGAAATATGCGAGGCTCGTTTTCTGTGGCAATTTTTGCTAGCTCGTTTTCGCCGTTTTTCATGAACTCAATTTTTCCCTACTTTTCTTTGTTTCAGGTAGCAGGAGTCTTCTCCCTTCCTCGTTCTGTCTACGCGATGGCGGACGATGGTCTTCTATTCAAATTTCTCGCTCAAGTCAATAAGAAAACTCAGGTTTTTCATAATAAATTATTTTCTGCGTTTTTTTTCCTCGTGGAGTGGAAAAGAGAGCATCTTTTGAACTCAAGTTGATTCCACTGAAGAAACTCATTGAAGGTCCCTTTGAATGCGATCATCGTGTTCACACTGCTCAACGCGATTCTCACGCTTGTCTTCGACATTGATTCCTTGGTATATTATCAGTTTTTATCCTGACAAGTCCCGGAGTGTTCAGGTAGAGTTCCTGTCGATCGGGACTCTCTTCGCCTACTCCATCGTCTCCGCCTGTGTTCTCATCCTCCGATACCAACCGGCGCCTATAGGCAACGACTACAAAAGACTTGACAACGGTGAACTACTTGTATTCCTTCTCAATGAAACTCTGAACAGGAGGCACGCTTCGCGCCTGGATTCCGTTCCGAAATTTCTGGGAGTCTTTGCCGGCTGGCGGCTCGATTTCCATTGGCGTCGCCTTGCTCGTCTCGAGTTTCTTTTCCTTCATCTTCGCTTTGAAATTAGGTAACCTTTCTCCTACTCTATTCACTAAGAAACGAAAAATTATAGCTTGTCTGAGCTCTTTTTTCTTTTTTCGTTCACATGTGTGTTAAACTATCTGAAAATGCGCAGAAAACCAGAAACTTGGTCTCCCTGTCGTCAAAAATTGCTTCAGAACTTTATGGATCTGTTGTGGGCATGCTCCTTCTTTCGCTGAACCTCCTGGTGATAGTTCTTCTGATGCTTTTCATCTTGGGGCACGAACAAAATTCTCTTGAACTCAACTTCAAGGCAAGTTTCCTATGATCGGACTTCCAATGAAGATGTCACAGGTTCCCTTTGTTCCTTTCATGCCGTGTCTGAGCCTGTTGGTCAACGTCGCCATGATGGCTCATCTTTCGTATCTGACTTGGATCCGGCTCTTCATATGGATGGCAATCGGTGACCTTTTTTTCTCGTTCGTTCAAGAGTTTCTTCTTCAGGTCTGATCATCTACTTTGCCTACGGCATCAGACACAGCAAAGAGGCCCGGAGACTGACGACCATAGCCGACATGAGAATGTCCTCGACGTTCAGCCACCGCAACACTCTCAAGCAGTGATTTCTCTCCCCCTTTCTATTTTCAAAACTCGGTGCTTTTCCAGTTTTAAACTTTACGAGTAATTTTATAGCATTCCAAATGAGATTAGGAACCAATGGAACAATTTTACCATTTCTGTGCCTATTTACTTTACTAGTCTTTCATGTACAATGATCTCATGTCGTCCAAAAGATAATAAATCAGTTGATGAGCTTTTTCTCGCAATAAATGATGGCTGGGAAGTTGTGTGACTACGTAAGATCCGTTGAAAAATAGAATATGCTATAGTTTTACGATTCAAGAGGAATAAGGTTATCGAAAGAGTCCGACAAATGAGGCGAAAATTCCGAGAGAGGGAAGATCCGAATTTCAAGCTTCGATTCGTCCGAGTGCGCAGATTTGACACGAAAGCAAACAGAAACGGCTCATTGTGCCTTTTTTTCTGCACACCGTCGGACTCTCTTTTCTCACTCTTTCTCTAAAAGTTTGTTATGTCGGCCGATGATTCACAAAAGAACTATTTTGTGAAGTTTTTCTGGAGAAACCATGTCGAGGCTAGGTTTCTACATTTTGCCTTGATGGCGTCCAAGCAGAAGCATCCAATAATCGATTCTTAGCCTGGTTCTCCGTTATATCTAGGGACCGCAGACCAATTTTCAAAAAATTTTTTTCAGCATTGAGCTTTGTATGGTTTGATAGCTGTTTCGATTCAAAACTCAGAACCGTTTAGTTTTTCGAAAAAGATTGAGGATGAAAAAAGTTATGACGAAAAATGTGGCGCGCCGCGCACCATTTTTTTAGTACTGAAATTTTTGGTATTATCCATTTTGACATTTTTTTCTCGATTTTTTTCTTCTAGAACAAGTTTTTGATACTGGTCTATTATGATGTAACAAATCATAATAGAGTGCTAAAATGATGCTCATCAGCTAGTTTGCCGAAAAAGTCGGTATTTTTCCAGAAAACAAAAAAACTGACGCTTGCGGGCATCGAACTCGCGACCTCAAAATGAAAAAAATCGCAGCGCACGCGCTGCGCCAAGCTGCTAGGTCTAGCAAGGGGAGCTTCCATCCGCCTTACCCTTGAGCCGTTTAGATAGCACAGATTGCCTATTTCAAAAAAATAAAAAAACTTGAAGTAATTCAGCTATTTTTTTATCAGAATATGTTCGCAAATCTTTACTCAAACTTTCCGTGAAAAATTCACTTCGAAAAAAACTGTTTTTTTAGTGCTTTTTTTCCTCGTTTAACGATCGCTGCCTTAAAACGGCCCCGTAAATTTTTTTGGCAAAGACGAATTTTTTTATTTTTATTCTTTTAATTGAAAGATTTTTTTCACTAATAAATGTATATAATCGTTTAAAAAAACCTGCGTTCGGCCGCTTTCTGTGTGATAAACGCCGCTAATTTTATTCTCTAGTTTCAAGAGCATTTTTTTGCGTATTAAACAACTATTTCAAGCACAGATACTGTGAAGAAAAAAAATTCAAGTAAGGCCATGATCTAAATTTTTTTAAAAAAACAAAAAAACTTGATTATATTCGCTTATTAACGATATTTTTGAATTATGACTTTCGGCGCTCCCTAAAATTTTTTTGGCAAAGACGAATTTTTTTATTTTATTGTTTTAAAATTTTTCGTTACTTGAATCAAAAATCATTATTTAAAAAAAGAAAGAGTGCGTTCGACCTGAAAAACACATGAAAAAAAGCAAAAAAATGACAAAATTTTTTTAGTTCCATTCACGTTTTTTTGTACGACATTCCGCGAGAACGCATCAAAAAAAGCGTGAAATATTTTTTTAAACGAAAGAGGAAGCTTTTTCTGTACATGTGTGTCAAATTTTATTCGCCAGTTCCACATATTTTGCAACTACAACAAAATGAAAGTTGAAAACCAAAAAAAAGCCACTTTTTCTATCGCGAAAAGGGGCGTGGCTTTGCGGTCCCTAGTTATATCTCTGAGGAACTGAGAAGAAGAAAAAAAAAATCAAAAAATTCAATCATCGTCTAGAAGGAGCAACTGTTCCGACCCGGTCAAAATTGAACGAGAAAATTTCGTTTTTCCAACAAGCCTTCGTTTTTCAGCTTTTCTGAATAGGCTGCTGGAAATTCTCACTCTATTCATCTTCATTTGGGCCAACTTAATGGCTCTTTCGCGTTATTTTGGGCTTTTGGCCGTGCGCCGCCATCCAACGGCTCTCAAATCGATTCCCCCACCGCTTCTTCTTCTTCTTTTTCTTCTTCCTTTGCCTTTTATGTGTAGAATATTTTAGCTTTCAGCTTCATGTTTTTTTTTTCTGCAACCGCTATTCATCTTCCAGAAAATAATTAAATTTTTCTCCATTTTTTTCCTGACTTGGACAATTTTAAACGCTCAGATTGAAGAAATATGTCAAAGCCAGGCGTCTCTCAGGTTTTATCTTCCATTTCTCTTGAATTTATGGTTACGGCTTTTGCTATCCTCACTTTCCTTCACACGGTTCAAAGCAATCCCAGCTGGGGTTTTGGTCCTTTTACTTTTAATAGTTTTTTGGCAAAAAGCTGTAGGGTTTGAAAATTTCAGCGTTATCTTTGAAGTCCACGGGGTTGGTTTTTGACTTATGACTTCAGAACTTTCTCAAATTTGGATGAAAAATGTGTTGATAAAGATCCTCAGGTTCTCAAAATGGCGAAACTGCTGGTTTATTGAAAAATGCAAGTTCGTTTGTCGGCTGGAGTTTCCGGAACCTTTGTTCTTACAAAAAAAAGGAAACTTCGCAAGCTGACCAAGGTTTCAAAATATATATGATTTCCTTTATGAGTTTTAACTTTTTTTTTGAAATTTTTCAGACATAAATGAGTTTTACTTCATTTTCTTTTCATTTTCTTTTCATCGCGAATAGTTTAAAAATTTTTTGCTTCAAATAGAAAAATTCGAGCTGCTTGAAGAAAAAAAAAAGCTAGTTTCATCCGATCTGTGCGCTTTTGAAAGCTAAGAAATCCATCAAATGAGTGTGCGACTAGAAAATTGGGCCAATCGGAAAGGCCATTTCCTTTGATTGCTCGCGGAGCCAACTAAAATACTTTCAACGAAAATATTAACTTTCGGACGTTTCTCTCTAGTTCGTATTCGGTTCGGCTAAGCGAAATTTACCCGACGAGAATTCATCCATAATTCCGCCGGGCGGGCCTTCTCTTTTCACCAATTTCCTGTCATTTTGCCTAGGGGCCTAGGCTCATCCATTTATAACACTAATACGCTTTTTTTCATGGAGCGCTTTTCGGCTTTCATATCCTTTTTGAGTTTATCGATCGGCTGTCTATAATTCTAGAAACGTTTTTATCGGTTTTCCAGTCTTGGAAGTTTTTAGCTTTTGCAATTCTAGGAATATGTACTAAAATCTGGAAAACATCGAAATGAGGCTGTGGAATCTGCGAGAAAGATGTTTCCGGCTGAAAAACTTGCCAGCCGGAGAGCTGACGACGCCCCTCCGAAGATGTCTTTCCACCTTCGACATCACTCTTCTCGGAGTCGGTCACATGATCGGAGCTGGAATCTATGTTCTTACTGGTAAATTTTTCGAAATTTTGAATCAATCGATTTTTTCTTGTTTCTTCACAATGTTGGACATGAATTACATAGAAAAAAAACGCCATCCAGCTGTGCTAACAGTGTATATGGCCAAGAAGAAGTCAAAAACTTTGGTTGAAAATTGGAAAGAACTTTTTTCAGATAATTCGAACGATATTTCTCCATTAAACATGAACGGGCTGAAATAAAGTTGTGTAACACGCTTTCTTAGTTCATCAAGCCTGAAAATAGAAAAAAAGAGTTTTTACTTCGAATGATTGCTTCCAACAGAATCATCAAACACTACGAGTTTATATCAAAAATTTGAACAGTGTTCTTTCTCAAATTCCGTTCTCATAGCTAGAAGTGAGCATTCTGAAATCTGTTAACAGTGGAATTTCTGAGAGAAGAACTTTGCAAAGTTCTATCTTGCAGGAGCAGTGGTCCGCAACACGGCAGGACCCTCGATTGTTTTGTCTTTTTTGCTTGCCGGCGTCGCTTCTCTGCTCTCCGCCTTATGCTATGCCGAGTTCGGAGCCAGGTCGACACTTATGGCCCGGAATTTTTCTCAATTTCAATGATTTTCCAGATTCCCCAAGGCAGGTAGTGCCTATACCTACACTTACGTCGGAGTCGGCGAACTATGGGCATTCGTCATCGGTTGGAACATAGTCCTCGAGCATATGATCGGATCTGCAGGTATCTTTCGGCGTCTTCTTTGAGAGGAAATGGTCTCTTTTTCAGCTCTCGCTAGATCATGGTCAGGTTATCTGGACTCGCTTCTGGGCAACGTTATATCTAACACAACCATCGCCCGCGTCGGTCATATCCACGAAGTTCTTTTCATACTCTGTTGAAATATTGGAAAACCAAAAGTACAGGGTTCCTCGTTCCTCGGAGATTATCCAGACCTCCTGGCTTTTCTGATAATCGTGCTTGTTTGTGTCTTCGTGGCGATGGGGTCGAAAGCGTCCACAAACTTCAACTCTCTGCTAACTGTCTTGAACATGGCGGTAAGACCAACTTGTCAAGGTTTCCTTAGAATCTTCCATTCAGGTGATCGTCGTTGTCGTGGGTTACGGCATCACCTACGCGGACTTCTCCCTCTGGACTGGTGTCGATGATTCTGGGAACTCGAAGTTCGTTGACTTATTTTTTGAAGCTTCAAAGAGAGGTTGAAGGTTCTTTCCGTACGGCGTGGGTGGAATGTTCGCTGGAGCCGCTTCCTGCTTCTTCGCGTACATAGGATTCGATGGACTCGCGACTGCCGGCGAAGAAGCTAAAAGTGAGAATTGTTTGACGGGGTCTGAAACAGCTGCCCGTCAGATCCGGCTCGTTCGATTCCGATCGCCACGTTCGCCTCCATGTCGATCGTCACACTCGCCTACGTCCTCATGTCCGCATCTCTTACTTTGATGGTCCCATATGATCAGGTATTCTGAAGCTACAAACATTTTGAGCAAAAAAAGTGTTCAGGTTCATCCGAGTGCCGCTTTTTCGGACGCCTTCGCTCTCAAAGGAGCCAATTTCGCCAAGGTAGCCGTGTCGATGGGAGCTCTTTTTGGAATGACCACTAGTTTGGTGAGGTTTATCAGTGTTTGAAGTATAAACGATTCACGGCTAGCTTGGGACGCAAAAAGGCGTGGCCTGTTTGCACTCTCCACCAACCAGGCACTGTCTCTTCTCTTTTCGTGGCAGTACCCTTTCAAGATGGTTCAAGCCAGCCGTGAATCAGCTACAACTAGTCTTCTTTCAAAAAACTCAAAAAAACATCGGAAAAGGTTTCTCGGAATATATCACCAGTTGACTCCAGGTTGGAGGCATGTTCGCCCTGCCAAGATGCGTCTTCGCCATGGCCGAAGATGGACTTTTGTTCCAATCTTTGGCTTCTATCAATCCCAGAACCCAAGTTCCGATCCAAGCTTTGATGATTTTCGGAGCCATGACCGCCGTCATAGCTCTCATTTTCGACATCACTACATTGGTGAGTGAGAATCACCGATTTTCAGAATTATAAGTAGTTCTTCAGGTTGAGTTTTTGTCGATAGGAACTCTTTTGGCCTACTCCATAGTTTCTGCCTGTGTGATTGTTCTGCGATATCAGCCGTCCTACAGACACGACGAAGGGCTGTACGATAATGGTTAGCTGGAAGACTTTTCTGTAACCGATCCCGTTGAATAAGACGGTGGACTTCAAAAGAAAAGAAACTCGTGACTGCGAAGAAATATTTCCATTTGAACGGCTAGTGGAAAAAAAATTGAAAATTTAGTTAGAAAAGGTAGAAAAGAGAAGTCTGCGGACGGAATTGCCTATTTCGCTGATTTTTCTTTTATCAATAACATAATTCTTACATTTCTTTTTATTTCGAAGTTTATTTTGTTTGAAAACAAACTTTTCGAAAATTCGACATGTATAAAATCTAAAACATTTTCCTATCTCGCACATTTCAATCAGTCAAAGTCGAGTCACGGATTCCAGGAGGAAAACTTCGGTTCTCCATACCCGGAATGGCTTTTCTCGAGCGTCTGGAGGCCGGCCATTCCATTTACTACGGAATCACGCTGATGATCGCCGCTTTCTACGTAACCGGGTTTTGTTTCACATCAGGTAGAAAGTATCTCAAAGATACCCTAAGAATTTGTTCTAGGAATCGCCCAAAGCACTGGCGGACAAGTTTTTACGGCGTTAATGATTCTGATCTCCTTGGCTGCTTTCCTCTTCATCCTCGCTCATTATCAGAATACCAGCCAACTCGATTTCAAGGTAGTTATTTTTTCATCCTTTATTTGAAAAAACAAGTCAAGGTTCCCTTCGTACCACTGCTACCATCGCTAAGTCTCCTGATCAACACCATCATGATGTTGCATCTTTCTCCGTTAACCTGGCTCCGTTTCGCTTTTTGGATGACGATAGGTTAGTCTTCCCTCTGTGAAAATTGATACCGAACTGGAGAAACTTTAGGCTTCGCAATCTATTTCGGATACGGCATCACGCACAGCAAGGAAGAAATATCGGCGGCGGAGCGGTTCTCGAAAAGCAGCACCTACGATTCGGTGGTCACCGCGAGTACACTTCAAGATGAGCCCTCCAGTCTACAACCTTGAGAGAAATCTTGTCATTCTCTTTATCATATTGCCCCGTCTCCACGTGTTCACCCAAAATCTATACAAAAACAAATCTCTTTCTACCGGTTTCCTCTGTCGAACTGTAGCATGTCCCATAGTATTTCCCACATATCTATCTTATTTACCACGTATCAGCATTGCCATGAATGTAATTCACGTTGCCAGAAAATCTCCTTTTATACAGTGAAAGTGATGACAACAAACTGTCAAGAAAACAAAAATCAACAAAAAACTGGAAAAATGTCTAAAATCTAAAACTTTTATATCTAGTGAAAGAAATTTTTTAGGGAAAAAACCTGAACGCTTTGTCTAGCTTTCTTTCCATAACCGTCAATTATAAATTTCAAAACTCAACTAAAATTATTGAAAAAGATTATCTGGTAGCGGAACGAAGCTTCTGGCCGATGGGGTTGAGATATTTGCCGAGCAGTCGATCTCCGAACTGACTCTCAGTGGGCCGAGGTCCGTCGACGTCTTCGGAATCGGCCGTCGGTTCTTCGGCGCCAAGTCGCAGCCGCTCCACCAGCTCTCGTTCAAATCTGAAGCCATATCCATAGAAATCCATGCTCATCACTTTTTATTCCATGATCAGTTTCCTCAAAATGCTATTATGTTCTTAAATAATCAAACGTGCTGAATTCCAGTCCAGTTGAAATTTTTAGTCAAAATTTGAAACTGTCTTGTCATGAATGGTAAAAAGAAGAATTCTCTATGGAATTTAATAGATGAAAAAAATTTCATTTTTCGTTCCAAATTGACAATTAGGTTCCTTTTTTTCTCGAGATTCATTGTAATATTCGCTTTTGTCAACGGAAGAGACGCGAGAATAGATGAGTTTCTTTTTTGGAGTACAAAAAAACTACTAAAAAAAGCCAGCATTTTTTTGAAAGGAAAAAAAAAAAAAGTTATTTCAACTTTCTCTATTCTTAACCAGCCCAAATTTTCTCCTTTTTGTTCTCAAATTATTCTTATCGTTCGGAAAATAATCTAGAAAATGAACAAACTTGTATTTGAGAGGTTCGGCGGCGGTGCTTTGTTCAATGTCTTGCTGTTTTCTGGCCGCCTCGTTCAAATCCAATCCGATCCATTCGGCTTCCTCCTCCGGAATCACAAAAGACGCGTACCTCAATTGAATTTAATAGTTAGAACATTCTAGAAAATTTCAAAACTAATAAACAAAAATCGCCATATATTCTTAGCTTTTTCACTTCCGATTTTCATCCTGACGTAACTTTTCGCTCCACTTTTAATCCTCAAAACTTTTTTTATTAACTTTTAAAAAGTTCCTACATTCAACAAAACAATGCGCAAAATTGAGTTTAAAGTCGGACTTTCTTCTTTTAAATGATTCAAGAAAATCTGGAAGCTGCACTTTCAGAAAAAAAAAAATCAACAGAATATATGGTTAAGCTTGAAAACCTACTTTTGCTTGATATAATCCTTTTTTTCTTGGTCTTCAGGGTAGTACAGCTGTTTCGAAAGAGCCAAAAGCATTTCCCGCTTCAGTCTGAAAAAATGAAAAACTTCAAACTTTTCTAAAAAACTTTAAAAAAACCTATTAGCAAACTTGGAATCCAAATCGATTTCCGGCGTTTCCAAAATGTAATAATCTAGACCGAAATGCGAATCAATCAGCCTCAGAGCTCTTTCTGTCACAGTTATCTGAAAGTTTCCGAAAATTGCGGACTTCCTTCGGAATATTTATACCTGCATGTATTTGTCTAAGATTTCTGAATACAATACAACTTCTTTCAAATTTGGAAAGTACAACTTTGGAACCCAGTATCTGAAAAGTAATTGTTTTGATCAAATTCATAATTTCCAGCAGTTACCTAGGCAAAATCTTTTTCTTGGTGTAAGGAGCTGATTCAATCCATCCTTTCACAACACGTTCCCCACCCCAAAGACCTTCGTCGGCTTCAGGTGGATGAATACCTAGTTTGATGAAAACAAAGATAACAGAATGACCTTTTTAATTGAAGTTACCGATTATAGGATTATTCTCCAACTCAATTTCCTCATTTCTTACAGGATCCCAGGCAAATCGCGCTGTAGGTAGCCTGAAAAAATTCATATTAAGAATAACAAAAACTAAATATAATAAAAGTACTGATAGTGGACGGGTTTTCTGTCGGACAAGATCATTTCCCAATAACGCCTTTTGTAATGCTCAGGAAGACGATGAACAACGCTTTCTGGATTTTTGAAGATTTCCTCATTTCTCCGGATTCGCTCAGCCTTGAAAAATGAAAAAGTAAAAAAGAAAAAGAAAATTAATCTAACCTTATCCCAAGTTACAATTGCGCGTGGGATGTTCGGCGTCAAATTCTTGAGGTTTTTGGCAAGCGACGCCATCTGACAAACCTTGAAAAGCGATGAATTGAAAATAAAAAGACAGAAAGCGTTTTAAAAGTATAAAACGAAAGGAAAATATAAATTAACCAGGCGTCCGTGAAACGCAAATAAAACGTTTGGAAATCTTGGTCATACGCTTTGTAGTTCCTAGCCGCACTTTTGGATAGTTCGGTCACATTAGGTTCACGCTTCTTTTTTTATATTTTTTTGTATTTGAAAAATTATTGGATGATTCCGAATTGAATTGAATTTATAGTGCAAAGTAAATAATGAAAAAGTTTCACCGCCTATGGGGTGTGTATTTTTGAAATTACTTTGCGCTATGAAAAATTCCATATGCAGAGTTTTTTTTAAATAATAATTATTTTCTTATTTGATCGCCCCTGAGGACTTTTTTCTCAGGGGCATTTTTATACACCCAATCTATTTTGCCATTGAAAACCAAACGAAATTTTGAAATAAAGCGCTAGATATCAGGATAACTCTCCCGCTAATATCACAAGGACAATATCAAAATTTATGACAAGCAATAGGAGAGCATTCACAACACACTGAATTAAACGTGCAAGGGCATTTGAACATAGAAGGGGTTAGTAGTTGATTGTGTAAATTAATGAGAAGGCAAAACATCAGAAGTTTAGAATTTTAGGAAATGACTCGCTGAATTTGACTTGTTTGGACGACTTTCTGCTGGTACCTCGCAGAGAATCCGTTCTGAAAAGCTTATAAGTTTAGAAATAACGTTAAGCGAGCTAACTTGTCAAAGATAACGATGTCGTCGCCCATATCGCGCATCACTTCGTCGATCAAGTCCTGTCGGGCGTTGTACTCGAGAGTTTTCTGAACGATTTGTGGATTTCCGTGAAATCTCCGCTGTCATTGACAAACTTTATACTGATGAAGAAAGCGCAAACATTGAAACACGACGTACAAACCGTAAAGCTGCAAGGCGAAAACCACCCAAGCGAAAATCAGCATGGCCGCTAGATGAACTGAAAAGCAGAAACTGCCCATTGGTCCTGTTAGAAGACTTTTATCAATTTTTCCATGATTATATGATGAACCTTGTCAGTTTCATTCTCAGAGTCTTGCAAACTTTCTCCGTTTTCAAGAATTCAAGCAAGAGTATGTGAAAACACTTTATCCAATTTTCTAAAGCGAAACTGAAAAGTTCAGAGGAAAAAAAAAACAAAATAGAGTTACCCTAAAGATTCACTTACTAATCTGATTCTCTGAGAAAACTTCGATTTTCTCTGAGACTTTGTAAAGTGCGTGCAAGGCGGCAAAACCATAGGTACTGATCACCAAAATCTGAAAACACTTGGAGTTGTTTCGAAATTTTGCAAAAAAAAAAACCTGAGCCATGAAAAGAGGCAAAAGCATGAAGGGATTATTTCGACGCAGGCCAAGCTGAGCGAGAAGAACGACCGCCACACCGCATAACAGCAGCCACAAGCAAAGTTCGGCTTCTTTAGGCTTAGTCGTCACCTGAAAATAATTATACCAAATTTTTTTATATGAGTGATGGCAATTTTACCATTCTCAAAACATAACTGTCGATAAAGACGAAAGAAAGTAAGTAAGCGACTGTGATGATGCCACAAAGAGCCTTCAAAAACATTTATTCCAATAAAAATCTTCAGAAATTCTTACTTTGACGCCATACGATTCGAAAAGAAGCTTGGGTTCTTTACATTCCTTGCGGCGTGTTACGAAAGCCGACGGCAATGACGATCCGTTCATTCTGAAAGAAAATTTGAGTGTCATCGAAGTAGAAGCTTGTGATAGTTGGCCTCTCAAAAAGAAGCTAAAAAAAAAGGAAGCTGTGGAAAAATCGGAGTTCATCCAAAAAATTTCTATGGTGATCGAATAGCTGGGTAGATCAGATGATGGAAAAAGGCAGTGAGTCAAAAATTATTCCCAATCTGCCCTAAACTGCGATAGAGATTGAACATGATCAGATTTTTTTATAATTTACACTTTATATATTTATCATTTTGTATATTTTTTCTATACTTTCCTGCTTCTTGAAACCGACCATCTTGGCGCTCGTCTCCTTCTAGAATTCTTCAAAATGAGATTAGTTCATACCTTAATAAGGTTTTTTTTTTCCAGAATGTGCGTTGGGCCGTGGTTCAAGGCTTGCTAAATATTTTTTTCAATATTCAATAAGTGAAATATACAAAAATCAAACATTGAAACAACAACAACAAAAGTTGTGAAAAAAATCTTTTTGGTGAAAAAAACCTTCGTAAATCATGCTCATGAGACGAATATTTCAAACAGCGCGTACATTCTCTCAAATCGCGTATTTTTTTCTGAAACACATTCATCGCATTATAATTACATATATAATATGTAACTTTCCTATTATCTTGTTAAATTCTCGAAATGGTTTGTCTATAAGATGTCGAGTGCTTATCCACACGTTTGAAGGCCTCAAAAATTTGATCGATGATTAAAATTTGTTATCAAAAGTCAGAAAAATTTATTGAAACAAAAATTTAAAAAAAAAGTAATTGCACTCGTAGAACCGCTATGTATTGCATTCAAAACAATGTAAATTTATGAAAGAGATTCTTCACTCGGGAGGACAAAAATTCAGGAGAAAGCTCAACTAATGACCTTGAAAGTTATTTGAGGAAATTTTTGATCAAAATAATAATAATAATAAATGGACACATTGCAGCATTCATACCCGTAAAAAAGTCGAGTTGCAAACTCAAAATGTTAATAATTAGATAAATGGCAAAATATTCGCTATTTTGGGAAACAGGAGGTTTAAGAAAACGGCAAAACGTGAGATGAGAGCTGTTGGACGAAAGTTACAAAGTTTGGAATTGGCTGGACACTCACTGGTCGCTCTGAAAAAAGTTTTGTTCAAAAATTATGTTGATTTCAAAAGAATCACCTGAGATCAAGCCGAAGAAATTGTAAACGACCATCATGAAGTCGAACACGACCTGAAACATGGCAGTTGGAGTTTTCTTGGCCCTTAAGAGACAGACCTTATGAAGAGTGTGGCTTTCCAGATGAGAGAAACAAGAGGCGAGGACGCCGTCGGCCACGAGAGAGCCTTCGACAGTCATCGGAGAGTAGATTCCAGTGGAAGTCTGTCTTCCGATCTGCAGAATGTAACTAGAGAAGGCGCTTGAAGGTGGCACTAACTCTAACGATGCGGTCAGCGGCGACCTTGCCGGTTCTGGGATCCACCGACAGCACACAGTCGCCTTTTTGTGCCTTTTCCGCGTACCGAGCCTCTCTCATCGCAACTTCGATGCCATCTTCGGAACTGGCGTAGCTGCAAATGTTTGGTTGTTTATATGATATATTTAGGAATGGAACCTTCTCATGAGGTCGCACTCCGCGAAAGGAATCAGATGTCTCTTGGTTAAGGCGATTCTGCGGCCAGAGTCGGTGAAGAGCACGACGAAGACGGCACGCGTCTCAGGCTCGCGATGGTAGAAAGTTTCGACCCTTTCGTACTTGAGGACACTGCCTGCGGATGGGACCAGGACGAAGTCTCCAACGTTCAGCTCGTCCATTCTCTTCTCGCCGGTCGTCGTCTTGACCAGCGTGTCTGCGGCGAAGCAGTTGGACCTTGGAGGATCTGCGGCAGCAGCAGCAGGGTCTGCAGCGGCCGCGGCAGCCGGTTGAGCAGCAGCAGCTCTGGCTTGTTGGGTCAGTGGTTGAGTTCCGACCTCGTCATTTCTGAAAATTCAAAATAAATTCGAGTATAAAGATTTCCAGCTTAAAAAAGAACTTGAAAAAAAGAACTCACGCGACTAGGCGATTGGCACGGTTGACAGCCGTGTCACTCACAGAGACACTTCCATCATCATCTCCAGCAGCGTTGGTGGCTTGAGCTGCTGGTTGAGCTCCAGTTTGAGTTCCCGCTTGAGTTCCGGGTTGAGCTCCTGCTTGAGCTCCCGGTTGACCTGCAGCAGCTGTCGCGCCTTGATTGGATGTGCCAGCAGCTGGACCAGTCGCTGCGCCTCCGTCTGTTCCTCCAGGGTTCGCACCGCCTGGAGCTGGAGCTTCAACGACTGCATCAGCTGGGACAGAAGGTCCTCCTCCCGCCAGCCCTGCTTCGGCAAATTCATTCTTGTCGGCAATCCCGTCTCCAGTGTTTTCCGCACCAGTCGGTTTTCCTTCCTGCGTAAGCAGGCCTCCAGAAGCTGAAAGTTGGACATTTATATCACCGTTCACTATGTTTAACAAATTGTTATTTGTCTATTATGCAAATACTTACTTTCTTCAGTTTTGTCGATTGCGGGCTTGTCGGATCCAGTTGGATCTCCACCGTTTGCCCCACCAATTCCAGAAGTCCCCTCCGAGCCGGGCGCTAGATTTCCGTCTCCAACTAACGGCTTCGTCTTCACTTCTACGTCTTTCACGTCGACGCCATCGTCGTCCTCATCTCCAGGAAGCTTTCCACTGAAAAACGAAGATCTTTAAAGAATTGAAATAACCAGAAAAACCTCTCGGTGATCGACTTAGTGGCAACTTCTACTTCTTCAATTTTTCTTCCTTGAGTCTCTGGAGCTGGCTGCAGACCGGATCCGCCGGCGCTAGAAGTCGAAGGGTCACTAAATAAATAAGGATGGTTCAGAAAATGTTTTAAATCTAACACAACCTTTTGCCGTTCTCTTTGACATCCCCGCCGTTGGCTCCTTCTCCTTTGCCGACACCATTACCGGCTCCTGAAGTTACAGCTTCTCCCAGTCCGCTGTTGTTGCCGTCAAGCCCTCCAGGCTTTTCTCCCTCGCTCGGTCCGACTCCATTAAGACCTGGCTCTCTATCTTCGGCGCCACCGCTACCTCCAGCGCTTTCGTTCTTGTTGGAGCCACCATCTTTTTCTCCTGAAACAATCACTTAACTATTTTTCACGGGAAACTTTTTACCTTGATGGCCACCTGCAGACTTGTCTGAGCCTCCTTTCGCTTCTTTTCCGCGGCCCAAACCGTCGGCTCCGTTGGCCTCTTCTCCTTCGACCTCTCCGTCCGGATTGACTTCGATGCCGTTGCCCTTGCCTCCCTCAGGCTTCTTCTTTTCTTTCAACATGTCGGCGTCGTCGTCATCACTTCCACCTTCATCGCCTTTGCCTTTGCCTTTTCCTTTCTCTCCATCTTCGCCGTCCTCTTCGTCGATGAGGTCGCCGTCCGTCCAGGAGCCTCCTTTCTTCCCTAAGTGAGCGTTCGACTCCTCTCCGACACCATTGCCATCAAGCGGCGTTTTTCCAGATTCCTCAACGCTGCCTTTATTTTCTCCTTTCCCAGCATCGACTGGTTTGTTGCCAGACTTGTCCGAGTTCGGACCGGTTCCTGGGATTCCGGCTCCACCACTTCCGCTCGGTTGCACTCCGTTGATATTAACAGAAGCATTGGCCTAGAAAAGAAACTTATAAAAGGAAAGAAGTTCTAACTTACAATGGCTATTGGTGCGGTAGCTCCACCAGCAGCTCCAGCAGCTCCGGAAGCCCCATTTCCACGTTCACCTTCGCCGGCAGTGTGGATGTGAATGTTTATGTTGCCTTGACCGCCATTATTAGCGCTGGCAGCAGCACTGGCTCCAGAATGACCGCTGGTTTCGGCTGCGGTGACTCCGGCTCCATTCCTTCCAGAAGTCGTGGCGCCACCTTCTGCCGTGGCTGAAGTCTTTCCATCGCCGCCTCCGTTCAAAGAATTGTTGTTCTTTCCATCAACGTTGATTCGAACATTTATGTTGCCGAGGCCATCTGAAAAAGCAACTTTTAAGATATTCCTTGACAATTTCTATCACCTTTGTCGTCCTTGTTCGCGTGCTCAGACCTCTGTCCGCCGGCTGGCTGCTCCGCACTGCCAGTTCTGACGCGGACTCGCTCTCCGGCTCCGCTACCAGCTGCTCCAGCTCCAGAAGCCGCGGCGGCTCCGTTGAAGGCGTGTCGAGCCCAGGTGCTCCAAGAGCTGCTCGTCCAGCTGCTCCAGCTGATCGCCTTCCACTCGCCTTCGTCTTCGCCGTTATGCTGAAACGAGAAAATTGAATAAATTCTCTGTTTCTTACTTTCTCACCGTATTTTGTCCGATGGCGTCATAAGATGAGCAACGAGGTCGACATATCGTCACTCGATATCCGTCCCTGTAAATTACAGCTTTTTTATTTCGAATCGCCGCAAGAGGTTCAGAGTTGGGTGAAAAACAAGGATAATTAGTAGGAGTCGCTTGTCAAGAGAACGAAAGGATTTGGATCTCGTGAACGGCCATCCTTCACTTTCTCGGGTTTCACCCTACTTATTGTCCTCCTTTCGTTTTCCATCGGCGCCTGCTTTTTTTCCAAGTTCTTGACGGTAAGACCTGTGCATGTTCGAATTTTTGAACTGGACAAGGAAATTTATAGCATGAATTTCGTGGATGCGACATTCGATTCAAGCATAAAACACGCGAGAAGGCCATAAAAGACTGAGGAAAAAAAGAAGAACGTACAGCCGTCGCTCGATTCCCTTGACGAGAAGCGTCGGCGGCGACTTGTTCTTGAGAAGGAACAGCCGCAGGCGGTAGCCCGACATGTTGTCGATGTGCTCCGGAATCTCTGATGGACTCTGAAAAACTTTTCTTGAAACCGGGCAGGAGGGAAGCTTTTTCAAAATTTCGAGTATCAATTTCTCAGAAAGCTATCTGATAATGACAGTTTTCATCTCATTGGAGAAACAAATGCTTGAGATTTTGTCAAAAAAAAACTACAGTACTCTCAAGGGCAACACGGAGTAATATCAGACACTTGGAAAGCAGACTGTAGGAAGGAAAAACAAGTGACTGGCGAAGAGAATCTTTGGTTTATGTATTGTCTCGAACAGGTGTCAGACCAATCGCAACAAACCTTTAAGACGGCATAGGGGGCGTCATCTGCCGCACTTTTTTCGACCACCTGAAAGTTGTTTCGTTTCTCAGTCCTTCCTGATCTCCGTCATTTCCGCATCAGAAGCCACTGACCTTTCCATCGGTCGATCCGTCGGGAAGCTCGTAGATGAAACAATCGTTCCCCGTGTGAGTTGGGATGACGTGAGGCGGACGAGGATTGTAGAGGTTGCAGCAAGTGTGCTCCACTCTGAAGTTTGCCTTTTTTCACAGTTTGATGAAAAGGGGATCGAAGAATCTCAATTGGAAAGAAAATAAAATCATTCTCCGGCTGGCGTACTCGGATGAAAATGAAACTAGAGAAAATAGAGCGCAGAAGAGCCAGAATGTTTCAAGTGTGGCTATGAAGGTTATAAAAGTATAGATTTTTAATATTGTGACAGAGATTTAAAGAACAAGGCTTATTTCTCTTTTCCCGTCTAATCTTACTGTTTACCCTATCACCTTGATTCCAAAATGGTACATAAAACAAATTCAGGCTGAAAACAAGAAAAGAGCTCGAAAAATTATATATCAAGCTAGAGACAAACAATAAAGCTTCGAAAAGATTTCGGGTCTGTCATAAGCCCTTTCTTGATTGGAAAATTAATATAGATTGCATTTTGTGTTGTTCCTTTTTTCAGTGCTTTTTCTACTCTGTTCCGAAGAAAAAACTGACGGCGATGTGGCTGTCCGCTGGTTTACATGCGAAACGAAGTTCATTTGACCGCCGCACTGAGGTTGAAGTTCATCGTAGTCGCATTTCTCAAAACCTTATCGTTCACTTTTTTTTTTCTTGGCGTTCGCAAGTTATTACAATAGTGATACGCCGTATCATTGAAGGTAAAACAGGAAAAAAAAAATGTTAACTCGTGTCGAGAAAAAAGATACGAATGACGTTCTTCTTTCGTCATGTTTTATTGGTCTGGATGGACCTACCAATTGCTGATAACCGCAGAGGTCCAGCTTCTGACAATGCATTCTGATGGTGTCGTTGCCGAACGATTGCACAACCAGCACCTGTAAATCGATATTTAGGGTAAAATAGTTGAAGTACAGTAGATCGAATTACTTTCAAATCTTAGTATCAGAACTGAAAAAGTCTGTGAAATCGAAATAAATGTTGATACCTGATCATTCCTGCATCGATAAGTCAGAGCTGCTGCCATTGGCAGCAGTAGCGCGGCGAACCGCCACATCTGGAAAAACTTATATGAAATATAAAAAAATAGATATTTTTTTCGAAAAGAAACACTGCAAACGGTAAAAAAATTTCAAAAAAATAAAAAAATTAATAGGATTGCTAACAACGACGCAAATTTCAAAGAGAAAACAAATAATGAGCGGTTTTTCTTAGTTTTGTATACCGAAGCTGAATATTTGGAAAATGAGCCCCTGAATCCAATTTGAAAATTCAAGGAAGCTTGCTTAAATCTGAATTATCTTCAGAAGAAAACAAGATCAAAATAGCTCTTCCTACGTTGAAAAAAAATTTGAAACTCAAATCAAAACAAAATCACTGCTGAAATATAGTCCGGGCCGTAAAGGACAAGCAAAAAAAACAATGCCGAAATTCGGGAATTTTGTTCTTTATTTGTGAGTAAGGAGCTTGGAACTGGTAGAGGAAAAAAACGAGTCGTGATTTGCTGCAAACCAGTCATTAACAAAAAGAAAAGCCTCGACGAAAACATCAAAAATCGAGATGTCCATGGATGAAAGAAAAAGAAGCTTCGAGGGGAAAATGCGAGTTTTTTTTTCGGGCGATCGCCTCGAGACGCTTGGTTGATGACCTGTTAAGAGAATCAACAACATGAAGAGACGCTCCAGAAGATATCTTTTGCCCTGACCGCGCTTTAACCAACGTCTTCGGGACCAGACACGCTTATCCAGTTCGCTTGTAACGCTTCTTCCTGCCCCTGGTATGTTTCGGGCGGGGTTAGCCGAAAAGCCAATGAATGTGTCGATGATTTGATCGTCAGCACCGTGAAACGTCTTCTTTTCGGGATGATTCAGCCCTGTCCACAATTTGACGCGTTCAGCCGCATCAAAAGGTTGAATCAGACAAATTAAGCTGGTCTGTGTAATGTCCGGAGGCTGTTTGGAAAAGAAAAAAAAAATGATTTCTCAGTTCTCTTTAAAGGAAGAAAGGATCAGGAAAAAAAAATGAGTGTCAGGAAAAAGCTTCAAATAATAATAATACAACAGACGGGAAAAACGCATCTACTTGATCTTGGTTCACTTTCTTTCAACTTGAGATATCTGAAAAAATCCCGAGTGAAAATTTTTTTGGTGGCTCAATAATTGAAAATATCAAAAAGTGAGTTCTTTTAATGGTCGGGTTAGTGCCAAACTCAAACCTTCAAAAAACAAAAATACTTTTAAAAAATAAAATAAGCACTGCTAGCAGAAATTGAAAAGAAAGCCATTTTAAAAATTGAAATACGAGAAATTCCGAGATAAATTCTTCAAACCAAAAAAATATAAGAATAAAAAGGAGAAGTTATTTTGAAAGCTCAAATCAAAAAAAGCCAAAATAAACGCTTCAAAAAAAAATCTTATATCAAGAAAAGAAGTATGAAAAAAACAAAAAAAAGACAATAAGCGTCAGGGTATGGTGAATATTTAGATACTTTCAGGAGCTTCGAGATTTCAGAAGTTCTGATGAATAAGAAAAACTTCAATCAGAGAACTTTGACTGAAACATGGAAATAAGACAGAGATGAAGCTTGACCGGCGGTCGAGTGACTCGGAGACCGAGTGTGGCGAATGTGGGCGGAGTGCCAGCCCGAGGTTCCGCGGATCCGAACCGACCAGAAGCCTTTGGCGGCGTTGATGACGCAATTCCTGATCCCGACAGTTGAAGTTGGAACGCGAAATTAGGCAGAATCCATGTGAAAATGGGCTTCGATTAGGTTACGCAATGATAATGGCTCCTCATAACAACCGAGAACGGTCGATTGTTAGTCGAAGCCGGTTTCCACTGGGCTTTTCCGAGTTTGTGACAAAAAAGAAACGAGGCTAGGAATTCTTATTCAAAAGGTAGCAGACTAGAAAACTGGTTTAATAACTTCTTACAAAAAATTTGTTCACAATTAAAAAAAACCTCATGTCAAAAACTCTGTAAATTTTTTAAGCTAAAAGCAACCGTTCTTAAACAGGCTATACAAGCCTTCTTAAACTAAATATTTTTTTTGTCTTTATCTCATTTTTTCTTTGGGATATTTTCTGATTTCCGATTAACTTTAGTTTCTTCTTCGAATGTCTGAGTGATTTATTGGAAAAAGTGCAAAGGGAACTGTAGAGACCAGAGACGAAGAGGGTCAGTCTCCACTTGTCAAATAAGGATATCGGCCCATCGTTCATGGAAATCCATCGGAAAGGCAATAAACGGAGTTATTAATTGCTTTCAATGGATTTTCAATGCAAGACAATCGCTTGCTTGTTTTTTCGACTAGTGAAGAGCTTTCTTCATGATCGGAAATAGCGGTTTGACGCGCCTGTCGGAAGAATGTGACCAGAAACCAGTTTTCACAAATGTTCCCAAGTTTGAAATTTTCCCCTGGTTCAAATGAAAAAGTTCAGGCTTGAATTGGCGTCAGGAGATCTGAAACGTTTCGAGGTTGCGAGATGAGGCTTAATGGGCAGACAACCTGGGAACGTCGTTATCATTTGCATTCGAGGCTATTCAGTTTGCCGCGATTCGCACAAAAAAGTTCGATTCGAGAGATGGCATCTGCTTTTGTATGAGAACTACAGTTTTTCTAAGAGATCAATGTCAGAGAAGCAGAGCGAATACCAAATTCTACAACTTTTGAATGGCAATTTTTGAATTTTTAGCTTTTGACCCGTAGAATTGAAGAGACTGCAACTGGTTTGTAAATGGTTTGAAAAGGAAAAAAACTGAGCTAAGTTTAGTTATTAGAAGAAAACTAACGCAAACTATCCGGGCTTCATCTCTACTGACCATAATCAATATTTTATTGACTTTCGGCCAGCAAATTGTTCATAAAATAATTTTTTTTAATCTACAAAAAACCTCAAAAAAGCTAGCTATCGCAAAAAAAAAAATGAGAGAATGTTGAGACGTAGACATCCTTCAAGATGATGTTTCGAAAAATGTATGCAGGATATAATTTATTTTCTCTCAACTATAATAACTATTCACTCTTATTTTCAACTCGCTAAGAATGAAAAAAAAACTGAAAAAATGTGGGCTCAAGATTGCTGTTAACCATGATCCAACTTTCATGTTCAAAAAGTATTATTCTGCGTGTTTTCAATGTTTCAAAAGGATATCTCTCTCGGGAAAAGAGAAATCCTCAAATAGAGGTTAGGAGGCACTAAGGAACGGCTTGAACCCCTTGAGAAATCCGACGGCGAAGAACTTGGATCGGTTCATAATAGAGGTAGGAATACAGACACGATCAGCACGATCCGATTGAAATGGAAAACGGAAGAGGATGTTCCATCGGCCGCGAAAATTTCCAGGCGACAGTTGCAAAAAGCGCCTCGGGTTTTTTGTGTTCGTTTTCCGTTTCAAAGGGGCTCGTCGATCTGTCGAGTTCACAGTTGGCTGCTGGGGCACGGGGATTATTTCCAATCAAGTTTAAACTCATGAAAGAATGGTTTTTGCATAAAGTTTAAAAAGTGAGCAGATCTTCTAAGAAGTTGAAAGATAGTCTGGATTCACCTTCTTTACAAAATCAAACGGATAATTTCTTTGGCAAGAAAAATCATTCCACGCAGTCACTCGAAATTCATCGTAACTCTGATCTACTTAATAAACATCCTTAAAATCGCAAAATGCAAAAAATCCAGGTTCGAGAAACTTCTTTCCAATTCAGTTCATCTGAAAATGTGCAAAAACTAGAACATTGAGATTTTTCTCCTAAAATTTTCTGCTAGCTAGGTTCCCTAAAAAGATCTTTACATACTACATAAAGAAAAATTTTAGTAAGCTCTCAGAAAAATTGTGAGCAATGTAAAAATCCTCTTAAGAATAGGTTAGGAAAAAAACTCAGAGAAGCACAGTTTATGATCAAAAAACGATTCCAAACAAGATAGAAGAAATAACGAAAAAGGTGAAATTATAACATATGGGAATCGGATGACACAACCGGGTCAATAGCCTTGCCGATTTCAACGAAGATTAAGCGGCAGCCTTGAAAGTTTTTAATCTTGTGAAATATTGCAGTGGCAAACTGAGAATCCAAGGAAACTCCAATCAATCGAAATATGCAAAATTGATTGGTGTTGAAGGCGAGAATTAGAACTAGGAGAGCGGCCGGGTGTTGAACAGCCGATTCGTCGGAAAAGAAGAGAAAACGATTGGAATTTCGGCCGTGGTTCTCGACTTTCCTACGGATAAACAGCCAATTGTGACATCGGTTCTTGAATTACTGCGACAAGATCGGAAACCGTCCGCGCTTTACAGATAAATGTCACAGAGGGCAGAATAAAGGGCAAACTTTCCACCATGACCTCCAGAAGTCCGCGACGGATTAGGTGTGGATGATCTCGTGTCGGCAGGAAATTATTTCAAAGATTACGACTAGACTTCAATAACTGAATGAGCAAACAAAAATAAGATCCACAAGGATTGGAAAGATCATGAAAAAAAAAGTAGAGTGAAGCCTCGAGTCAAAAAATGATTCGATGGCTGAATCTGACGGAGTTAGAGAATAAATTGAATAAGCTACCGGTAAGAATTGAAAATCGTAAGTTGAAAAAGCTCTCATAAAATATACATCATTTGAGTAAGGTATCAGAAGGAAAATAATAAACTTTGCTTGGCGATTTCAGCGTTCTCTCCCTAGGATCTACAAAAATGAAAAGGAAAAAAAAACCAAGAATCAGTTGAACTTCGATTCTGAGAGCCATTTTTAGGTCAAGAAGGCAACACTCAAAAGAGAACTCATATCAAAGACTATTTCAACGTTCTTGAATTATAAGAAAGGCTCTCAAGGTATAAAATATCTTATTGAGGTGTGCTCTCTGTCATGAACGTCACGGAGGATCAAAAATTTGCTGACTAACAAATATCATATATTTTGAATTGATTTTGATTGAGCTTATATGATATAAAGTGGCGGTTTCGCGAATTCCAGAAGACTGCCAAAAACCTTTCACTCTATACAATAGCCCACTAAAAACAGATTTTCTAGAATATTAGAGCAGAAAGTCACAGAAATTCATTGTTAAAAAGGGAGTAAAAATGATATTTTCAGGCTGTCAAGGAAGTTTTGCTCGACTGTAAAACATTGATGGAGCTATAAGAACGTCCACAAACGCGCATTTTGAAAATAATCAATTTTTTCGAGCAGATTTATATTGAGGCGAAATATTGACAAAATCATTAATTCACAAAGGCGCAGAATAAAAATATGAAAAACCTTGGCTAAATTTTTTTAGTCATTTGGTGTCTATAAATAATAATTTTTTTGAAAAAAACAGTGGTCCTTCGACACCATATAAAGAAAAATTATCATATTTAACAACAAAAAAAAGGTCAAAAAGTTTAATGGTCTTGAAGCGAGTAACTAAAAAAAAAGCCTTTGAAAAGCCGAACGAACGTTTTTGAGCAGCAAATAATTAGGATAGCCTATTAAAAGAGAAGTGATAAACTGAGCTAAACTGAGTAATGAAGGATAAGATTCTCCACCCCTTGTCTGTCAATAAATGCCTTTGAAAATGCTCAGATAAATACCAACCACTTCCGACAGCTAATTTTTTTCCTCTTGGAAAAATAAATGAAAGCCGCGAGAATTGTGGATGTGGGCGTCGGCCAGATAACAAACGACCGGGTAATTCGGTTAGGAACTCTGGGTGATCGGCGCGAATGCGGAGGCTTCCGATGATAGGTTTTTCGGGCCAACAATCTCTTGCAACTCGCCTTTTTTGGGGTCACTCGGCGGCTTGAAGACGTGCAAAACGTCTTCTTTTTCTCATTAATCATTCAGTTCTTCACGCTCAGCTGGCGGTCTCCAACATCCAGATACAAGGATCGTTTAAGGCTTTCGACATCGACAATCAGAACAATGGAGATAAGTGAAGGAAAATCTTATAAAGTTATCCAGTTTTTGAGCGACGAAATTGTGTATCGCAAAAAAATATTAAACGACAAAATCCGTGCTCTTAATCATTGATATCTGTGATTTTTGAGCATCTCGGTGGTTTTTAGTGGCATGACAAGATCGAAAGGTAATTAAATGGAGCAAAAAAAAAAGAAGAATCAAACACTGGCCTCGAAAAATGCTTCCAAGGGTCAATTACAGACTTAAAAATTTTAAAAGAGCGGAAGTCATTTCACGACATCCACAAAATGAGCTCAACCAAACTTCAAACTGCCCAAAAAAGTTTCGACAAGAATAAAAACTGAGATAGAAAACAAAACAATCGAAAAAAAAGAGAAAAGTGGTGAACGAAACAGAAAGTCTTGGAGGAGGGCGAGATCCAATAAATGGCTGGGAGCCGAGGTCAGATCGGAAGAGTAGGTCGAATTGGATTTCCTGCGGAGAGAAACCAACAAAAAGGCCTGGAGGCTTTTGAATTGCCGAAGTTGCCGCCAAACAGATGCGTACAGGTGGGAGAGAGAATGATTGACCCAGTTGCAAGAAACATTCCCGCCGCTCGTTTCCCTTTTCGTCTCCGCCGAAGCCGTCGACGCTTCCAGGGCGTCGCCGTCGACAGCTGAGTCGAGCCGCTGAGCCATCACTGTAGTTGTCTCCAAAGGTTCCGGAAGACTAGGAAAAACAGGAAAAGTGTCAAAATCGAGAAACAGAGAAATCTGTCTTCAATGGAAAAGCTCCAAGTAAATTTAGCGTTCTGAAAAATTTTTTGAATAAAAACTGCAGTTGAACAATATCGATGCTCTATTCAAGTTTGAAATCATCCACGACATCTGAAATGCTGAAAAACCGTTGCCTTACGCTATCCTACATTTTCAGGTACTATTTCTAATATCTCAAAGAGATATACAGAAATTCCCCATGAATATGAAGAAGACACATTCTTCCATCCATAAAATTCTCTGGAAATCACGTGACTTTAACCATTTTCTAAAAATGGTAGCGGTGAGTAGTCAATCAAATCTCAATAGCGTGAGTCTCAAGATCCAAATAAAATGTTCGACTTTTCTTCAGAATTTAACAAGAATGGAAGCCACGAGTTCCTCAAACGCATCAAAAAATGTTTCGTCTTTTTTTTATAAATTGTTCCTAATGAGAAAATGTCAGAATCTCGCGCAAAGTGAAAACAAGAAGAAAGAAAGTTTTACGATCAAGGAAAATGTAACGAGCGAACGAGCTTCCGAAAAATCGTCGAGTGTTGGTTTTCTTCTTGGAAGCAAAAAAAATCACGAACTTCAGACACTTTGGTTCAAAATTCACCGTTTTCTGAGTTTTGTACTTCTTACTTCACTCTTCGTTCTTTCTACCGCTATACTGACTATTTTTTCGACATTTCTACAGCACCTGTGAGTTAAATTGACTGCAAAATCGAGATATTCAGCTTGAAATTCAGATTTCTCATAGGACTAACCAATATGATTTGTCTTTTCGCCACGGTTTTGACGGTGCCTTGCTCCTTGGCGGTGGTGTCAACGGTACGAGAGAAAAGTGTCCGCTCCAGGTAGCCCTGAAATTCGACAAAAATGGTACGATTTCTAGGATCGACCAAAAGCTTTGGCATTTGAAGTTTTCATTTTTGCCGCAACTTTTATGCGCATCCTGTTGCATGGGTTTGGATAATGATTTCCTGCTTATTCCATAGTATTTTTCAGGAATCGGAGGAATTTTGATCTCCTCTCAGTTTGAATCTTGCTTGGAATCTTCACTACATAAAAACTTCCTCTATAGTATTCAAAACCACAAAAATCCAAGTTTCGCGAAGGTTTTTTTTTTTCCAAAGCGCGACTATCGATTCAAATTATTAGCAACTTCACTCCGTGCAAAAATCTTTCAAATGTTGCGGAGCAAATACTGAAATTTCGGCTGGAACAAACGGTGGCTGTATTAAAATCCAACCTCAGTTATTCTCAGAGTTTCAGATTCGAGCCTTCCAACGAATCACCCATGGAATGCCTGGTACCAGCACCTTATTCTGGATGATAATTATCCTGATGAAATAAGGTTAGTAGATGCGCAAGACTAAAAATCGTGACAGGCTTTTCTCAACCTTTCCTAACGTGAAAGCTAGTTGTCGCACTTGGAATGGCTCGAAGCGTAACATTCGCGTGTCTGATTCCAATTGCAAAGCGTCTCGGAGCTTCGAGTCGTTTGAAGTGTGACATCGCTTCCTTCCAATCTGAAATTAAGCAAAATTTAGAAAGTTTTTCACACTTCCCTGGTCGTGCTGCCTAGATACCTTGAAGTGTCAACACTTGGGAATGGAAAGGTAGTGAAACTTTAATCAGAAATATTCACTTGTTTTTTAGATTTACTAAATCGTCGAACAGAAGTATTTTCGAATTCCAAAGCGACGAGAGCGAGTGGATCAAGCTTGACAAAGTATTGAGTAATATTCAAAAGAAAGAAAGCTGAAAAAAAAAATGAATTAGTTGCTCAAGATCAGAGAAAAAAAAACGAAAATCAAAAAAAGGCGTCGAACACACTAACTAGATTAAATATGAAATTATTAAACTAATTTTCCAAGCTCAGAAAAAAAATGAAACTAAAATCGATAGATCTTGAAGATCTTTGTGCTGTGTTCAGTATTTCCGAAAATTTCAAAATACCCGTCAAAATAACACAAAAAAAGATTATACAAAACAATTTAGTTTCAAACAGCTTCGCATTTAGTGAAAGAATTTGGAATACAGTTTTAGTAAATTTTTGATATTACAGTTTTAAAAAAATAAAATTTTAAGAACTAGTTCTTAAAATTTTAACTTTAACTTTAATTTTGCGCGTTCGGATGTAGGATTGCGCCATTCTGCAACTCGATGCGTTTTACCAAAAAATTTTAATCGACTTTCTCAAAAGTTCTTTTTTTTTTTAAATAACGTAATTGATCGAATTTTAACGCCGATTTTTCCAAAATCAAAATCTTTCGAAAAATAATTTTTTTTTCTGTTTTGTAGATCTGTTCCTGTTTTTCTTCTTTTCGTTTTTTTTTTGAAGTCAATGTTTTAATGCATTAAATAAAAGCTTTTAAAGTCCTTCAGTTACAACAACTGACAACCTTTGAAAACGCTCCTTCTCGTGATCGTGCGGCTCGTTCGACGGCTTTTCATGACGCCTGCCCTCCTAAATTGGCGAAATGGCTCACTGAAAGACTACGTAAAGTAGCGTTGCTATTCTTTGCCGCAGGTCATTTGGAAAATTTTTTAACTAAATTCAATGTTTTCAGCTGGTTTTTTGTGTGCTTCTGGTCTGCTCAGTATCGTCTTCCCATCTTTTGACAAAGAAGAAAGGCATGGCGCTCTCATTTAATGTCAACTTTTGCGGAAGAATGTAAAATTTTCAATTTTTTTCTGGTTTTTATTTTGAAAAAAAAGTCCAGTAAAGTGTGAAGAACGACAATAGAGCTTTTGACGTTATGTAAATGGGAAATAAGCTTGAGTCAGTTTTCATTCAATAGGAGATGGGAACGGCTTCATTTCGGGACGCTAGTTCTAATTTTTTTTTTGCTCGATAATCTAGACCGCGTGAGAAAATAATAATTTGACGTAGATACTGCTATCTTAGTCTGTTTGAAACTCTTTGAGAAAGTTTTATAAAGCGCGGTTTTCATGCATACGAACTGAATAAATACATATAACGGATTATTGTTTCGAGATCTTCGTAATTGTAGTCATTGCACTTTCACACATCACTTGAAGTATTCCCGAACACATATTATAGCTATACTTCTTATGGTCCCGCCTTCTCTTAATATAAAAATCCTTTGTTGAGATTTCAAAAAAGGCGCGGGCAGATGTTGTTGTTTTTTGCAGTGTGAATAACTTTCACCTGCCTTATTTCATTTGAATTTGAAATATTCGTAGGCGCCCTATGTAACTCAGCCAATTTTTACTTTCTCAATTATGAATAATTTATTGACAAAATTACATGAATTTTCATTTTTTGTGATCAATTTGCCTCCTACACTGAACCTTTTCTTAACACAAAAGGAAAAGAATTAATTCGAAAAAAGGAAACCTTTCCAATCTCTTTTGCTAATTTGCCAAATCCTACCTTTGGCTTCTTTTCCGCATCAAAAAACCGGCCAGTCAACAATTTTGCGGGCACTTCGCCTTTTCTGCTCTAAATGCCATGGCTCTGTCGCGAGTTCTTTTGATTTTTCAGTAGTTTAAAATTTTCGGGAATAAATATATATGACCTTGGAAGGACAACTCGAAAGAGCTGTCAAGATTCAAATAAGACGAAGTTCAGGTGTACTTAGAATGGCTTCCTACTGATTCGAAATAGGTGAAATCATAACATCTGCACCTTCTTCTTCGATCATTTCAGAGCTCCTTTTCATGCGAATAGACTTGTTGGTCCTGATAAAATATTCTATCCTATTAACCTTTCCCAGCTGCTTTGATCTTATCCGGGACTTTCTGCCTTATAAGCGAATTACGCTTATAGTCCTACGGCCTAATCCGTTCAGCAAATCCTCAATGAATTTTTTTTTGTTAATAATGTCGTGGGATATCTTTGCAATACTTTGCTCTTTGCGAAAGGTTCTCTCACCTGACAAAAGGCCATAAACATGGAAATGATCAATTTCCGAGGGTTTGTTTTTCTCACGCTAAATGTTATGAGGGAAATCTCTTCCATTCGGTGCTTTTAGCCTACAAATCGTCCTCTTCAGAGTTTCTCTCCGATTATATACTTATCGCTCATTCTTTTCCAGTCCCAATGTAGATGGAAGGATGTTTGGTTCAGGAATGTATAGGGGAGCTGTTGTTGGACGGAATCTGATCGAGAAGATCGTCCAGGACGGCGATTTCGACTGCGAAGAGTTCAATCTTGACGATCCTTTCGATGATCCCTCGCTGTGCACTACTGTTCGTACTTCCTCTCCCCTCAGTTTCAGTACGGGTTCAGGCTTTTCTGGACATTTTGTGGCAAGATGAGCAGGGCAACTCGGCCTTGATGCTGGCAGCGACGGAAAATCGCATTCTTCACGTCAAAGGAATTCTCACAATGAGTATCAACTCAGGAAAGCTCTGGCAGGTAATTTAATGAGAAGAATAAATCCTGAAAAAGTTTATTCACAAAACGATCTTTGAAGTTCTTTTGAGACTTCTCTGACGCTGATCTTCGGTGCTTCACGTTTTTTTTTTCAAAACAGATTAGTTTTAAAAAACTAAAAATAAGATCGCTGGAATTATGGGTATAATTACAGACTCAACCGTGTTCTGTGCTCTTGAATTCAAACAAAAAAATGGAATTTTTTTGTCAAAAAAAGCTACGATAATTTTTTTAATATCTGAGTTCTAGAGCGTTTTTTCAAAAAAACTAACTTCGTTTCATTTCGAAAAAAAGTATCGAGATGAAATTTAAGATAAAAATAGGAGAAAATAACAAAAAAAGTGCCTTTTTTTCCGGAGATTTATTTTTTTCATATTAATCTACTTTTTTTATTCAATCACTTAGACAATATTTTTTTTTAAACAACTTGAACAAAAAACCGGCGTGTGTTTGGAAAGAAAAACTATTTTATATTTGGGGAGGAATATCGTCACAGTTACTCGAAAAATTCTAACTTGCTCTCGCTGAGGGGATTAATCCGGATTCTCTTTATCAGAATTTTTCGGGTAATTTGTATCATAAATTTCGATGCTTCTCCTGACAACAATATTGAAAGATTTTTTGGCCGAAGATTTGTTTCGCAGGTCTTGGACATGCAGAACTGTGAAGGGCTGACGGCACTCCAACTGGCGGTCCGGGCCGGAAGCGAGACCTGCGCGATGCTCATCACACGTGTTGCCAGAGAATACGCCAAATACCGGGTGAGAATGTCGTTCACTACGTCATCCACCTTATATGGGCTCTTCGTCCCTGTTTCGCTGGCTTTTCTTGCAAAAATCGCGGTTTCTTACCAGATCTTCTTCTTTGTCTGGACTTTGTCTCTCGTCTTTCCGTTGTCTGGAACATTGATGCTTGGCTATTTTTTGTTTTGAAAGTCAGAAAAGTGCAAAGTTGTAAACTTTCTTTTTAATTAACTAATTAATTAAACGCAGCGGACATCTTTCTGTTTATCGCCTTCCTCGCTGGCCAAGCTGAGGCGTTCTGGAAAATTTTTGCTCTGCTAAAAACCACTTTTATTTTGAAGGCTGCAAATAACTTTCTTTCTAGTTTTTCATACTAACAAGGGAAGTTTCTGAGGTGAAATTGCAGGTTTGGCCCAATCTTCTGTGATAGAAAGCCTTGGTATGAGTAATCCCAAAACAAAAAATCTATCTGTTAACCGTCATAGGGTACTGACAGTCAGTAGAAATATTACGAAAAAGCAATGTTTTCGAAAATTGATTTTCTTTGATTTTTTTATTTTTTAGAACAACTTCTGTAATTTACTAATTCATAAGCAACACCAGAAGAAACGCTTTTCCTCAAAAAAACCCCCCAGAGATAATCAGTTTTCGAGCTGTTCCTCTTTTTCGACGGGCAATTTCTCAACTAGAACGACTACAGAAGTTCGGACCAATACTTTGAATTTCCCCTCACGCACTTATCTCGTGAGAGAAGCTCTTCTGGCTCAAAACATTCTAGAGACATAGTTTTTTGCTCATCTCACCTGCGTAATGTGAAAAAAGAAGTTGAGACTGTCAGGGGAAATTACATTAAAAAGGCAGAGACCAAAATGTGATCTGAGGAAAATAATTTGGCATGCAATTTTTCCGGATTTTGCAGACCGGACTTGCACCTGGCGTCATTATTCCTGCTCGAAACTTGATTACTGTGCCAAAAGATAGTTGACTTTGAACTACCTTTCCTTTATTTCAGCTTTTTCATCTTTAGAAATTCTTTTTTTTAACTTCATAATGAACCCATGGAAAGTACAAGTTTATGAATCGTCAATATGCTCTCTAACTTCCTCTTCTAAAAATTATTCCACCTTTTTTCAAACATAAAGTGCGTCTGAAAAATTTTATAAAATTGACGCTTGTTCTCATCTTGAAATTGTTTTTGCCGATTCCGGTGAGATTTGAAGTTCTTCAAAGTGCAGCTGTTGCCCTCGGCAGGACAATTTGCGTGGTCTAATCAGCAGATTTCCTTTTTTTAGATTCTACTCACTCTTTTCCCTTTTGCAAACCCGTATTTTCGTCGAAAAAACTGCTTGTGAATTCCCAAAAACCTCTTCTGAACTTCATTTCCTAGCTGGACTTGTGAAGAATTCTCGACATGCGGAATCTCCGTCATACTTATTTTTCTCTTTCATAAACAAGCTCAAGTCTTCCGTACTCTTTTCTAATTAGTTCTTGTTGTCCCAGACGTTTATCATTGATTAGATTTCCGCAACTGCATTTTTTCTCTTACTCATTTATTCATTACAAAAATATCCAAGCTCGCGATTCTCATTCCCAAAACGTGAAATAATTACCTCGGAACTCATTCACTGAACAAGGTCTAGACCGACCATTCTTCGGCTCTTTTTTTATCATGGTTACCTAGGTTACAAGTCCCTCATTAGATAGGAATTTGAACCTTTCGGTTTTTGTTATTGACGATGGCTTTCAAGTTCTCGGGACATCTGCGAAGAAAAACCATCGGAATTTTCGGAAAGGGATTCTCCAATTTTCAATTTTTTTTTTTTTCGAAGGTCCAATAGTTCAGTTTCTAAAAAAAGAGAATTTTGCGAAAAACACGCGGCGATGAAGATTTGCGTCACGGTTGATTGTCAGTTTGATCATAGAAATAACTGCTTATTAGATATTTCTTCTCAAAATACTTCTCAGCAAAGAGTAAAACTTTCTTTTTCAGATTTGCTATCGCCTAAAAAAAGTTAGGATCATTTTTCAAAGAAATCTCAAAAATTTTTTTCTAAACTAACTTTTTTTAACAAAATTTTTCAATTCTCTATTTTTTTGTCATGGCATTTTACTATGTTCACACCAACCTCAAAAAAACCACTCAACTAATAAGAATTCTCACGAAAAAGAAAGTCGTAGGAAAAAAACCTGCTCTATAAAAAAATTAAAATTAATGTATGCCCTTTTTTTGGAAAAACTCTGAAGACAAGCCTTTTTGAGTTAAAGGAGAGATACTAGAACTCAAGAACACATTTTTCGAAACTTCAGCTTAAATAATTATGAAACCGTTTTTAATGAAAAAAACTCTTTACTTGTAAAACTTTCAATTTTTCTCGGACGGTACTCTCCGAGATCGTTTTTCTAGATAACTTGCAAGAAAAAATAGAGATTTGAAGCGTCGGTTTAAAAAAAGAAAATTCAAAACCTTCATCTAAAGTCTGAAAAAATATTATCGTACCAACTTTCTAAGAACCTCATTGCTTCTAGTGAAGTGTCTTGTCAAAAAGTTATGATTTTAAAAAAAATTAAATTAAGTTTCTGTAGACTTTACCTACTATTCTTCCCGGAACCTCCGTATCAAATTCTATTCTTTTGCCTTAATTTTTTTTTTCGGTTTTGTCTCTGTATGGGCAGTCCGTTTTTAGAGGATCCCTCCTCCCGAGTATTTCTGAATTAGAGTTAGTACTACCCCTGAGGCTAAATCTTACTTTCATTTTTGTGATTACCACCTTCTTTTGGTTAGAAGTTTTGTATGTCTCGTTTTCGAAAATTTTCGTAAATAAACTCCTCCTCCTGGACTAATCGAGTTCCTCACCCGCCCCCTATGATTTTGTCGTCACTCTCAGTCACTTTTCTCAGAAAGCAAATGTACGAAGCGGAATCCTCGCCGCGCTTCGCTTTCGGCGTCGCGGAATATTGCGAGTTCTGCGGGACCCAGTGGGTCAACGGCAAATGTCTCTGTTATTACGCCGACAATCCTGACCGTGTTCGTCATTCAACTTGTAGCCCTTTCACAGCTGGCTTGAGCCAATCTTTCAAGGATCGGTGGATGTTCAAGGAAAGGCTCTTGCAAAGAAAAGAGATATTTAGTTTTTTGTGTCTCAAAACAAAGGAAATCATTCAATTTAATGGAAATTTCTGAAAAAGTCTTTAAAGATATTTTTTACCTCATATTTTCTTTAGTAGTTTGGTGAAAACACGATAAAGCTAGATCTTCTTCATTTAATTTCGCCACAGCGTCTCTGGCTCGTCATGTTGAGTAGCTTTGAAAGGACCATATTTATTAGATATTCAATGAGAACTCGAATAAAAAAAACCAGGGCAACGGAGGCAATTTTCAGCCGAGACCGAAAAACGCAAATGAGACAACGCATGAGGACGAAATCACTTTCGACTTGAACGACTCTGTAGGGAACTCTGAGACTGCAGAAGATGCCCTCAATCAGGTAATTCCAGCCTTTTTCCGTTCCTCATAATCAGAGTTGCAGATGTTCCACTCGGCGACGGTGCGACGACGTCTCTCCGGAGACGCGGGACAGAGGAGACTCAACCGCGAGAAAATCTCCAACAGTCTGAGGACGACGAACAACGCTCAGCACGCCGCCGACTACCTCCACATGATCAAGCGTTCCAAGTCAGACTGCAGTCGTCGCTCCTTCCTGAGCGGAAACCGTTTCAGGTCGGCTCACACGCGGCTGGTGCACCAACGTACCAACAGCAACGACTCCGCGACGGCGAGTTCTCCGCCGCGAACGCCTCCTCTGGCCATGCCGCAGGACCACGGAGTTCTTTCCACTGTTGGGGAGCGTCTACGCAATATCTTTGTCCGCAAAGTTCGTTTTTTTTCCGAACAAAAAAAGCTTGGTGGAAAAAAAAGTCTAACTTTTTGTTTAAATAATAGATTAAGTGGGACAGCTTTTTCTCAATGGTGATAAATTAGGCTCAAAAAGCTGTCTTTGAGGCGAAAATCGTGTGATTAATCTTTCAATACCATACTTTGGATCCAAAAAGGATGTTTTTCTGAGCAGAGGTTCTATCAAAAAAAGCATTTTCAAATAAAAATTAAAAATGGACCTCATGATACTCCTTGATGACTACAAAGTACATCGGACTATTATTATTTTTTTTTTGCCATTCCCCCGACCTTTCTTCATCTCCCTCCTATTCCTCAGTTGGTGGGTTGCTGGTTCCGCGTGTCCCCTCTATCTTTCCTCGACTCCTGCCTGCCTGTATTTCCCTGTGTCAAGCAGCTGACATCCCAAAAAGGAAGGTCCAATACGCCAACCTTTAGAATTGTATCTGGAGGGAGTCTCTAGACTCTAAAGGCGGACTTTTGGAATAATAATTCTGATATCAGAATAGGACCTAGATAGGACCCTAGATCAGCTCTAGTTATATATCCGTTCTTGTCTGTGTCGGCTGGTTGAAGCCGTGGTTTCCCAACGTTCCTTCGACTCCTTGTTTAGGTCTCGGCGGGTATTGAACTTGAGACCCTTCGGGCCGTCGACAGGCACAAAACCTGATGCGCTACGGCGCTCCGCCATCTTTTTTCCAACATCAATCAAACTCATCGGAAACAAATCATACGTTTTCTGTTTCAGCCGCCAGTCGCCTCACCTCTCACCAGCTCCTTCCCCTCCGAAAAGCTGCCCTCAGCGACTGCGACAAAGGACCGACTCACGCAGTCAATGTCCTTCGACCGCAATCGACTGACAAGTGGTCCCTACAGTGGCCTCGACACCAGGAGAATCGAGGAAGCGGTGGGGCTTGGATTTTTCTTTTTTTAACGAGATCAAGCGAGAAATTGATGACCTAGAAACAAGAAAATTTTTATAAAAGACTTTTCTGATTTCCAGGAACTGCTGCGACTACCACTACATTCATCTTCGGACGAAACTGATGAGATCGGTGAGAAGCAACTTTTTTGGAATTAAGCTTTGAAATGGGGTATCGAACTAAATTTTTTTATGAATATTTAATATAAAAAGACCACACATTTAGAGTTCCAAAAAAATTGAAAGATTTTGATGATTTTTTTTTTTCGTGAAACAGAATGGTTTCGTAACAGTTTTATGGCGTCTCTTCAGGTAGTCTATCGCTTTCTGTTCAGTTCTTGATTTAAAAAAAAAATGAAAAATGTTAACTGTAATTGTAATTTTTTGAAGCTTTGAATGACTTTCTTGTTTGATTTTCATAGTTTTTAGATCCTTTTAGCATACCCTTTTGAAGCCTGATATTTTTTCGTGAATAAAAACATTTTTATTCAAAGACATGCACGTTGCAGGAACGAGGCCAACCCCTTGGATGAACCAAGTATCGCCGCCGCCACCTCTCAGCCGGAGCATATCTTCTACGATTCCGCCTCCACCGCCAAGCCGCCAGAAGTCGTCAGGCTCCATCGTGCCGACAATCAACGGCGTCAGACTGCCTCCGCTTTCTGGATTCCGGCGCAGGACCACCAGCGAATCCCGACCGGAGTTCAGCGTCATCGGCGACGAGCCAATGCCCAGAGCATATCGCTCTTGAGAAACTCATTATCAAACTACAGCTGGGAACATATCATTTTCAACTTCCTTAAATTATTTTAAGGTGTATTTTTTGAAAAATAAATTGTCAATCAAGCTTTGTTTAATAACAGCAAAACCACAACAGAAAACTGTCAAAATTAACAAACAAAAACTGAAAGATTAAAGTTTGAATTGGGTAGGCTGAGAACAAGCATCACCAGCGAAGCACTGCAGATCGTAAGGAGAAAACAAAACGAAAAATAAAATTGAAGACACACGGAAACAGGATTAAACAGGGGATGTAAGAATTTGAAAAAAATATGAAATATAAAAAAAGGAATAGAAGCTGAGATGATTTCAGGCAATATTCTAAACATGAAAAAAATCAAAAAAATTGTCAGAAAACTGATGGAAAATGGATAGAAATGATCTCATTTTATCTCATTTTATTCGCCACCGCATTCGTCGTGTCCTCCACGGGGCTCCTGTTTGTCGAGCTTGATGAGATCATCGATACGGAGAATCGTGATAGCGGCTTCCGTCGCGAATTTCAACGATTTCACCTGATATGATGACGTTAAAACATAAAACTTTTTTTTTTAAAAAATGACGAGAAACGTTCAAAAAAAAAAATAATGGAGCAATGTTGGCTGATTCAAAAATCAAAAAGTTCCTTTTTTTTTGTCTCAAACTAAAAAATAAAAGTTTTAATTCTAAAGAGCCCTGAAAATTTTCCCACTTGTTTCAGTCAAAAAAAAAACTCCGAGAGATTTTTAACTTCCTTTTTCAATTACTCGATAAACGTGTGGAGATTCAAATTTTTCTCGAGTTCGTTTAATATGCGTATTTTTGGAACTTTAACCACGAACTTTTCCAACTGACCTTACTAAGCATCGGCTCCAAGACACCAGCTTCCTTATTGTCACGGATGCTACCATTCTCCAGATCCAAACCAGCCCTAAAATCCAAAAATAAATTCTCCTTCGAAAAATCCTTTTAGCGAACCATCGCAAATGCTGGAGTTGAGCGTTCTTCTGAGACTTGGTATGGAAAGCGCGGAGCTTAGCGACAAGGTCCGTAGGGTCCTTGGCGGCGTTCGACGACAACGTCTTCGGGATTACCAGCAGAGCCTGGGCGAATTCAGCAACGGCGAGCTGTTCGCGAGACGACTGCAAAACCAAAAATAAGGACGGAAGGTATGGGAGATAAGCCAACCAAAGTCGTGGCGAAAGCCTCAAGCCAGACGTTGAGAGCGGCTTCGACGGCCCCTCCGCCGGCAACCAACTTCTTGCTCTCGAGAACTCTTCGGACTACGCAGAGAGCGTCGTGCATCGACCGCTCCATCTCGTCCAGCATCACGTCGTTCGCTCCTCTTAAACAAAAAACGTTTTACTCAGTTTCAAAAAGAAAAAAAAAATCATCAATTTGAATCATTTAATCGGACAAAAAGTTATTCAAGCCTTACAAAAAACATGTTCTCTTTTTAAAAACGGTTTTCCTAATTTCGCAATATTCAAATATGCTTCGAAATATTTGTATGAGCAACAGATACTCAGAAGGGGAGTTGTGCGAAGTTTACGTAATCGGGAAATTTCGAAAACAAAGAAGTTGATAATAATAAAGTTTTTATCAAAATTTTGAATCTGCTTAATTTTTGTCAAGTTTTTTTCTTTTGTTTTTCATGAAAACGACTTTAATGATTTTTAACACCAATATCCAAACGATATTTTTTCGAAATCACAGCTGGTATAGTGGAAGTTCGGTAGTCAAATTCTAAACGCTGATAAAAGACTAATATTCGATTGAATTTTTCAAACACTTGAACATTAACTCATTGAGACGCCTCATCACAGTCCTGATTGACACAATATCTCCAGGAGTTAAATTAAAATTCTTGTCTTCAGGTTTCTATTTGTTCTTTTCCCTTCTTATTCGCACCTCAAAATGATGCTGCTGGCAGTTCGAGACTTTGGTCCCTTGATCAGGATCAACTCGTCGTCGCTGATCCTTTCCTGAACGACTTCTTCTGCGTTTCCGAGATAGGAAGCCTCGAAAGCTTCATCTCCTTCGAGAGTGGCCAACGAAGAAGTCAAAACCGCTGGAACAAATTACAAATCTCAATCATGTCAAAAAATTAACCTCCTGTAGCCTTGGCGATGCGCTTCAAATCCGACTTCTTGCATCGACGAACGGCCATGGCACCAGCTTCGACGAATTGCTTGAGACACAAGTCGTCGATGCCACCAGTCGTCAAAACGACAGTGGCTCCGGCCTTCAGAATTTTTTCGATGCGGCGTTTGGTGATGTCAAACTCCCTGGAAAAATAGCCTAGTTTCGATCATCGTTTCGCAACTAACTCTCGGCGGATAGCCTCCAACTTTGCCGGGTCTTCAACCACGACAGAAATACCCAAGTGCATTTTGGCTTTCTGAAGAGAGAAGTCCAAGCAGGCGATTTTAGCGTTTTGGACACGAAGAGGCATAGCTGGAAGTAATATCGAATTGGAAATCGAGAAAGTTAGATGAAACCTTGACTGGCGACGGTGCAGTTCAGCGCGTATCCCTTGATCAGTTGAGATTCGCGAGCACTTTTTCCGTGAGCCTTCAAGACGTTAACGGCGTTGATCGGGTACGTAACCTCAAAATTTCTTATCTGACAAAAATAATATCGAGTCGAGATACCTTTCCCGTAGAATCGGTGACCTTGACGGCTTCAGCCGCATCAACACACATTGCAGCGAAGAAATCAGAATCTCTGAAGAAAAAAAAACGATCAGAATACTTGTAAAAAGAAGAAAAATGAAGAGATAAACTCACGGGCCAATGATCTTGCTGCTCATGGAAGTTTTAGCGACGTTGATGATCGACTGACGACCAAGGTCATCGGATGAGAAAGAAAGACTCTCCTGAGAAAAATAGATTTGAAAATTGGATTTTAAAAAATCAAATTTGCTCCCACCTGGATGTACTTGACTGCTTCCTTGCAAGCCAAACGGTAGCCGTTGATGACTGTTGTTGGGTGGAGTTTGTTCTTGACCAACTCATCGGCCGCTTTCAACAACTCAGCAGCAACAATGACAACAGAAGTTGTTCCGTCTCCAACCTGAAATTTATACTTTCGCACGGTGAAAATTTCATTCAAGAACCTCTTCATCCTGGAGTTGAGCGAGTTCGACGAGAACTTTGCCTGCCGGGTGCTCAACTTCCAGTTGCTTTAAAATCGTAGCTCCATCGTTAGTCACAATGACATCCTGGAAAAAACAATAAATAATATAAATAAAAACTTCTCATTCAAGTTCTCTAGATATATTGGATAAACATACTCCAACATCGTCTACGAGCATTTTGTCAAGCCCGACCGGCCCAAGAGAAGACTTTACAATATTAGCGATAGCTACAGCAGCAGTAACTAAAAAAACAATTTTTTTAAAATTAAAAATTAATGATAGCTTTGCACCATTTTTGGGTTCTGATGCTTTGGCCAGTCGTTCTTTTGCCAGTGAGCGCCAAAATGGATTCTCCTGCAGACGCCATTACCTGAAAACATGATTTGTTTGAACTTGGAAGAAAAATAAAATTAAAAAAGAAGAAAAGAAAAATGCGCCGAATTTGAGAATATTCGAGCTCGAAAGGATAGTACCGTAGTCACCATGACAATTGAGATTTTCGTTGCAACACGCAGCAGTGGCAGATGGCCAGCCGCAGCGATAATTGGAAAATGCGGCCTCGTAAATATTTTTCGGTGTCCTTTTTTTATTTCAATTTCATTTCAATTGGAACTTTTTATTTTATTTTGTTTCTTAATTATTAGGGGTGATTTAGCGTTGTTTTTCATAATAAGAAGAATTTTTTTATAATAGCCATTTTTTTCAGCACATTTCTGATGTTTAATGGGTTTCGAAGTATTTTCATTTCATTATGTTACGTAAATCAGAGTGTTTTAGGCGTTCGCCGTGATATGTCGCACAAAGGAGGCGATGGAACGTTACAGAAAAATGAAAAGGTATTCTTTAATTAGAACAATCTAAATTCAAGAATGTTAAAGGTTTACTATTATTTGGACGATGCAACTACGCCTTACGTTTCAACGATGCCATCTTCTGGAGGAGTGGTAACCCTTCTAGACTTTAAAAATTCTTTCACAAAGCGCGGATACAAATATTTTTGCAAAGAGTACGACACAGATATTGACTGGTATGTTTCAAGATTCCTGTTCAAATCATTAAAAATTTCTTTTTTTTTCCAGTGAAGTAAAAGTTGAGCTAGTTGATGACGACGATCGATTGAGAAAGTCGAAGAACGGAATTTATGAGCTTTTCTTGGTTAGCATTCCTGGTTATGGAACGCTGCCTCGAACAGGCGGGACGTTGAATAGAAATCATACAGGAACGCTCGAAAGGGTTTTACCAAGAGCTCTGTTTGATGTTGATGCTGATTTTAAGAGGAGGCGTCGTTCTCTTGTGGAAATCAATGGAATCCCATTTTCTGAAGGACCATCTTCTGTGGCGCCTAGTCAATCTACGGTTATTAGTCGTGAGTAATTTTTCATATGTATGAGTTCACTTGTAAAAGATTTCAGGATGTGCGGGTGAGCATTTAGCCGAAGTGTACATGTCCAACTCTGAGGATCCTTATCGTTACGATGACAGTACAAGGTAGAAACTGTTCATGGAGCAGTTTTTTTATTCTGTTTCAGGCTGACCGGGGAATCTTCGCTCTATGAACCGTTAGCGATGAATGGAAGACCCTACGACGAAGACCGTGTCCGTCGGCGAAAACCCAGAAAAGAAAGATACCGACGCGCCTATGTCCCTAGCACTATCAGCTCTGCAACAGAGTCTAGGTTGGCATCCTTTTGAAAAATGGAGATGATTTTTTTTTTCATAGCGTTGGAAGCGGTTTACCGCGTATTCTGGAAATCTTTCTGCCAATGAAAAACGTGCCTTATCTGGGACTGAACGTAACGTCTCTCGACGGGAATATTTACGTGTCGGGAATAGCCAAAGGTTTTTTTTTCGAAATGATGGTCGAAGGATTGAATGTTGATATAGGAGGAGCCGTCGACATCGACCGTCGGATAGAACTTGGCGACCAAATTCTGCAGGTCAATCGAATTTCTTTCGAAGAACTTTCCGTTGATGAGGCCGTTTCTGCGTTGAGAGTCGCTGCCGCGTCCAAAAAGTTCGTCTGAATAGATTATTTTTATCAAAGCTCATGGGTTTCAGACCGATCACCCTGTACGTTAGCAAGTTTCGGGCGAGTGATTTCGAAGATCCAATGTCTTCTCTCGCTTCAGAAACGATGCCTTTGGATGTTTCTGTTTGGGTCGAAACCGCTGTGTGAGTCCTTTTTGGTCTTTTTTTAACTGGGATTTCCGTTCTCAGGCAGAACACGGAGAAAATGCGGGCTTTGGGGATCGATCCGCAAGACGCCACCACTACTTTCGACGACGGGACTTTGCCTTTTTCAACGGCGGGCAGTGATGATGAGGTAAAAACTTAAGATTTATTAGAAAATAAAAGTCAAAGTAATTTTTGCTTCGGCTGCTTCATTTTTTTAGAGTTAACTGTTTGCCGTTTGAACTAACTTATAAAACAGAAATTCTTTCATATTAATTTTCGCTTGAGATACGGCAAATTCTATTGAGGATTGATTTTACAAAAACCAGCTTAAATTAATAACTCATTTCTATTAAAAGTTATCGCAAAATCTTTTATAATTAACGAATTTGTTTGAACTTTCTTGTCTTCAGGAACAAATGCTCTATGATCAGAGAAGAAACGGCGTCCCCAGAGCGTTACTCGAAGAAGCTGAACGGCGAAGGGAAAATGAGCAAAATGGTACTTTTCCAGTCATTTTCGTCAACATCCGAAATTATTCAGAGCAATACTACCCAGAGCATCTGACTGAAACTTTGGACCCGATGATTGTGATCCGAGCCATGGCCCGACCTGATTCGGGACTTCAAGTGAAAAACCGAAAGTGGCTCAAAATCCTCGTCCCCATGTCCTTCATAGGTAAACCTTTTCTTCACTCAAGTTGTTTTTTCTTTTGAATTCGATTGAGAGTAATTTTATCCTATGAACTTATTGAAATGTTTTTTGCTTCCCGAATACACAAACATTAAAATTTCTGTTGCCTTTTATGGAAAACTGTCTTTTGATCTACATGTACTCTACAAGTTTTTATCTTAATTGAAATCCATCCTTGATAAAGGGACGGCGGAAACAAAGTTCACTTCATTTGGGTAATTTTCATTTTTGAATTTTCAAAACTTCATTCAAAAAAACGGATAGATGTGTAAAAAAATCTTTTGAGCAAATCTTGAGGAATTTTCAAAACTTTGAAAATTTTTCATATTCAGTTTCTCAAAAAGTCTTCTTCACTTTTTTTAGCATTTAGAAGTGCGAAATAATAATCATTTTTTTATTTTTCAGGAAGAGATCTCGTGGATTGGTTACTAGAGCACGTAGTGGATTTGAGAGACCGAAAAGCGGCCAGGGCCTACGCCTCGAGGCTTCTGGCGGCTGGCCTCATTCGTCACGTCGTCAGCAAGTTGACCTTCACCGAGAAGTGCTACTACGTCTTCGGAGGTCAGAATTCGTGGGCGGAAGCCCGAGGACGACGTTTTCTGCAGATGGCGTCGTCGTTCTGGGAACCGAGGGCCGCAACGTCGCCGACAGCTCTGGGACCAGCGGCGGAACTCGCGCCGAGGCCACTACAGAGGTCACTTACGTCGGATCTCCTGCACCCGTCGGTAATCATACTTTCTTTTTTTTTTCTTAAGGTCCGTATCAAAAATATTATTTTTTTCATGAAGCAAGAATCTTTCTCATTAGAAAAATAGAATTTTTTTAGGAATTTTTCAAGAATGTTAGTTAAGATTGTTTAACTGTGTTCAGATTGTCGTTGAAAAACTGAATATTATGTTTTGAAAACACCAAAAAGGGAGAAAATAGGAATTCGACTTTCTTTATGCGTTTCCATGTTTTTTTTCTGCTTCTCAACAAGCTTATCTCCAATGAAGATCATTAGTTCCAACTTCCAGATTGCATCTCACAAAATTAATCATGTCGAACATTTTTAGGGATGCGGCTGGTCCCAGGAGGACTGGCGACGGCGAACAGAAACGGCGGCGCCTTGGGACAAGGACGTCATCGATTGGAAACGACGACGTTGAGTCCTGTGGCGCACGACGCGACGTGGTACCGAAGACGCAAGGGATGCGAAAGTCCTTTGGTCAGCTCTTTTCTTTTGTTTTTTCGCTATTCGGAAGGGTATTACTTATAGATCAATAAAGATCATTATAAGAAAAATATAAGAGGTTTTGATGTTTCAAAAAAAAGACACCTCCGCTGTTATTTGTTGAGAATTCATTTCCAGAAGTTGCTTTTTTGATGATGATTTACAAAGGAATTTAATAGGAATCAAGCGGAAAAATCTATGGAACTTATAATTTTTCAATTTTTTTCAATTTTTGTCATTCGTTTCAGTGAATTCTATTTTTCACACTTTTTTTGCTTTGAAGCCGAAGCGCGGTTTTAGAAACTTTAATTTTTGTGTTCTTTCAAAAAAAAAAAGAATGGATGGACCGTTTGAACAGAAATTTAAGAATAAAAAATCGAAAAATCGTCATTTCTCCCTTATTTTCATTTTTTTCAAGCAAAATTTCGTGTTAAAATCGTGTCGCCTGTTCATGATTCCTGTTTTTTTTTATTCATATGAGTCCACACTCATAATTCCGAGTTCTGAAGCGTCTTTTATGAGTAAGAATTGTTTTTCGTTGCAGACGAACGACTACGCGTCGATGGTGGGCGAAAGCCACCTCGGAGCCGGCGGCTACAGTACTTTCGTGGCCGGAGTTCATTCCGGCAGACCTGCGCCTTCTCAGGCGACGTCTTCCTGTATCACGAGCGGATTCGGAGGTCCTCCGCCGACGCCTCTCAGTGGCACTGCCGTCATTTTCGCTCCACCGCACCCAAGCCCTTGCGAGACCGAGTTCGAAGACGACGACAAGCGTCGCATCGTCAAGCCCTAACCTTCAAATTTCACCCTTTTTTCGGCATTTCCCTTCACAAAGACGTGGTCATCTATAGCGGTATTTAAAAGAAAGTTGTATTTCTATTCATTTCCTTGAGACAACTAGTATATTTCTTTTTAGACTGTGTCAAGTATTGCTCAATAGTGTTTTTTTCTCTGCGTTTACTTTCCTAATCGACCAATGTTAATCAATGATACTCACGTTTTTTTTTCATATGCTTCAAGCAGAACCTCACGGGAATCTTATTCGCACACTTGTGAACCATGACCAACAGCGATTATTTCTGTATGTAAATACTTTCTTGTGCTATCATTCGCTTTTTTTAAAGTGCTTTACTTTTTCTCCCTTTCTGTCCACATTTTTCATTCTGGTATAAAAATTATGTTTATATAGCATTGTGTTGAAAAGTGTGTAATTATGTTTGTTTCAAAAGCTACTTGATGAAGTTGAAAAAATAATCGAAGACAATTTCTGAACTCAAGAAAAGCTTCGTTAGGACTAAAAGATATAAAGTAAAACTCACGCTGATAGCTATTCTTGAAAGAACTTTCGCTCAATAATTTTCTTTTTACAGTGCTCAAAACTGATAAAAAAACGTCCAAAAGAAAAATTAACAGCCCAAGCGTTTTTAAACCTCATTAACTTGTAAATTTGAGAAATTTCTAGCATACTGGAGAACTTGGCCATCACAGCTTCCGTGAAAATGTCAGAAACTGGCTTGGTCGAAGAGAAAGTGCGCTCCAAGGGCGATGAAAAAAGTTTTTTTTTTGCAAATCCCAATTTTTCTATTTTTCATTTACATTTTTTCATTATACTCTTTTTCCCCTTATTTGAAAATGGAACGGTAAGCACTCTCTGGCAATCTAATTCTCATCATGAGCAACTTGGTCATTTTGCACTATGACGCGTCTTCTCGAAATTTTTGCATTCTGAAAAGATCTTCATGCTTTTAGGTATGTCTCGTCGTGTCGATTTCGATCCCAATGTGGAAGAAGTTTTCGAAAAACGACGTCCGACTTTCAACAGTGCGTTTTATATAGAATATACGTTTCTTACGTCTTTACTAAATCATTATTAACTGCTCTTTTATTAAATTTTTTTAATTAGCTTTATCTCATAAATTATTTGAAATCACTTTGAAAGGCAATAAAAAATTATTTCAATGCTTTAACGACGAGAAACGACGTATGAGCGAAATTTTTTTCTCTAATATCAAAAACAACCTCGCGGACCAAAAAAGAATCATCGAATCTCTTTCGTAATTTCAATTTATCAAGGCGAAGAAGAAGGCGTACCTGGAGAAGTGACTGATTACCTTGTTTATTTTTCGCGAATGATCGACGAGCAAAATGTCGAAGAAGTTCTGACACTCTACGATCAAGCTTTTCCCGATTTGACCGAGAGGTACCTTTTTTCAAGGATATAACTTTGGAAATGAACTAGTTCAGATTTTTCCGGGATCGGATGTGGCCTGATGAGCACGTTGTCGAACGGATGATTGGACCAGGTATTTCCTTGTTTTTTACAATTTTTTTTCAGTCTCTGAAAATCTTATTTTCTGTATTTTGAAAGTAGTTGAGATCTTTCACGTCAAAATAGTCCTTACGAATTATTTTATAGGAAATCGAATCTTCATAATTCTCTACAAAGAGCTCTACTTCCGACAGTTGTACGCTCGCAACGCCCGCGGACCCCAACTCGTCTACCGCGTCGATTCCTTCATGAACTATCAAGTATAGGATACAGTAACTGCTCACTCCAACAAGAGACTTCGTTGCAGGACCTTTTCTCGGAACTTCTGTCCAGCAAGGAGCCTGTTCCTTTGAGCCTTCCCAACATCTGGCTCTGGGACATTGTTGATGAGTTCGTCTACCAGTTCCAAGCCTTCTGTCTTTACAAGGCGAATCCCCAGAAGAGAACTTCTGATGAAGTCGATGAACTCATCAATATTGAAGAAACTCAGAACGTAATTATCTTTTTAGGAGGAATAAACGGTAAATTTGAGTTTTCCAGGCATGGAACATTTACCCCGTCCTCAACATTCTGTATTCGTTGCTTTCAAAGTCGCAGATCAACGAGCAACTGAATGCGTTGCGGGAGAAAAGTAAGTTGAAAACCAAACTTCAAATAGATTTTGTGAGCGTTTTGTTTGTCCCACAAAACGTCTTGAAATAGCAGTTTTCCTCATTTTTGGGTTATATAGTCTTTGTGCCACGACTTGAAATTTCACCGAACGACATTCCGCTGTTCCGCTGCGTGCTTCGCGAAGCGTCTTTCGAATTTAGGCCACCCTTTCAATTGATTGTTATTGTTGAGGGAGCACAGGAAAGTAGAGTACCTTAATAAAAGAAAAAAAAAATTTAAAAGCGCGACCAAGTTTTGCAAAGGCGCACAGCGGAATGTCGTTTGGTGAGATCCCAAGTCGTGGTACACAGGCTATAATAAATTGGATTTTTCTGTTGTTTTTGTCATATATGCGGTTGTTAGAAAATTCTCGGATTGTATTTCGAAAAGCTCAAAAAGCTTTAAAATAAAATATTTTTCATGAATTTTTTTTTCATTGAAAGACTTTAATCTTCTGTTGACTTAGTTCTGTCATGGTTCTAAATCTTGCGGCTTAAATGATGACTGTTTTCAATAATATCATGTAGGCCACCCGATTCTCTGAGAAAATTCTGAAAAATCCAGTCCATTTTCTCACTTTGGAAATGATAGTTTTATTCTAAAACGTTTTAGAAAACCCCGATTTGGTCGCCGACGAGTTCGGACAATCGGATCTCTACTTCAAACTGGGTTATTTCTCTTTGATCGGTCTCCTCCGTACTCATGTCCTTCTGGGAGACTATCACCAGGCTCTCAAAACCGTCCAGTACATTGATATTGACCCCAAGGTTTTTCTTTTCCGATGAGAAGGTTTAGAAATAAAGAGGAACCTTAAGGGTCTGTACAACACGGTGCCCACTTGTCTCGTCACCCTCCACTACTTTGTCGGCTTCTCCCACCTGATGATGAGGAATTACGGCGAAGCGACGCGTCTTTTCGTCAACTGTCTTTTGTACATTCAGCGCACCAAAAACGTCCAAACTCAGCAGCAAACCAAGAAAAACACCTTCACTTACGATGTGGTTCGTTTTACGTTACCTCAAAAGTTCAATATAGTTTCAAAACTTCTGTATCTTAGGCAAGATTCAAAAAAAGCAAGAAAATCTATTTTTAAATGCCGTAGGAATTTTTAAACTTTTTTTTTCTCCATTTTCAACCGATTTCCAGAGCTCATTTCAATGCCACGAAAATTGTGTGATTAGTGTTTTTTTCTTAAAAGTGCGGTTATTAGATGATATTGATCAATGCGCGAAGATGATAATTTTGAATGGAAGTCTGAAATAGTTACGGAAAAAATTTGAATAATTTTATTATACATTATTTTTCTGTCACATTGGTTCTGTGAATCTTTATGGAACGCCCAACAGAAGGGAGTTAAACAGGCAGCTTTTTATTAAAGATAAAAAGTACTTTTTTTATATTTTGTAAACCTGTCTTCTTTTCCATCGGACTAGAAAAAAAAATTTGACTGATTTTAAAAGTTTGAAGTGTGTCGAGGACTAGGAGAAAGCTAATATCTCTACTAAACTGGAACTGACCTTAAAATTCTTTTAATAGCAGTGTAGTGGTCAAAAAATCTATCAAAATGAAACCAGCAAAACGTGTGCATGATTTGAACGATTTGCTCAGATCGGCAAGACCTGGGAGCAGTTGTTCCACCTTCTGGCGATCTGTCTGGCCGTCCAGCCCCAGCGAATCGACGAGAGCATCGCTTCTCAGTTGGCCGAACGATGTGGAGACCGGATGTCACACATGGCCAACGGCAGCATCGAAGAGTTCCGCAGCGCCTTCTCCATGGGGTGAGCGAACGGCGATTCTCTTCCTAACTAATCTTTCCATTGAAGATGCCCCAAGTTCCTCTCTCCGACGACCGTCGCCTATGAAGGCGCCAACTTGTCCAAGGTCCGTTTTCAGCAACAATATCCCTCTAATGACCTTCAGGAGCCTCTTCTGCGACAGCTGCAGTCGTTCCTCGAAGGAATCGAGTCTCAGATGGCGTTGCCGATTCTGCGCGGCTACCTCAAGCTGTACACGACGCTGCCGACCAAGAAGCTGGCGTCGTTCATGGACGTCGACGACGAACATTATGACTCTTTCCTCGGAAAACTTCTGACCTACAAGGTTTTTTGATCGAACAGTCTGCGTTATCGAGGAGAATTGAGATGATCGTTAATGAACTGGGCAAGGAAGGTTTGCCGGCGACCAACGACGAGGAGGAACCGACTACGGACATCGATTTCTACGTTGACCGCGTTAGTTATTTATTTACAAGAACGATCCTTCATAAAATACACTATACTTCTACTCTTTGCTTTATTTCTCTGCGGTCAACTTCAAATTCTCAAATTGTCCTCTTTCTAGAAATATTCGTTTTCAGGATATGATCTGCATTGCTGACACAAAAGTGGCCCGTCGTGTTGGTGAACACTTCATCCGCCACATTCAGAAATTGCACGAGGTTTATTTTTCTTTCATTTTTTCCAAAAAGGTGTCGTTTTCAGGTTCAACAACAGCTTACCAAACTCGAAATTAAGCCTTGATTGGCGATATAACTTTTTTTTAATCTGTTGTTTTTTAATAATTATATGATTTGTTTTACTAAGTTATCTTTTGGTCCTCTTCTACTCCTTTCTGTGACTGATATTTCAGGTGATCGAAGTTTGATAGGAGAATATGAAACCAAGATATTTTATCCATCATATTCCCGTCTTCTATCATCTTGATTATTAGTGAGGCTTGTTCTTTCTTTCTGTTGTTGTTATATTCTTTAAAGCACTTTTCTCGTTCTTTTTGGGCTTTTTTTTCGAATGAATCATGGATTTATTACAAACTTATTTACATGAAAACAACCGGAAGATGTTTTCGGCTTTTACTTGATTTCGCCTTCAGGAGCAGCCCAGGCGATGACGCCACAAGCGGCGCGAGCGCCAGCGTTTCCAGTCTTCAGCGACTCTTCCCTCTTCTCGCCAACACCTTTTCCTGAATTATCCCGGTTGATGATCGTGGAGAGATAGTTTCAGATCGGTATCAACTTGACTAGCTCGCGTTGATTTGAGAGGCATTAAGGAGAAATCTAGCCTTTACAGAGAGTTTTCTTCGAGAAAATGAAAAATGATGAAGCCTCTGAAGTTTTCCTGAGCTCCCTTCAACTCACCAAGGTCATCCTGTTGTTTGTGGACGACCATCGACCTGCCGACCACCGAGTTGCTTCCGTGCAGCTTGATCATGCTGTCGGTGAGCTCGAACCTGGAATCATCACTTTTTCTTTTCTTCTCTAGCGACCCTCACTTGGCAACTCCATCAGCGCCCACCGTGACGTTTCCGAGATCGCCAACGTGTCGATCCTCCTCCTGAACTTTTTGATTAAATATCACGATCGAAAAGCGATGTAAAAAAATGTCGTATTCAAAGGGTTGATCTTTTTTTGCATTCTTGCTCAAGTGAATAAAATTGCGAGAAGAAAATTGTCTGCTCTCTCTTTCCTCTCTTCAAACTAAGAATTTCGACAGACTTGAAAAAGTTTGAAAAGTGCTAGTGAAGAAGGAGAAGAGAGTACAGAGAAGTCAACCAGTTCCTATTACTAGAGAACAAGGCTAAAAGTTGATAAATGTAGCCAAGAAGGGATCAGTTTGCTGTTGTTTCTTAGCTTTGCTTCCATTTTATTTTTTATTCAGAAATCTCTACTCTCCACAAATCAACTTCAGCACTTTCTCATTCTCAATTAAAAAACGAACCAAAGGTCCTCCGTGGGTCTTTTCGAAAGGATTGAAATGGGGACCAGCGGATTCGCAACCGCGAGTCGAGTCGCCGTACTGGTGGACGTGGAAGCCGTGGAGACCAGGATCCAGGCCGCGGATCTCGCCGCGAATCACGATCTGGTCCGATTCGCAGTTCTGAAAAGAAAGGTCTCATCAAAACACTTCATCTTTTTTGGAGTCCATCAAGTTTTTTTTTTCTAAAGCGAACCAACCTGATGGAAACAGACGACGCCTTCTACACCGTCGCCCTTAAGAACGGCGACGGCACGGTTGCTCGTCTTGGATGCCTAAGAATACATTTTCATTTCAGGGAGAAAAGCAGCGGAACTCACAGCGGGAGTGAAAGCGTCTTTGACAGTGTCAAGCAAGCCCATTTTCGTGCGTTTATATAGTTTTTCTTCTGAAACGGCATCAGTATGAATTGGTACGGAACAAAATCGAAAAAGGACGTCTGTTTTGAGGTGTGAAGATGGAAAAAAACGACCGGAGGATGACTTCAAAAAGTTTTTTTTTTAAATCAGCTTTTTAGCTGAAGCTTAAGCAGTGTCAGAGAAGATTCCCACAAGATGAGATGACAATGTAAATGGAATATCATTGAAACATTTCAAACAGAATACCAATCCATTTGAAAGCCCAAGTTCGACAACCACCACCTAGGAAGGAACGTCGCCAAACTGAATGGTGCAGAAATGTCGAGCAGGCAGCATTTTCAGCGACCAAAGCTCGGCCGCGCGAGGAAAACAACTCTGCGTGTTTTATTTTGCAAGAAAAAAGTCCACTATTTCCAAAATTCTTTCGCCGTCTCACTCGCATCAACAACAACGTATGCCGTTCTTTGTCTTTTTGATTTTGATAAGTTTCGAAGTCCCACGTGTTTGTAAACTGATAACGGACTGTGAAGAAGAAAAAAGATAGCGAAGAGAAAAACAGAAAGAAAAAAAAAGCGAGATGAAAACTAACACACGATTTGAGGACTATAGTTCTATTAAGTAAAGTAATTACTGTAATCTATAGAACGAAAAAAAGCAAGAGAGACCAACATTTCACGTATATAATAAGTAATTACTGTAATATAAACACGTTTCTCACTGCTACCAAGGAATCCCACAATTTGAAGAGATGTGTTCGAAAAACTCAATTATTTTTGAAATCTTTTAAAATCAGGTGAGAATTAATAATTTTACTCATGATCATGCACAAGTATTTGAATATATAGCAATCCACCGCGTGAGAACGCCGTTATTTTTTTTTCCATTTTTTAATTACGCGAAATTACTTTGAGCACGGCATAAACTATCGGCTGTAGATGGAGAAATCGCTGTGAAAACGAATAAAAATCATTTTACAAAAGTGATGGAAAAAAATTAAATGAAATATTGAAAGTGGACTGTTTTGTTGAAACACGGCGCAGAAGTTTACGTCATTTTGTTTACGTCTTTTTTTCCCCGCGTTTGAGATCTCCACCAAACTATAGTGTATTCAAACACATTTTTGAAGTGGTCTTCTGGAATAACCGAGTGAAAAAGTTTAGAAAGTCGTTACGTGGTTAGAAGATATGAGTTTCCTGTACATTAAAAATAAAGAAAAAAATATAAAAAAATACTGCTCAAAGTTCTCTCATAGATTTTTCGCCATTCGAACTCTTTATGGAATTAATCGAATTATCATCATCATTATTTCATTTTCCAAAACATTCTGAATGTGGAATTGCGAAGTAGTTCGGAAACAAAAGTTACATTTTACTGGTTTATTGATTATGATCAATAAGTGATGAAAATAAATTTCATTAAAAAAACTGAAAAGAGATCAAATTGAAGAAAATTTTGCAAACAAAAGGAACAAAAAGGAGTGGACTAATGTAGAAAATAAATGAAATAATGAACTCGTTTTTTTAAAAACTTGAACGTCGATAATTTGTTTCTATTCTACAAAAATCTTAGAAGATGCTAATTTGTTCAAGTGGAAAAAATTGGTGAGGATTTTCCTGAGTATTGCAAGAAGTCTTAAGATTTGATCGCCGAATGATAATAGTTTAACGAGTATTTATGTATGGTTGAATCATGAAAATGTTCGTTATTTAGGAAGTGTCGCCAGTGGTACTCGTAGGGAAGAGTTTGGGGAATCTTCTGGCTTCGAGAAACTTTTTGCGGAATGAGCCCGAAAGGCAGAATAGAAGCCAGGGGTTCGACAGAGCGAAGGCGTCAGCCGAAACCGTCAGAAGCACGATGACGAGGTTGTGAGCCTGAGATCGCAGGGGAAATACGTCCAGGGCCAGAAGACACTGAAAATGTGTTTTTATGCTCCTATTCATGTGCTCGAACACGCTTTGACAGTTTCTGTTTTGAGAAATGTGTGACAAGCTAATTTTTTTGGTTTTAATCTTCATTTTATAAGCCACTCACTTTCTGAAAAAATCCATTAACAAATGCGACAAACAGAAAAAAAAACGATGAAAACATTAAAAAATGGCTTTAACAAAACAACACTTTTTTATCGCTCTTTTCGAGGATGATCAGGAAATTTACTGTGTTCTTCCGTTTACATTTGTACAACGCAATCCTTTTCAACGACTATAATACATTTTAAAGAAATAAAACAATCAAAAAACGATCAAAATTAGAGTTAAAACCAAAAAAATTAGCGTGGCCGAGGTTGGCAAATTCGCACGATGCGCGCTACCGCACAAATCGAAACAGCGGAGTGTCGTTCCATGAAATTTCAACTTGTGGCACATCGACTATACTTGTGAGAGGAGACTCTAGTCTGAAATCCCTGTTTTTTCGACCACTTTTTAAAATTTTGATTGGTTGCGGACTTCCAAGCTTGATTCTCATTTAGTTAAGATGTATATATCAATAAATATATATTAAAAAAAATGACCTGACAGATGGTCATGGAGATGACGACGACCGTGAAGATGCAAGAGTAGATGAGGAGATTTGTTTGGACTTTGGCGGCGAGCTTTTGTTGCGTCTCAAACAGCTAAAAGTAGAGAAGATAGGCACAAGGGGAAGCTATCGGAATAGATCAACGGAACCTGCATCCGACGTTGCTTCGAATGAACCAATACGGCGGCGATGTTGAACGAGAGACTCGCCGCGCAGAAAGACACGTAGAGGCAGCACGACACGAGCGAGTTTTGCTAGGAATCCGAGGTTTCCGGAGTTTCGAGGAGATCAAGAACCTTCTGATCTTCATCGTTGATGAGATAAGGGATGACGGAACCGTTGACGCTCAGGTAACCGGCCGGTTGCGGGATCCTCACCAGAGTGGGAATCAACGACGCCACGGCACAGCAGCCGAAGAGAAGGAAAGTCGGCCGTCTTGACCAGATCTGACAATTTTCGTACAGTAAGCTAGTTGACCACGAAGCTCCATGCCAAAGAAATAAACTAGATTTCTTCCTAATATTAGTTTCTTCTAATGCATAAGCGGCTTTCATACTCAACTGAACTGAAAATTAGTTTTGACGAAAACTCGAGGGTAGAAACAGCTGTTCTCGCTTTCTATAGTTCAGAAAAAAAAAACTCGAATGAGCTGCTCTATTGAAATGTTTGGAATGAATATTACCTTTTTGTGTCCGATGGGAAAGGCAATGGCGGTGAGTCTGTTGGCTGACAAGATGAGTTGCGCACAGAGTTCGATGAGCGTCGCGTATTGGGAAACGACGAAGCCGAGCTTGGCCAGCAGAGGAAACGAAAGACATGCCTGGACTCGAAATTAGGAAATTCATTTTGTGCGGAAATACCTGCCAGCCTGAAAGCGGTAGTCGGAACGCCACAACTGATGTCAGGACTTGCACAACATCGGCTGGTGCTGAAATGGATTTTTGAAAAGAGATTTCGTCTCTTTTTTTTCTCAGTAAGCTGTTTTGAACTGTCTGGTCTTTTTCCAAACCAAAATGCCAAAAAAGTGGACCTCTGGCAAGAAACAGCCGGTGGAAGGCGGAGCGGAACTCGGGATCTCTGGACCACACTATGTAGAGGCAGATCATCCCGTAGAGCAGCAGACTCGGGACGATGTAGGTCAGTTGGATGAGGACAATCAGGAGATAGTTCATTTGAGGCCTTGTTCCATGGGAAGTCCAGCCTCAACATTCACATTCGTTCAAAACAGAATGCTCAAAACATTGCGGAACAAATATTCAACTCGAGCTTTATTTCCGGGCTTCAAATGTCAGAAATTGACGACGTACGTTCAAAAACTAGTCAAGGATGTTGGAGAGTTCAAGCAGAGGAAAAAAGGAGGAAAGTGGACCACTTCTTTCAATTTCCTTCTACTCTTGGTAGAAGATAGGAATAAAAAAAGAGTCCAGCTGTCCGTGAATTCCTAATTTTCAACCTCGCTGGTTGAAATGGTCTAGTTCTGAGGAGAAATTCGGAGCTTGTGGCGTCTTGGAAAGATATCTGACAAGATAGAAAGTCCAAAAGTCTGGAAGAGAGCAAGCTTTGGAATAATTGACTTCCAACCCATTGAATGTGTTATGTGCCGTCGAGCACATTTTGATGCTTCAAGTTTCACCGTGTAATTCAACGCTGTTTGTAATTGGGCGCCGCCGCAAAAGAAATTCCAAGTTCCGAAGATTTTAATTGGCAGTGGTCGATGAACAGAGCATTCTGACCGAGGACGATGTTTGCAAAATAATCAGTGATGCCAAAAGTTTTTCATATTCAGTCATTACGGGATTCATTATACGTATGACTTGAATAGTAAGTCCAAGTTAGAGCTTTTTCGTTCTACTTCGCAAACATATTTATTCAGTCATTTAATGTATTTCCAGAGTTCTTCAATCCGTGAAAGAAAACTAATTTTCGATGTCAATTTGATCATCTGGTCGTCGGAATGCTGAAAATTCGTATATTACTATCACAAGAACGCCGTGATGGTCAAGGCGCCGTTTTTGATCAACGACAGTTTCGCGAACCGAGAAACTACTCTTCACTTATTCCATCCTGATTCAGCACACAATCTTTTCTGAATACTAAAAAATGTAAATGTAAATGTCTGTTAGGCTCTACAAAAATAGAAAAAAAAAATAGAATATTCAGAAGAATGTTCAAAAGTTGAGTGACAAGCAGTTGTTGAAGTCTTCCATTTGCGAGAACGGCTACTGTCAACTTCAAAACTTGAACAGATGTTTATTTATACACGAGGAACGAAACTAAAATTAGCCGATAAATGGCAACATGAAAGGGCAAAGGGCAATATCCGTGTGGAAAAACAATGGGCCGGCCGATTCAATCCGCCCAAATTAAGACGTCCTTCGCGACATTTTCCAATTAAAGCGCGTCATTGGTCTCGCAGTTTGTTGGGATTTTGGCGGAAAAAGCTGAATTTCGATGAAAAAATACATTTTGCAATAGACAAGCTCTCTTTTAGTAATCAAGAAATATTAAAAAGTTGAACCAACGGATATATATTATAAATCAATTGAAGATCTTTCTGAAATTTCGCAAAGTTTATATAAAAATAGGAAGAGTATAGACACAAAATGAGTTGAAGAAAATGAGAACGAAACCTTCAACGCACGTTGATATCCTCGCTCCATGAGGAATTCTTACTCTAATGAAAATCATTTATTTTAAAATTTTTCATTTTATTTTATTTCTCCAATGGTTGCGAAAGAATGTGGAAGAATAAATCTTTGATCGGGGAAAATTGAAATTTTTCCATCGGGATTTTTTCGCGGAGGACCTTGAAATATTTTTTTTCTCTGTCATAAAATTTCTATTGAAGAGAAAAAGATACAGCTGAGCCAAAAACCTAGCTTCAAATCATTTGAAAAAAGATAATGCAACAAAATCGTACAATCAGGGGAAAAAACATTTTTTTACGTTTCTGTCCTTCACACGCGGTTGACCATGAGAACTTCTCAACAAAAAATAACTACTGGCTCATGTCCAGAAGCATTATTTTTAGTTACTTTACTAGTTAGTTGAACCATTCAAATGACTTTCTATGGGAGCTCACCGATTATTCGGGTTCAACTAGAGCAGAAACTCTTCGCCAAACTTCATAAATAAGAAACTAACAAAAATCTATCATATTTGATATTTTTTTCATTCTTTTTGAAGGTACGGAAGTCTTAATTTTTATTTAAAAAAATTATTCGTTGGATTTGCGAAATAGTTCCTGCAAAAAAATATGTTAATCAATAAATCTTTCTCAACGTCAAAAATAGCCTTTTTTTGAAAATAAGTTCATCTCACTTTGTGTTCTCAAAGCCACGAATTTTATAAACACGCGACTATCAGCAATTTTCATAACTTCTAAGCTTCCTATTTTTAATTTAACACATATATTTTTATCTGAATTATTTATTTTATTTGTCAGAAGACGTCTTCAAGCCTTCGGCAAACGCTCGTTTTTCACCGCGCCGTGGATTACAACCCAAATAACACAGCCGATAACTCAAAGGCGGGAAGTTCTTACCCGGAAAAGTGCACGAGAGTTGGACACACAGGGCATATTACAGTATAGCCCCCCGCATATGTTGGATATCACCCCCCGCGACACGTTCGAACAAGCCCCCCACTCTTATCCAATATAGCCCCCCGGAACTATCCAGTATAACCCCCCACACCGAAAAAAAGTCACGCAACGATCACGCAGGACACGTGTCAGAGCTTCCATTTTTTTAAATTTATTTTTCTAATTTTTTTCGTATCATTCGTCGTTCTTGGTTGTTTCAAATGGTTTTTTTGTATTTTTCGCATGTGAATTCGTGTTCTTTTTGTGAATTTAATAATTTTTGTGATTTGTTTTTTAGACCATGGAAGAAATTAGGTCGCTGACCGAGTTTCATGAGAAGTTCAAGTCAGACAAAGAAGTTTACGGGTACGTCTCGCCGAGATACGTACGAATATCATAAAATTATGGGGCGCTGACCACTTAGAAAAATTTAAGATGAACTTCATCAGTTTTCAATCAAGTAATTGTTCTGAGGAATAGAATTTTTTTGCTTTCTCTTTTCATGCACATTAATTAATAAATTACTTAAGAAAATAGGCTTAGTTTTTAAGGCTTCACACGGAGGCGGAGCGCGCATAGCGCGAAGCCGACTGTGGCTCGCTTCGAAAAAAACTGAGCCACAGTGAACAATTCGTCAAATAAATGAAATACTTGACATAGGGGGGTCATTCTGAAATGGAGGGGGCCATTCTGAAATGAGAGGGGGCCATTCTGAAATGAGAGGGGGTCATTCTGAAATGGGAGGGGGCTTGTTCGAATGAGCTCTGGGGGGGACTATTTCAAAGCCGTGCGGGGGGCAAATATGAAAGATTGCCTAGGCATTTCAGAATCGCCCCCCGTTTTGTACTGTGGGGGGCCATTCTAGAATACATATTCACCCCCCGCGTTCGATTCTTCCCCCCACATGAAGTCCTCCTATTTAACCCCCCACAGATCGGAACTTGGCTTGGTGGGGGGCTTGTTGGAACGCGGGGGGCAAAAACAGTGTGGGGGGCGATTCTGGAATTTTCCCCATATATTTTTATCTGAATTATTTATTTTATTTGCACTCAACAGTTCTCAAACAAACAAAATGAATTGTTTTGGTTGATTGTTTCTTTTCCAGGCTGTTCCATGAAGAATCCACGTATTTTGTCGAGTCAGAAGACGTCTTCAAGCCTTCGGCAAACGCTCATTTTTCACCGCGCCGTGGATTACAACCCAAATAACACAGCCGATAACTCAAAGGCGGGAAGTTCTTACCCGGAAAAGTGCACGAGAGTTGGACACCGAGCCCCGATTGAATGAATTTTCTGCCAAAAGCGAGCAAATCGGAGAGAATAAATTTAACGGGCCATGACAGCCGCCAGTATTCAACCTCTACTTTTTCGACCTTTCCAGACTTAAGTCGAAGTGATTCGCTCTACACCCTATTAATTTCTCTCTGCCTTTTTTTCTCAAGTTTAAATATCTTCCTTTCATTACTGGTTAGCTAGCGACGCAAACTTATAAAATCTAGACGATGCGCATTAAAAAAAAACGTTTTTCTAAGTTATCACTAAAGAGGGTGTGCTGCGCAGAAATCTTCTTTGGTTTTTTCATGCACTCAAAAAAATTATAAAAGCTTCGACATTCAAGTTCGCGTCAAGGAAAATAAAAGACCTACGCGGCGACAAAGCAGCATTTTTGCGTGGTCTCATATACCGCCAGCGAACTTGTTTTGATTTTGTCAGTCATTCTTATAGCCGATTTACGGCTGGCTTGAGCCATCGAAAAGGGGGTCGTGATAGGGTAAAAAAAATGATAGAGTTTGATGGGGAGCCGAGACAGTGCCACGCTTCTCAGTGTCCCAAGCCAGCCGTGAATCGGCAATAATGTTATTTAGAAAAATATTCAGGAACTAAGATTACTGTACTCATTGAATACGTTCACACTTCTTCACAGCAAACGCTTGATTCGACGCCAAGTTATCAATAATTTTTTAAAGTGTAGTGTTTTTTTAAATAACTTTCTTTTTATCGTTTAATTTTTGTTGTTTCAGGGGACCTTTGAGCTCATTGTTTTTTTTTTATCACAAGGCGTTTCTATTTTGAAAGGCTTTGGCTTTTTTTTCATGCCATTCTGATGACCTTTTTGAAACTTTTCTTCATCAATGAAAGGTCATCCTATAAATTATCTCGATTAGAAAAAAATATGGTTAAAATATAGAAAGCGAAACCAGGTTTTTTTAAGGCCTCAATCTAATATTAGAACTGAATTTATGGATTTCTACCCACCACGATAACCTTTTTTTCAGAGCGAAGGCTTCAAAACGAGGTGCTCTTCCTACAGAAGCTGTGAAACGCAATAAAAAAATTCGGAAAGGCAGAAAGTTCGCTGACGCCTAATCGAAAGAACAGTGAGTTTTTTTGAAAAAAATATTTTTCTCACAAAATTTGTGACATTTCATTGAACTTCATTTATCATGGAGATAATCACATTAAAAAAATTTTCATAGGTCATAAATTTTTTTCTGGTCTTTTGTGAAATCCTAACAGAAAATCTAATAAAAAAATATTTTTCATTAGTAGCAAACAGAGTTTCATCTTTTTCCCAATGTGCAAATTTGAAAAAAATTCTTTTTGAAGGATGACTTAAGAATTTTTTTAGTTTCTCGAATACTAATCTTTATCAAGTAAAATATTCTCAACCTATTCATGTTTTTTTGAAATCCCAATTTTTCTCGATTTATTTTTCACGTCCCTTTTACGGAAGCTTTTTTTTTTCAAATATTACTGTCCACAATTTCAAGTTCAATTTAAAAAGTTAAGTTGAGCAGCAACATGTATGTATTTTGGTGACAGAAAAAGAGCGAAAGATAAGGATGGAGCTGTTTGTCGACGGCGTTTGGAGTGGCCTTCTGGAATCCCTTGGAGGTTTGCCGGCTGTTTAGACGAACGCCCAATCCTCATGAACGCTATCTTTTTTCGCGTCTGCTTCCTGATATATTTATATATACTACTTAACTTCTGTTCAGCTTTTCCGTTGCCTGAATTAATCTTTTTTTGTTTTCTCTTCATACAAGTCTGGCTTTAACTAAATTCCGTTTTTTAGAAACTCAAGTTTGAACTTTTCTGCTTTCCCCAACGACGGGTTTTCATAATGTAGATCATATTAAATTCTCCATGTTCGTCAATTCATTATTAGCTTCTAAAACTTCAAAAGACGCTCGTTGTTTGCTAAGCCTTCCAAATAACTTTTTAAAACTAAATTTGGTTCGAAATTAATCTCGAATTTCAACTTAACACGCTGTCTCTGTAATTTTCGAAATTTTCTCAAAAACAGCGGGTACAGAAAAAAAAAATATTTTTTGATTTCGATGAAATTTCAACCAGTGTTATCATATGACGTCAGGATTGCGGACACGATTTTTTGAGCCATTTCTTCCAACCGTAACTGGGTTACGGTAGTGAGGTGGTCACCTGCGTATCTAAGAATTGACAAGTTTTCTCTAGGCAAGCTGTATATCAATCGATAGGTAATGCAATTTTAAGAAGTTTTTCAGTACATACCATCTTGGGTTACTGTAGAAATTTTTGAGATACGGTACTTTTTGTGTTTGCGACTTTGGTTTTTTGGTCACCCTACTCACAATAGTTATTTGCCGTTAAAGTTACCTCTCTAAAAGATGTGTCAGGTCATCAGCTACAAATTCATACCACATTGAAAAAATTCAGGTGACCACCTCACTACCGTAACCCGGTTACGGTTGGAAGAAATGGCTCAAAAAATCGTGTCCGCAATCCTGACGTCATATGATAACACTGGTTGAAATTTCATCGAAATCAAAAAAAATTATTTTTTTCTGTACCCGTTGATTTTGAGAATTACAGAGACTGCGTGTTAAAGCTCAGTGAAATAAGATTTTCTTTAAACGCTCAATGTGACTTTCAAAAAATCAGAACGGCAATGATCACTCGCGTTTTCCCCTAATAGTCCTTCTGCCATGAAATCATTGGAAAACAAAAAAAATCTTGATGATCAGGATTTTGGTTGACTTGAGGCACAAATTTTTGAACGAAGTTAAGTTAATAATATAGTTTGCCGTAAGACTGAATTGCAGCCTCTAAAGACGCAAAAATCATGCATGGAGTTTTATGGTATGGAAAAGCTATACAATTCTTGATCTCATTAAACCACGTGCTGAAGGAAATTTGGTAGAACGAATCGGCGACTTTTTTAAAAGATCTCTCGTTCTTACAGTGTCTGTTCATATATTTTTTCTGTACTCGTTGAATGAAAAATATGTTGCTATGGTTTTCATTATGTTTCTTTTAACTCCTCAGCGAAGACCTGACTATATTGCTAAAATGGATAACTACGGATTGAACCGCTCAATTTCTAACCATTTAACGACGATTGGATAAAATAAACAAAAACTAAAGCATCTTATGAGAACGTCTTCCACTTAACGACTTTCTACTCTCAGTACACATCTCGACAACGTTTTCCTCGAATTTCCGGCCCAATGAATGTCCAATCAACACGCATCGGTGCATTTTTGCTTCAAGCCACGCCTCCTTTAGCATCATGTCGTTTTTATTTATTTTGCCGAAATCACTGTTCGAAGAAATAACGAAAAAAAACAGCCAAGAGTAGACTATCAGCGACAAGAATTTTCACTTCTAGGTTTATTTTCCTTTTTCAACATCTTTAATGAATATTTGTTTGCGGGCGTCCGTCCGTCACGGCTACAGACGTTATTTTCGAGGAAAAGCTCGGTTTCGAGCTCCACTTCACTGCGGAACCACTAACTAAGCCACTTATAAGCTTCGTTGAGTTTTATCCCCACCCTTTCACACGGCTTTCTTCACTTTCCGCCGCCACACTTCTCACCTTTTGCCAACTCTTCCCATTTTTAGAAAACTACGTTTGCAGCCTGTTTCCTTATTTGGCCGATCAAATATAGCTTGGTTTGCTCAAATTTTTGGATAGTCAAAGGAAAACGAATCAAGAAATCAGATTCATGTAGTAATTATTCATCTTCAAAGTTAATTTTTAGAAGTTCTTGTTCCCTAATTTGGTCCGATTAACTAAAAAGATATTGCTTTTTCAAACATGAAAAACATGTCGAAGAACAATTTTTTTCGATTGGTCTTACAAACGAAAATTGTATAAAGATCATCTGTTTGTTTTAAGTTATTCAAATTTTTAAAAGGCGTCTTACTTTCTCTTTTTCTCTCTTGATTTGTTGATTCTAAAAGTCTCACAGTAATTGCTATAAGAATCTTAAGACAGAAATCTATTTTAATTCATTACTGTAATCTTCACGGACGTCGCGGTTGTCCATCAGATTCAAATTTTGCCGCATTTGTGTTTTTTGCGCCTTTGGCCGTGGATTTGACTTGAAACCGCTTCGCGACCGCACGCGTTACAACTGAGAAGTCGTGGAAAACACTGAATACTTTCTTTGAACTTACCGTTCTCTCGATTTCCAATGTACTTAGCCTCCAACTCAAAGCAAGAGGTACTCTCAACCCTTGTCAAGATTTAGAAACACTTCCAAGTACACTGAGATCCAAAAAGAGAGATATGGCCAAAGATTTGGTAGAAGGCGTGTCAGACGGCCCAAAAAGCCCATCGAGGAAACAAAGACGGAGTGACGTTTGAGCAGGCGTCAAGAACACGCGGAGCAGCGGCGAAAAAAAAACTTTGCTTTTCTTTTTCTCTTTGGATTCGGAGATTCGGAGACGTCGACGTCGCCGTCTGCCGACTCCTTCCAACCCGTATGCTCTCACCTATCGCAAACGTATTCATTGCTTTTTCACGATATTCATTAACATGCGTTGGTTTTTTGGAAAGCCGTTCCAGCTTTTCTTCTCTTTTTCTTCAAACTCCAAACAATCAACTTTTCTTTCCAATATTTATTTCTTTTTCGATTGCGAGAAAATAGTTTTTTATTGTCGGCGTCGATGGACACGGTAGTGAGAGCTCTGAGAGTCGCCGTCGGACACTGGAGCGTCGCGAGTGGGACATTTGCAGTATTCAGCGTCTTTTCCAACGCTTCCACTTGGTCCTTCTGGTCCCTCAGGTCTACAAATATCCTCGTATTTTTTCATTCTGGGAAGAACCACTTACCCATCGCTGCCAGCAGCACCAGCATAGCCAGCATTTCCTGGCTCTCCTGGTGGTCCTGGAATTCCTGGGTAGGCGTCGCGTCCAGTTGGTCCTTGTGGTCCTTCAGGTCCAGCCTCTCCAGAAGGTCCACGAGGTCCTGGTCGACCAACAGGTCGTTCTCCGTCATCTCCTTTGGGCCCAGGCTTGCCAGGAGTTCCGTCGGAGCCAGGAAGTCCAGGAGCGCCGCAGTCTCCAGGCATTCCAGGGTTTCCGTCGCGTCCTGGGTGGCCTGGCTGACCTCGAGCCCCTCGCATTCCTCTGAGTCCTGGTCCTCCAGATGGTCCTTGTGGTCCGGGAAGTCCCTAGAAAAGCTCCTCATTATATAGAACTGAATTTTTTTAATTTTAAAGCCAAACAGTTCGTTTATTGAAATACGTAATTTTTTTTGTTTTGGTTCAATTTAATCCAGTTCAGAATTCGTTTTTTTAAAGATACCTGTGGGCAGGTGAAACATCCTTGCGGTGGTACGTTTTGGATGTCTTCGGCATCTTCTCCATCGTGTCCAGGAACTCCATCCTGACCGTCGAGACCGTCGTGTCCAGGATGTCCTCGGGGACCAGCTGGTCCGGGAGGGCAGCTGTTCTCGAACGAGCATTGGCAACGGCCTCCAGGACCGCCGAACGGGCCTCCAGGTCCGCCAGGGAAGTTCTCTCCGCTTGGTCCTCTGGGTCCTCCGCCTGGGAACCGTGGCGCGACTCCATTTGGCGGGTTCTCAGGTGGATTTCCGCCGTTTGGACCGCCACCATGCGGAGGGTTGCCGCCGTTGTCTGGGAATCGCGGATTCTCTGGAGGCTGACTGCCGCTGGCGCCGTAACCGCCGTATTGCTGACGACGCACACGGTTCGAAGCCGTGCCTGCGCCAAGTCCGATCATGTCTGTCCACAGATCGTCGGTCAGCGACTGCAAATGCAACGCATCAAGACCAATCACCAAAGTCTGTGATTCGCATCAAGCCGTATGTGATGTTTAAACTAGTAATCGTATTCAGAAAAACCGTCTGTTCTTTCATTTAAAGCCTCTACATTTTGCATTTCGGAAAGTTTTAACGATCATTTAAAAAAACAAGAGAAGTATAAATAAGCTTATTTGCGATTTCGATTTCACAACTGTATAAAAATTGCATAGAGAAAAATGGAAGATTTGAAACATTGACGACGAAATTTCTACTTAGTTAGAATTGATGATGTTTTTGTAAATAGGCTTGAAAACTCCCTTTCGACATTAATCTTTTTAATTCACGCCTCTAAGATAGTATCTAGGTGCTCTATGAAATGACGCTCTCTTATCATGAGAAAAAAATTTATTCTCACTAGTATTCATTCTTACTAACATGAAAATGGTCAAGTCACGTGAATTTGAAAATTTTGTTATTTATGACTATATCAAAATTGAAAGAGTGTCCACAAAATCTCTTCTGAGTCGATGGAATCGTACTGAAGTGCAACGAACCCTGAAGTTGGCGATTTCGGAGTCGAGCTCGTTCCAGATCGACGACACCTGGCTGTACAGCGATGCCGCTGCGAACAGCGACACCAACAGTGTGGCGCCGGAAAAGACGAGAGCTCCTGAGGTGGCGGAGACCACCGACATCTGCAAGCAGCTCAGATTGAGGAGATTCAAGGAACTAAACGAAGCTTAATCAGATATGCTAACACGCAGCGTTTGGTGTGAAGAAAAAGCGATTAAAACACAAACGGAGCGAATTGAATGAAGCGAAGACCTGGCGGCGCACCATATATAGTGGAGGCGGTTGAAAAAACCGAAATCGCCTCCCACCGTTGCGGTTTCTCGCCCTGAAGTGGACACTCCTGTGATCCATCTTCCTCCGCTCGGAATGTCGACGCCGAGTTTTCTTTGAAACGTCGCCCGATGTAAAAATAACACGCAAATCCGACAACTTGATTGATCCGGTTGATACCCATCGGAAATTGATTACGAAAGACTTTAAAAATGTTTCCGTGGTGAATATTTTCCGATTTGAGAAATTTCGAAACAACGAGGCTTCTGATTGATTTTTCCAAGTTTTATTTTAACAGTGGCAGCGCCAGAAAACTGTTAAGTTTTTTTTAATCATAGTTTACAACAAAAAAAAAATGAGATTTTTGAACTCCTCTATGAAATTCAAAGACATAATCAAACTTGTTACACGTAAAAGTGATATGATTCTGATTCTATGCTCAGAAATTTCACTTAAAGATGAGATTTACAATTTTTCATTCAACCAGTTTTCATGAACCTTCTCTAGAGAATAATGAAGAAAGACTGAATTTTTAGGTTTTTTTACGAGAATTTTTTTCTTTTGTTGTGATAATTTTTCTGGAGTTTGAAGCACTGGTTTTTCAACTTTTGAATTTTTGAGTTTGAAGTTCAGAAGTGACTTTTTTTTCGAACTGTTTAGTTTTTCTCTTTTTGGTTTCAAAGCGAGAAGAATTCCATCTACATTTCCCCAACTCGCTAAATTTTGCTAAGAAAATTCTTCGAGCGGTTTTTGAGAGTTCTTTTTTAAAACTCTTTTTGAAATTCATATAAATCAATGTTTGCTGAAAAGAAGCGACGCTTTACGAAGTCCGTGACTTTTCTCATTTGGAAAGAAAGCCAGTTGACGTTGCCACGTCCTCAAAAGACAATCGGAATGAAACCGAAACGGTTTGGATTTGGAGATTTGTTGAATCCGCGACAGATAGGACAGTCCCACACAACAGATTCGGCGCGGCAATAAATCTTGGGTTGGCGCCACCAAGTCGCCAGTTTTCCGGGTCCTTTTTCCTCGAGAGAAAGGCGTGGCTTGGCACGTTTTTGGCGCGCGAACTTTTTAAGGACGTTCATGTTGATTTAGGCCAATCCGGCCCAATCCAAACATTACGAGAGCGTCGCGCGTTGATCAATTATCATGTGAGAAGCTTTGTCTTGACAAACTGACGACTTTTTTTTTCTGTCGAGGTCGAATATCAGTGACCTGGGTATATAACAGCGGGAGATTTGGCTTCTAAGTGGCTCTGGTGGAATGATGAATGCTGGATCCAATGTTGACGTTTGTTCTGTGTAAACGGGTGTCCTTCTGTCGCGTCAAGGTGATAAGTTGATGCGTTGGACGTTCGTTTTTCGGAGCAAAAGCTTGAAGCTTTCAGACGTGTTTTTTTTTCTCTGAGCTTGCGAACTGTGTCGTTTTTCTAACTTTTCATTCGAAGTTTCTGGCAGCACCTTTTAGCTCGTCGTTTTTTTTTGACAAAGTTTTCAGTAGCCAAGAACTCTTTTTTAAACATTCAGCAGTTAATCAAAATGATACTGAGTTTTAGAAAATCTGAATTTTTTATGTTGAAAACGAAAAAGAAGCTTTTTTACACGGTGAATCATGTAATTCAAAAAAGTGGAGAATTGTATATCCACGGAATGAGGCTAGATTAGCTAGAAACAGATCTGACATAAATATTTGCTTATTTGATCAGTTAAGCGAACTCGGCAGCTCACCCTTAAGAGCTCGCTTGAGCCGACTTTCCGGGTTTTTTGAAAATTAGCGCATGTCACTTAAAATGACCAGAGAGAAAAGGTAGAAAAGTGGCGGACAGTGCGACGGCAGCTGGCTGACGATAATGAGCGACGGACACGAATGGCATGAGACGGAGTGCCGCGGGGCACTTTCAGCCTCGCGTCTAAGGGTGCGATTTGTCTTCGTTTTATATGCTCTCGTCGGATCCAGTGTAACCGTTGTCACTTTCATCATTCGTCCTTGTCCTGTTTCAGTTCTTCTGAGTTCTCTTCCAGGTTTCGAAATTAACTCAACCGTCTAAAATTCATATTTATAAAGAAGATATTCACGGGTCGAGGTTCTTTTCGTTACTATACTTTGTTTCATTTTTTTGAATGTGTAGCTTTTTTTATTTGAAAGGGCGCATAGCTGAGCACGCCTTATGAATTTTTTTCATAAAAAATTCTTGTTTAAATAATCACTCAATGCAAAAAAAAATTTGAAGTGGAGAGCTAGATAATTTTTCTGAGATATTTTATAGTCAAATCGAAAAATTCTGTAGGGAAATCATCAATGGAAGTAAAAAAAAATAGCGAGTCGGCTGTTCATTTGTGTATGCAAAGCACCAAAACTTGAAGAATTGCGACCCAAATGACTGATGTGTCAGGGCAGAAAACTACCGGATAAGCAGGTGCTCGATCACCTGCCTTCAGCTTCAAAAGGTACACTCAAAGCTTCAGTCTGAACGTTAGCTGTTTTCTCACAATCACTTTGAATCGCATCTGCCCAAAATGTGATCTCTTAAGAAGTCCTAATCTGATCCTTGTTTGGCAGGTGTGTGAAGCCAACCTCGTTAAATGCGTTTGTCGGCTTTTTTTGGTATCGGACTTTTTTCGCAGCTTTTCAAGCAAGCTTTGTATATATTTTTTTCTTCTCGCTCGCGATTGAATATGACAGCTATGAAACGGAAAATAGCATCAGGAAGAATTAGGCGAAAACAAACAAAAAAGGTTTTTTTTTTTCAGACTCTGGTGATTGAGTGAGTATTGTATTTAAGGACCTTGGTTTTTCTCACGGTTTCTAAGGTTCTATTCATCTCATTACTTTTTTAAAATTTTTTGCACAATGTTTTCTGGTTTTTTTTTTGCAAGCTTCGATGGAAAATTTTGTATTCAGTTTCGGAATCAGTAGGAGAAACTGCTCACCCTCGCTGAGAAGCTCGCAAGCTGCGAAATGAGCATATCAGGGTCTGGGGTCGGCGTGAAAACATGGACGGTTGGACCGGAAGGCTCTCCATCCGTTGCTAATGCTCACCGGAAGCCTTCGACTTCACCTGTCGCGCGAGCAGTCGGGCATGAGCATGAAGCAGGTCGCGTGCCGCGCGGCTCTTCGTTTCCTGCCGACTTCTGACCTCGTAGAATGCATGTTTTTCGTCATCCCTTCAGTTGAGATGACAAAACGCCGCGAGCAGTTGCAGCTCATAGTATCCTTGATTTTTCTGGAAGTCCAAAATCAAGCGTGTTTTGGTGAATTTTTAGCTCGCATTTTTTTTTCATCAAAAAAATCACAGTTTAGACCGAAGTAAATAAATTTTCATCGTAATCTTTAACGATTTTTTGGGGCCTAAGTTTAGTATTTTTGCAATTTATATTTCTCTAATTTTTTTCAAATTCAATATTTTTAGTCCGAGAAATCATTCTACTTGTATCGATGGTCTCCTCATCTTCGCAGAAATCTTTCCGATCATTTCAAGTTGAACTGTTCTCTTAGAAAAGATGACATCACATCCAATAGTACTTCTAAACTTGGAAACTCTAGGAAACAACTCAAAATTTCTGAGAAACTGGAAACTCTCGGATGGATGGGACTACAGCTTCTCCCCAGAGGGCGGTTAAGATATGAAAGGACGCGACCCTTGGCAAAAGCTTCATCTAAGCTAACAAACTCAGCCAACCCCAACTCCTTCATTATCAACTCAGACAGCGGCTCTTTCTAAATTGTTTCCTTTCGACCTCTTGCTCTTTTTTTTCTTCTGACTCGAGTTTCAACCTCCAAGTATTTGCAGTAATGTGTCCGGAATAGGAAGAAGGTCCCTGGTTTTTTTTTCGAAAACAAATATATAATGCATCATCTTTACTCTTTTTATGCACGATGCTCATTTTTTTTCTCAAATTTAAATTCAGATACCGCTATCGAAGACCTAGTAATAGGAAATAATATAAAGTAGCGTCTCTAGTTTTTTGATTCATCGCGAATGAGAACACAAAAAATGTCCTAAAAATTGTTCGTGAAGCAATAACGTTCAAAAGAAAAGCAAAACATTTCGACCACGGCAGGATTCGAACCTGCAATCTTCTGCTCCGTAGGCAGACGCGTTATCCATTGCGCCACGCGGCCGTGTGAATGCGCAAGAGTGCCAAGAGACCAAGACCCCGCCGCTCGTAACGTCTTGAAACAACCTATTTCTTTCTGAGAATTTTCTAATCGTTGTTTAGCGCATTCTTATAAGTTTTAATTTTTTAATCGATTTTTTTTCTCCTCATTTTACATGAAAATATTACCGAATCCAGATCCATTTTTTCTGATTTGAGGAGATACGCGTTTTGTTTGACTTTTTCAAATTATTTGTTATTTATTTTTCTGATATGGTTACGCCTCTTTAAATCACTCGAAATATTAGAAAGTAATAAACTGAAACTCGTTAGAGATATTTGTCGTTAACCCAACAAACTTTTGACACATATTTGAGAAGGAACCAGCCGCGTCGAAACACTGTGAAAATGGCTCTTTGACAGGTCTGATCTGGGGGCGTTTTTCAAAGGGCAATCTGCCAAAAAGCTGCTTTATCCCCTAGGCTTGCACTCGGTCCGTGGTGCGAATATTTACTCATTCAATACGTCGTCCTCTCCGGTTTCAATTCATTTTCATTTCCATTTTTCCACTTTTTTCTCGTTTCGTTTGGTCTCACACGGCATCACGCACTTAGCGATTTTTGTCTATTTCAGTTGTTTCCAATTTGTTCGAAAGAAACGGCTCAAAAACAGTTCGAAATGTTTTCGAATTCCTTCCTTTAAGTAAGGTCCCTTTTATAACTATATCTTTCGATTTTAATTTCCTTGAAATCTTCATGAAGTTCGTTGGAGAAAAATTCGATTTTCAAAGGCACATAAATATAACATGGCCAAAATTCTCCCAAAAGTGTTTCGCCTTAAGACCCTAATTGAAATATTTTTTGCTCTTTCGTATTTCCCAAAAAGTATTATTGAACACGCTTTACTAAAACTTATACATGATAATTTGTAAATTATTCTCTTTCAGCGATCGCGAAGTCAAAAAAAAATTGAATCATTTTGGATACTATTTTTCTCTTTTTGAAACAAAGTTGTAGCAGAAAATTTTTGGAAGCGAGGGTCATTTTCAAAGTTTTAACTTTTTTTCAAAGAATTAAACTTTGAACTTTGATTCTTTGAAAAAAATTTCTCTTTCTCAAAAAAATCTTGGCCAAACAGCCAGATTAATCCCTTCCTTTTTCCGTTTGGAAGCTCTGCATAGGTGAATCCGCTTTAATCTTCTAAAGCACTTTTCCAACTGAAGGACGTCTTTCCGAGAAAATCAAAACGGCTCATCCATTAATTTTTCATGTTCTATTTCTTTCTGCCAATAAATCTCATGTTCAGTTTTATTTATTTCAAGTTAGATAAGGTCAACTCGACCATGTCTTTTTCAGGTTTTATTTACTTTTTTTCGGATCTAGCAGCTCAAAGTAATTTCTAAAACTGTCTTGATCCGAGTGAAAAAAAACCGAGTTTTATCAAGCTTTTTGCTCGTAGAATAAGTTAAAACATTGAAATTGACAAAAATTGCATAATCAAAAAATTGAATTTTTTTTTTGTGGTTTTTGGATTTTAAATCACTTGGAAAGAGGATACACTTTTTAACCGCGTGAGACTAAACTGGAAAAAACAAACCTATAAATTTTGTTAATACCTTTAAAGTTCTAAAGACAAAAAAAATGTGTATCTTCCAAATCCGAGTCATAGAAGTGTCGTTTTTGAAGCTTCCGAGCAATATTTTAAACATTTATCACTGCGGGTCGGATCCTCTTTTTTGGCCGTACATATCGGTCCTAACGGCTCCCATGGTGGCCTTTCTCCTACAGATATTTATGTTTCCCTTGGGTTGAAAGAAGCCGTTCATCGATGTGGGAAGTGTCCTCCGCCGCCTCGTTTTTAACGGAAAACTCTTATTACAAGAGTTTGAGCTATTCAAGTTCAATTAAATAATGGGATTATTTTCACCGTTTTTAAGGTCTCAGTTTCGGCGTACATAAAACCTTGTCACATAACTTTTTTTTGCTGCCCTTACGCTTCAGTTTTGCAGAAAATTATAAAATCTCACCTTCGTCAAGATCTGAGTTTCTTCATAACCAAAAAAGTAATTCCAGTGTTTATCGGATCTGCTGTTGTGGCGAACATAGGATTTTTGCTGATGAACCCTCAGTCACGCAATCTTTCAATCCTTTTTTTCCGTATAAGACTCCGAAAAATTCAATTCATGTCGCGGAAACAATTTTTCTTTTATTTTTTTTTTTTTAGATAGAATCTAAATTTACAAAACATGGTTCAGTGGTTATATTGAATTGTTCCCAGAAGTTTACCACCTTGAATATCGAAAAGGAAATCAATAATTGCTATGGAGATTTCACAGTTTTCCAGTATTTTTCTGAAACTTTTGCTCTCACTAATTTGCTTTTTTTTCCTGGTTTCATTTGATAATTGAATCAAAGTTAACCTGTTTTGTCGGATTAACTGTGTGAATATTTTCAACAATGTTCAGTTCTCACCAATTCTCGTTGTTTTTCCATAAAAGATTTCAAAAATTATCGAAATCTCGTTCAGTTCGAGTAAGGGTCGAGAAGAAGTGGCGACCGGATGCGAACGACGCGACCGACGTGACATGTGATGGGGAGCAACGCGACGACGCGGCTCGTCGTCGTGCTCGTCTGGACGTTGGCGACGGCGTCGGCCACCTACAAGGAATACTCGAGCCGAAGCCGTCAGTCCCAGTCCTCCTCCGTGACGTATCTTGTCGAAAACGGTTCACGCTCTCTCCTCACTCACCCTTTGCCCTGAAAAACTCAACTGGTTTCTCTCTAAGAGCTGTCTACAGCAAAGTTCTCACTACAAGTGCGCTCTAGTGAACTGATATCCATTGAAACATTTTAGATCTATCGTGTAGATGAGAATAATTTCGATGTTTCAAGGCGGAAGTTCCGGAATTAACTCTTTGTCAAACTCTGCTGAACTTTTAGTTTTAATCAGTTGAATTTTTTTTTAAATCGCTTGATTGATGGATTTTGGATCGCGATGGAACAAGAAGAAGACCCTAAATCTCCTCAAATTAAAAAGAAAATTTTTCTTCAATTCAGTCACTCTCCAAAAATTACTTCAAATCAAAAAAATCATGATCTTCGGAATCGATTAAAATAAGCTAATCAGCCAAAATAAGGCTAGTTCAGTTAATTTCTTCAAAGCTTCTTTGAACGTGGTATGTTATCGCAACAAAATTATTCATTAAAGTTTTATTTTCCCGGCATGTAAAATGAAATCTGAAAAAATAATTAACACGTTACCCTTCTCCTGCACGGAACCCCTATGCTTGACTCTTTAGTTTATTAGTAGTAGTTTTGTCGGTGGCAACGGAAATCGAAGCGAAATCCGATTTACAACGAATTCTTCGGATTTCAGTGCTGAAACTCAAGTGTTATCAGTGCAATCAGCCGTACGATTGCAGCACGGGAACTTGTTACGGGGATATCTGCGTCAAATCTCTAGGTTTCACTTTTCTTCGATTCAAAAACCCTCAGTCCTGACTTTTTTTTTTTGATCCCAGAAATTTCAGTTGACCAACACTACGTCAGCAAAGGCTGTGAAAATTTGACGTGAGTTTTTTCAAAATTTTCAAAAAAATTTTTACGAACTTTCAGGGTTTCTGGCAATGTTTATGAGCCACAATTGAAGCTGAAGGCGTATTGCAAAGACGAAGAGGTTTTTCTTGTGAAGCCTTCCTTTGATCATTTTTTTCTTCTTTTTTTATTAAGTTCCAATTCATCTGAGAAAAAAACTAATTTAATTTTTTTAATGTTTTTTTGCTAGGAAGGTTTTGCAGTTTAGTGTTCTCACAAAAAGTCTGTATGTTTTCTAAAGAAAAAAATAAATTTATAAAGGGCACAAGTTCATAAAGAGAAGGTTGTCTTTTGATGGTATTTAGCAAAAAAACAATCAAAAAAATGAACTTTTTTTCTCATAATTTTTTTCAGAAAAACAATTTTTCAAGTAAATTGAGAAATTTCACCGATTTTTGGCTCGCTTTGATAAATTGAATTTTGAAAAAAATTAGTCTTGATTTTTGGAAAAGAAAGTGTAAAATCTGTCGAAAATCGACTTTCGATTGTTTTGAAACCCTGCTCGTTTGCAGGTGCTCGGCGTCGACACAGTGACGTGCTACTGCCGTGACAACGACTTCTGCAACGACGTCGGCCTCGTGACGTCATCAGCAGCTCTGATCGTCGCTTCCCTCACCCTTCTGCTACGGATACACGTGCTCTAGCAGTACACTATTTTTGTTTCAATCTGAATCAATCGAACGGGAAATTATATATCTATCTGAAACGTATTTCTTTCTACCTGACTAGTTTAGATAGGCTTTTGCAAGTTTTCTTGTTCATAACGAATATATCGGAACTGCTTCTACCCGTCTTTCCGGTTTTTAAAAGCCAAAGAAGATTGTCAAAAATGAATAAATCATTTATTACAAAAAAACAAAATGCAAAAAAAAACCCGTAGGTAATGAGTCAATCAAGGACCGTAATTCTAAAGTTACATGCATGACGTCAGAAGCACTACGGCTGGACAATTGGCAATACACATTTCGACCGGTTCCGTGGATTATCGAGATAAAAATACCTTATGAAGAAACAAGTGAACTACGGAAATTGACCAATAAATGGCATTGATTTCGTTTTCCCAGAGAATCTCGTGAGGCTTGGCTGAGTTCCAAAGCCTCACTAATTTCAAAAAAGGTCCAGACTAAGCAGAGAAAAAGTCAAGACACGGAGATCTTGTGCCACATGCAGACAGGAAGGCCGTGCTGTCGGACCATCTGGATCCAGTGGGCGTGGCCTGTTCCTTCGCTCATGCGGCCAATCGCACAGTGGCCAATTTTGCGTGTCCGTCCTTCTTCGTCGTGGTCGTACATCTGGAAAATTATAGTGAAAAGAAATAAAATTAGTTTTAAGCTCAAAAAAAAACAATGAAACTTGTGCTTTTCGCTCAAAATTATGTATGAGCAGAAGGCAGAGCCGTAAAATAGGATGTCAGTTCACCCGAAATCCCAACAGAATATTTCAGATTTTTGAAAGTTTATCAAAATGAATGTGAAGATGATAATACGGAAAAAATAAAACTTTTACAACTTCCTGAACATCGAACAAACGTTTTTCTTTTCTTTTTTTCACGATGATCTTTGCGACAATTTTTTAAGAATTTCACACCAAAGGAATCACACGAAATTCAAAAAAGCCGTTAGAGAGAGAAAAAGATAGCGAATTTTTGGAGAGTCAAAGATAACTTAGAAATTCGCGAAAATTAACAGGGCATAAATGTGATCAATTGAGCCTGAAATCATTCTTAATTTCTACAATTTTGATGAAAACTCAAACTCACTTCGATGACGATGTGTGCCTTGTCCAGCTTGCACGGCGGAATGTGAAACAGGAAAGATTCTGAAAAAGCGGCGTCGCCATGTGTTGACGACGAAGACGTCGATGAACACGCTGAGCTCGACGACGGTTTTGATCCGCTGCAAAATGAAGTTCAAAGCTATGAAATGAAAGGAAGATCTATTCAAGTTTTGCATGCAACTAGTGTAACCTCCTAATCAAAAAGTAGGGTATGAGACTTACTCAAGGGAAGATTTGTGGAGGATCGACGGATTTATGGTCGTCTGTTTCTGTTCGAGAAGCCTCCGTCCGTCGAACAACATCACACGAGCGAATGGACCTGGAAAAAGTAGATTTTCAACGTTTTCTGTTGTTTTTTAAGAATGAAGAAATGAAACTAACCATTATTAAAAGGAAGCCCTTTGGCCTTTTTGACGGTAGCCGTGACGAACTGAACCGATTGGGCGTAGGTCAAAATTGTCAAAAGTTCACAGGATCCGGTGGCGTCCGCCTGAAAATCAATAGTGAAAATTGAACAAATTTTGTTGGTACCTTATTCGTCGCGTAGAGCGTGGTCAGCCGTATGCTCTCCGGTGATGCTCGTGATAACCTTTCAGGTAAAGTTTCGTCTTCGGTCTGAAAAAAAAACTTTCCATTCACAATTCTCCAGAAAAAGACCTCTTCTAAAGACCTAAATAAATAGCTTAATGGGTATGAGATGCTGGGAAAAAAAACTTTTTTAAAAATATGAAAAAACGAACAGAAAGTACGCGATCTTCAAAATCGCACTCGAAAGCAGTCCGCTGGCCAGGATCTTCGTTGGACAGGAATTTGGTCCAGGCGTCCTTGTGCGGAGCCACCTTCTCGTCCTTCAGTTCTGAAAAGATTTCTTCAAATGGATTAAGCATAAATTCGAGTTTTCACGTGAAAAATAACTGATTAGACTAAACTAACTCACAGAAAGAGGCAAAAAAGTTGAATTTCAGAAAAAAGAAAAGTCATACCTTTAGTGCCCATTTATGATCTCAGCCGACAATATACCGAAATTCTTTTGAGAAATAAAACCACAAGCATAAAATATCTTTTCCTGATAAACAGGGAGAAAATTCGAACCTCCATGCCGGTCGCCCCACTCGCGATGTTCATGCTTGCCGGCTCGGCCATACTTCGTTCCGTTTGGTCTAGGATCTCTGAAATTGAAAAAAAATGTCTTTTCTCATGATTCAGGTCAACCTATGGATGCGATTTGCTCGAGAAGCTGGCGCCGGCTGATTTTTGCCCGCTTTGAGCATGGACTTTGGCGCCCAGCCTACCGAAGGATCGCTTCCCGCCTGAGACGCCGGCTGAAAAGTCTCCTTTTGAATTGTTGCCCTTGTCTTGGTTCCGGTTTCAGTTCCGGAGGTTGCCACCAGAAAGCACTCGAAAACTCACAAGCTTGTGGAGATTGACGGCTTTGTGCGGCATATTCATGAAGGACTGGTACTCGAAAAAGTGCTTCGCGATGAAGTTCATCCCCTGGAAAACCAAAGTTTCCGAAAATCAATGATGTATTCACCGTTCACCTTTTTTAAATCCCCAAAGTCAAAGAAACAATTTTAAATTTTTTATTGGAAATTAACTTACTGAACCGCAACATGAAAGCAAATTGAAACAAGTTTGTGAGCAATCGAGCTCGAAACCTCGAAGAAAACCCAGCGGCGATTACCAAATGCATGACTCGTTTCCTTCGCGTTTATGTTTGCGAAATTCAATTTCACCTTGACTTTCGCACATTTCAAATCGCTTAGACAAAACCAAACAACACATTCCAAAGAAAAAAGCTCATTTTTGACAGTACCCTCGAAAAATGTCACAAGAGAGGGGCTGAATCAGCTGCTCCATTTTGAAACCAAGGAAAGTAGTTAAAATTGAGAGCCTCGTGTCCCAAAAACCATTAGTTTAGAGGAAACTCTCAAATCGAAAAGAAACATTCACATCGCCCTTGTCTTTGAAAAAGCTTGAAGAAAAGCTTTTTTGGTCTTCCTAAGGTGAAAAGGCTCGAAAATATACACGCTTGGTCATTCGGAACAATAGCGACAATGCATCGACCTTGGATAATTTTTTTTTTTGGAAAAAGCTAGTTTTAGAACTTAGTGTAGATTAATAATTGTTTCTAAAAAAGAAAATAGGCACCGAAATGCACCTCGCTGGGCCGACGTTCGTACTCGATGGAACGGCTTCGAGGACAGGACCTCGAAGGCCGCGGCGTCGAAGGGCGCGATGTCGCCAAAACGCGTTTCTCACGCCACCAGAAGTGCGGCGGCGTCGCCTCGGCCGTCGTCGACATCGCGGTCGCGCTGTTCAACGTGAGCATCTAACACGGCGTTCAGCGGAACAAGGAGGGAATGGGTGAGGAAGAAGTAATTGGCCAAGGAGGCCATCAACTCGAAGAGCTCCTATTTAATCAACCTCGCGGACCTCTTCGCCTCTCCATTTTTATCTTCACATCTCTCCTCTTTTTCAATTAAAGACGCACAATTGTTTTTTGCTGTTTTTTTCCGGCAAGATTGCTCTTCCTTTTCAGGATCATCAAAGCTAAACGGTTGTTTTTGGAGAGATCGGAGATAAATGTCGAGGTCAAAGACTTTTAAAAACTAAGACAGGAAATTTGAGGAAAGTTTTTTGGCATTCAAAGTCCGAACAAATGGAGGAGCATTAATGGCGTCTGAAGGAATAAAAAAAACGTCAGATGTCAAAAAAGATCATTTTCAAGGGAAGAATAACAGCCGAGAGATTCGTGTAGAAGCTGTCTTTGCTTACTTCTTTTTTCTGTTTTTCCCGATGAGTTCTTCCGAGAAAAAAAGTAGCAAAAAACAAAGAAACTAAGATGGTCGGAAGCGATAGAGAATGATGAATGGATGAGTCGCACTTAGACCCCATTTCTCAAGGAAGAACGCCACTGACAATAGTCCAGACTTTGAAAAAAAGTTTGCAAATCAAGATTTTTAGAAAAAAAAAATTGATTCAAAAGTTTTGAGATCAAAAAGTCGAGGCGAAAAAACAACTATCTAAAAACGTGTAAATGTGTCAAGAGCGTAAGGCTACGATGGCAAATTTAGAAGGTTCGAGGCGTCGTCGGCGGAAAAAGGCTGAATGGTGACGTTGATTGTGAGGAGTCGGACTCGTTCTAGTGAGTCTCAAGACGACGCCTCGCCTCCTTCATAACCCCCGTAGATATCGTATTCCGCCCCTAATTGCCTTGATCAGCCTGTTTTGGCGTGTAACAACGGAGTAAGCGCCTTCGTTATGGAGACGTGCTCCGGAAAAAATGAGACGAAGAGAAAAGGAAGAAAACCTGAACGTCTAGGAAAAATAAGTCTCGAGGCTTTTTCCTGCGTTTCCGACAAGAATATTTGACACAAAAAGTTCTGCAAAAACAAAAACGAGCTAAAATCTCAGATTTCTTTTGAAAATGATGATCTTTTTGAAAAACACTCAAATTTTTCTTTCAGCCTGAAGTTTCACATAACTTGCGACTTCTTATTGTAAAATCATAAGAACATACTCTAACTAAAATTTCCATTTTTGTAAGTGAAAATTGAAAATAAATCTTTTCAAGAAAATTTTTATATTGATACGATTTGACTAGACTTCCGGAAAAAACCTCAGCTCTGGCAGTCAAAAATAAATGGACTTTCAAACTTTAAAGTAAAACTTTTTCGAGCTTTTTTGTGGCCGACGCATGAAAGAAAAAGTTTTGAATCAAATCAAAAGTGAATCCTTCAGATTGGCCGGTAATAAGTTGTAATGGAAGGGCGCGGAACTGACAGCTCGTCCCAAAACGGAGAAAAGAGCATCTGGAGGCTGGAGAAGCGGCAAATGGCAAGGCAAAAACGCCTCCAGGGATCTGCGCGAGGCGACGGAGGCCCCCAAGTATAATGGTGCGAATTAAGTTGGCCGTCTACTGCAAATGGAAGTGAAGTAATGGAAACTCGAGAAGCCGTCTAGTCCTATATTCTGATTGCGTCTTCATGACTTTGGTACCTTTTGTCTAAAATCAGCGACGCTCATTTTCCCCAAAATGGTGTTAGACACATTCCACAAAATTAACCACGACTCGTCATGAATCAAAAAAAGTTAGAAAAAAAAACTTCTTTCCATGAACCATGAAAAGATTATCTTGCTTTATAATTTCCTCGAAAAATCTTAAATTTCATGCTTTCAATATTTTCAAGCATAATTTTCGCCGAAAGTTAATAAGGAAAGTTTGAGAAAACTCCGATTTTACGCGCACAGAAATTCGGAATGATAAGAATCATAAGCCTTTTCGATTCAGATGCAAAACAAAAAATAGTCAATTTTTGATTAAACTTACAAAAAAAGAGTAAGAAGTTATACTGATTTTTTTAACGAAAGAAAAATCTGTTTTCTGCTGAGTGTTAGATTTTTTCAATCACTAAGTTAGTCCGTTGGAAAGAAGTTGGTGATCAGAGTAATCGTTCAAATCTTCAAATCTTCAAAACAGGCTCGAGTAGCTATCAAAAACCGTTTTCTGGATCTTTGACTTCAAAAAATTCGAGTGTTCCAAGAATTTAAAATCCAGTATATTTTCAAAATGTTTCAATTTTTTTGGAAGTCAATAATGAGCTCCGCTCTTGCACGTTTCCTATGAGAAGCTACAATCAGCAAGAAAAAAGCTCCGAACTATATTCTATAATAACCATTTTTTTTAAACAGAGAAAACTGAGAAAAAAAACTTCGAAAAGCTTGAGATTTCCAAATCGAGGTGAATTATTGTTTTTTGCATACATGTTCTGAGTGGACGGCTACGCGAGAAAACCGCCATCAATCACGGCAGTCGCTAACATGCGCCGACCCTCCCAAATTGCCCATTCGGCCAATCATCCGAGGCTCCGCCTCTATTCTGCCAACACCTCGCAGCAGACATATTCAAAAACTAAGACATCAGAGTTGAGTTATACTTCCACGGCTCCTCATAACTTTTTTTCGGCAGTGTCCAAAGGGATTACCTCGTGGTCGAGCTGGTTGCTGCGGCAGTGCTCCAGAAAGTCGGTGAGCTGCTCCTCGACGTTGAGCAACGACAGATCCGTCTGCACCGACGTCGCCGTGTTCGTCGAGCTGAAAATTCAGAAAATAAAGCATCAAATAGCGTAGCGAAGAGTGGAACCATGGGAGCTGTATAGGGCAATTGATTTCGAACCTTACTTGCGCTCAGAACTGCTTGAGCTACAAAAAGATTAGCGTGCAAAAAAGTTTCCATTTCAAACCACGCCTGAATGCTCTGGCATTTTTTTAAAAAAAGATGTTTTGAAAGTTTTTTTATATTCAATAACAGAAATTTATTCAGAACACTTCCTCATTTCGCTCATTCTTACAAGTTGAAAAATGCTCATTCTGAAACTTCCAAAATTTTTTGAAATTTTTTTAAAATTTCGAATTGAAACTGTCAAAGCTTAAATTCCATCTAAAAACTGGGATACCTCCTTTAAGTTAGTAAGTTAAGAATTTAACTAATGAATGTTGCTATTATTTTTTTATATTTTTTGAAAGAGTGCCCATAATTGAATGAAGATCCTTCCAACGTTATCATCTGAATTTTTTTTTCTAATTCTTGAAGACTTTTTTCTTGTTTTCTCCAAAAGTTTCGTCTTCTATGAAAATACTTTTTTGCGAAGAGAAGAATATGAGAAATGAAAGATTTCATTTTTCTTACAACTTTTGTTCTTTTGCCCAAGCTTCATAAATAAGTGTAACTGGAAATTGGCGGCACACTGATGATATACGTGAAGTTTCAAGCCATAAAATCTACCCGAAGACTGTGAAAAAATAGAAAAAAATAACAAAAGAAACATAAATCGAAGAAATAAAGCCCAGAAGAGCGTCGGTGTTGCCAGCCGCTGCAAGGACACCCTCAGAAAGAACTAATTAGGGACAGAAGAAGCTTCTCGGTGCAATTATTCTAACCTTCTTTCCAGAACCTTTTAACTTTGCGCGGCGCAGTCTCGTGGACGATTTCAACGCCTTTTTTCATTAAACATTGGTAAATATCCCAGAAACGGGCAATTAAAAAGGCGTCATTACGTTTGGCATTTGGAAATAAAAGTGCAGACCTGCTGGTTGGATCTCGGTCACAAGGGTCGACGAAATCCGTCAAAGAAAATTCCGAAGAGTCGTCGGCGTCCAAGTTCAGCTCTGCAACACACAAAATCCGATTGTTTCAGCCGATTTTGGGGAAATTCGCGCCCTGATGAAATTCGAATCTTTCGCGTTTTTTTTTCTGTGTGCCCTTTGAAAGCGCTTTCAATGAAAAAGGCAATTCAATCTTTTGCTCTTGAAGAAATTGTTAATTAAAAGATTGAAGTTTAGAAACATTCTAGTACAAAAATTCGAGCCAATCTGTTGTACGGATAAATCTCAGATTAAAACTGAAGCGCCTATATCCTTTTCATGAATATCATTATTACCGAAATGTTTTTTTAAACTTTTTTTATTAATTTTATTTATTCTCACATTTTTTTCTTGATTTCGATATTTTTTTGTTTTTAATATTTTTTTATAATTTATTCTTCATGTTTTTTTCAATTTATGTAAATATGGCTCTTTATTAAAACTTACCCTGTGTAATGAAAAAAAACTTTGAAGCGCAACTTTTTTTTTGAGATTTTTCTTATCTTCAAAAATTTTTTTCTCTTTTTCTTTTTTTGATGTTATATTTCTCAGATTGTCGCAAAAACAATTAAAAATTTAAAAAAAAAACGAACGAGTGGAAGAGAGGAAGTGGTCGAGGACGATCGAGGAGACGTTGTCGTCAAAGTCGGCGAGATTCTCGGTCTGCGCGGTTCTGAAAACGCCGTTTTTCATGGAAGAAACAATCGCGGCAACGGAAGCAATCTGGCATCCATCCACAAGTAATGAGGCGAAAAGAAACCGAAACGACGGATGGTGCGTCTTGAGCACACAAAAAGCCTCCGACGCCGTGTACCCGCCCGGTGTCACTTCCACTTTCCGTCTCAAAACCTTTGAGCTTTCCAGGTACGCCTCGCCAATCAATGTTCTGTTTGACTACTAGTTCTTGTAATTTTACAATACACTTATCAAGTGCTCAAAGGAGCGATCAGATGCAAAACCTCGCAAGAAACGTAAATTCCTCAATCTCATTGTATTTTCTTAAAACATTCTCAAAGGTCCAGATGAAGATCCAGCACAGCGGCTACCGAATTATTCCGAGTTTTATATATAAATTTTTCAAAGTTTTTGGGGCCAGTGTCAACCTCAACATTGAAAAGTTCAATCTTCCGTAACTTCAAAACGCTTTCGCAAATAGATACGGTAAGAAATCTTTATTTGAAGCTTCCACAAGTTTTTCCAAATTTTTTTGAACCGTCTGGTAGAACAACTCACTTGTAAAAATTTTTGTCCTAAATTTGAAAAAAATTTCTGTAATTTATATTATTTCTTACTCTATCGTTCCTTTGAATATATCAGCAAGTTGATAACTGATTCCCTATCTTGGCGAAAATTTTTTTGGATGTGTTCAAAACTTTTTTTATAGTAATTATCTAACTTTGAAAAAAAATTTTTCATTATCAAAAAAATGAGTGAAAAAAAGTTATTTCTGAAAAAAAGGATGATCTCTGTAATTTCGTTCAAAGAAGGCTCAGAGAAAGTTTTTCGGCGACTCCAAAATCATTTCTAATGGTATATAATTCTTGCACGGTAGAAATTCTGTTCGGTTAGATTCTTTTCAAATTTCTCGGTAGTTAATCTACAAGACTGAAAGTTACTTCAAAACTGGTTAAACTGTTTTTATGAGATGATTGAATCAAAAAATTGAAATTCGTGGCCAAAAGGAAGAAAAGCGGAGAAAAGGGGCTATTCAATTCTCCGACTGACAATGGTTCCTAAGAAACAAAGCTCATTTTGAACGTTTCGTTTTTCATACTCGGATATATTGAGGGGAAAAAAGAAGCTTTCTTTTTTTCCTTTTATTCTGGCTGACGAGGTCAGGCTTCAACAACGAACTCGTTGAAGTTTAAATTTATCTGGATCTTTTAAATATTATTAATTTATCTGCAGGTCTGGATTGTGACCTGCAGATAAAATTATCTCATTTCTACCACCCGAGTGGTCGGTCTTCATTTCCGCTCTCGTCCAAGATTCAATCCGACGCCCGTCAGCCCTGGACAAGCTGGGCGCCGTACTGTTCCTACATGGAGAAGCAGTGATCGTCGGAAACGCTCGAAGAACGTCTACTACTAGCACAAGAGAGGCGAGATGCTCTACGCGCCGTCTACGCTTGATCAACGACAGTATCGCGAACCGACAAACAACTCTTCAATTATTCCATGATTCAGCAGAGTACCTTCTCTGAAGACTGAATAAAACTAGCACAAAACTGGATTGTGACTAGAAAAAACCTTTTTTTGAAGATATGACGTTTTGAAGCTCGCCCAGCGGTACTGATAAACTATGCAAAGATGGGCAGTTAAGGTTTTGAGACGTCATATCTTGGGGGCAGAAAAAGACCTCTTGGTTTCAGCGTGCTTCAAAGTACACGCGTGCAACTTCACTATTTGGACTTTGAATTGGAAAGAAAACGAACCGTTGGGAAACACCGGAGAGACGGCTGATGACGTCACCCTCCTCATCGATGTGGCTCCTGAAAAAGGTCACAAATAATTCAAAAAAATTAAGCATCAAGAAAGCGGGTTTCACAACAAGCTTTTATAAAATTTGGAAGGTCCGGAACTGAGAAAAGGTGCGCATTTTGCAGTTTCCTTCTGATTTTGTGAAAAGCTCGCGGTGAATCGTTTCTCCGATTTGCAAGGCCCCTCGAGAAACATTATTGTGTGTGTTATGGTGCTCATCAACCTGTTTCCTTACTTGGAATCGCAACTTTCCGACGAGCAACAGGGAAATGAACGTTGTCTTTATTAGATCTGTTTTCTTTTCAAGGAAATCGAATTGAAAAAAGAACCAATAAGCTTTGGAACTCGTCAAAATTTTTTCGTACAACTGCCTAGAGCGACGAAATGTGCTATGAAGCGTGCGAGTGAAAGGCTCTAAATTTAGACAGCTTCTTCAAACGAGAAAAATGAACGAATTCAAAGTTTTGTGAACTCTCAACTCTCGTTTTTTTTTTATGGAACTTGTCCTTCGAAATTTCAAAAACCATTGACCTGGATATGACCCGGAGCAGATTGAGCTTTCAAACGAGAGTTCTTGACAAAAAAAAGGACGGAACCTCTTAGAAAGGTTCAGAAATTCGATTTCCCTGCCGCCTCATCAGAAGAGACGTTTCTCATTTTTTCTTTGCGTTTTTCCTTATTATTCTTTATTTTTGAACAATCTCAGAACACACACAACAATGCAACGAGTGGAAAAATAAATCACTTGGAATGTAGGAATAATTTATGATTCAAAGACCGCCAGTCGATGAAAAAAGGAGCCAAAACATTCCAAACTTAAAGCTTCTTTTCGTGCACGTAAAGTTTATTGAAAGGCTATCATGAGAACGAAAAATAAATTTGAAAAAAAAACCGGTATCTGAACTGTGTAAACGTCTTTTCTTCTTTTTTGACTCCGTAACTATCAGGTGCGCAATGAATGGAATTACATAGGTATGTAATAATTTACAAAACAAGGGAAATGTTCAAGAAATGCGGAATCTCCGGAGCCGGCCCCTTACATGGCGAGCTGCTGTTGCCGTCGTTGCTCTTCGAACTTGCGCTGTAACCGTCGCTCGTGAAGGCAGTCGGCAGCTGAAACTCGGATGTTCACCAAAGTTCTAGACTAACTTGATAAACACTCGACCAACCTGTGACAGGAGAGATGGTGCGGTCTTCATCGGATTCAGAGTCGACGATGGGGGCGCGTCGCGAAGCTGACGACGTACTTGCAGACGCCTTCTTCTTGGGAGAGAGAAATCGCAGCGTAGAGAGGTCAGGACAGGAGTTGGTGCGTGGCCGAAGCGGCTTCATCATCTCGACGACGTCCTCTTCCAGGTCGTCAGGCTCGTCTTCGCGCTCGATGATTGCCATCGTCTCCAGCCGTTCCTCCAGATGACCTTGGCTGCCCCGGCCGCTGTCGTTCGTCGTTGACGGCGACTTCCGAGAGGAAGGACGGCCTAAAGCAAATAAATGTTTGAGTTGAGTACAGCAATCTTGAGCCTTTTTTTCTCGCTTCAAAAAATCAAAGTTCGGCCTGGCCCTCGGCACCAATTGAAATCCAATCGGTTCTCAAACGCTCTCACGTCGGGTACGCGTGTCCGCGCGTATGCTCATTGAGTGTAATGGACAAAGACAATAATTAATGACGGATGACGCCACAGGGAAACGCCGATCGCCTCGCTAATTCGTCCCCCATAACTTCCAATCAAATTAGAAACAAACCATTGTTGATGACGTCACACGACTGCGAGTATTCGCCGTTGTTGTACACCGGCGTTCCTTTCTCCTTCTTGCCGAATATCCTGGAAAGCAGGAATTTAGATTGTTGGCCTCGCAAGAAAGTCATATTTCCATGTTTTGGAGCCGCGATTTCCGACCCTTTGACTGAGCAGTCATTGGACCCAGAGATAGGCAGTGAGGGGCAAAAATAGCATCTATAGAAAACGAATGGAATATAGGAAAGTGGCAGACTCGCCGAACAATTCATAAGCTGTTCCCTGGAGAGTCTCTCTGACCCATTCTTCATCTCCAAAAATACATTTTTTCTTTCTCGCTATTCATTTTTATTTGGTCTCCCCCATGGAGCGCTTCGCACGTACGTCAGGGCGTATCTTCACCGATATATCTCGTTAAAACCTCAAGGGACTTCTTAGAAATGCGTTGAAGCCGTTTTTGCAAATAAAGGTCAAAGACACAACCTTAAACTATTATTCTTCCCTTCTTTTTTCACAGGAGTTCAAAAAGATTCTTCAAATCTTGTAAAAGTAAAGAAGTGCTCGATCGTTTGTAATTCAGGAAACTGGTCTTTTGTGGCAAAAAGTTCAAAGTTGGAGTCATGGAAATAAGACTTTGAGCATGTGAGGCAAGCTCGTATTTCCAGACGAGTCGCCACGCAATTAAAATTCAAAATTCCTCATCCACTTGGAAAACTTCCTCAATCGACTCAAAATAGTTTCGATTTGCAAACAGAGGCCATTCTGCAACCCAAATCTTACATCCACAACACTAAAACACAGCTTTATGGGCTCGTAAATATTTACTTTCCGAAGAAGAAGTTGTCCGCCGAATGGCACCCAAGGCATTAAATGTTCGTTTCACAAAGCTCAGCCCTTTTTTCTGACATTCCGAAGCGAAATCCATGGTTGTGTACTCAACTTTGCTAGGAAGGCACCTTGTCATTTTTTTTTTTTCAAATAACCTACGAAATATAATACGAAGCGGCAGGAACCGCATTCTCTGATTACAACAGAACCTGGGAAGCATGCGACATTTGATGGACCGCCTGGCCAAGCAAAATATGTCAGTGGGAACAAAAAGAACGAAAAAAGATCGGAATGGATATCAAAATTTCGCCTAGATCTGCTCTCTTTTAATGGGAAATGTACTATTTTAATCAAGAAGACCATTTGGGTAAACTTAATTGGAAAATCTGAATGGCCTCCTATATGTTTGTTGACTAAGCGACCATCAACCAGCTTGGCACGCACTTTGTAAGTTTTTCTTTTCTGCTCCAAAGTAAATAAGTAATAAACTCGAGAAAAAACTTCAAGAGCTTTCTCAGAATTTCGTATTGGAGCAACTCGACAAACGGCTAACAATGAGAGCTTAAATAGCTGTAGTTAAGACTGGCCAGAAGAGCCGGCGAGTTAAATAAATCATTTGGAAGCGGCCAACAAAAAAGGCGAAAAGTCTCAGCCGGTCATACTTCCTCGTCGGAGAAAAATTCGCAGCGGAAGAAGAGGAAAAAAACTATAGTCTTCTTCATCCCATCGAGACGCGTTTAACTAATACTTTGATGAAGAGCAGCCCTTTTTTTCGCTATATATTCGAGGATACGAACTTGGTCTTCAGTTGGGAGAAGGTCTTTTTGTTGTTTGGAGTGACTGGTGGCGACGTTTTCTGCGGCGGCGAGCACGTGTCTGAAAACAAACAAAATCACCTCATCTTTTGGGAAATATGTCGTGAATTGACTGCGAGATCGCAGTCGAAAACCAATGCTTTTTCCAAAATAAAAAAGCAAAAAAGAACTGTTCATAAGGGTTAGTACCTCAAAATGAATTTTCTGAATTTTTTTTTCAAATTTGAGAACCCACTCCTAGCAGTTGAAACATTGGAAAAAAAAGATTCTCTCAATAAGAAAAAAATTTGGAGGAAGAATTCATTTTTCTATCATTTCGCTGATTCACAACTTTCTCATGAGTATCCACCTCGATTCGTGCTCTCGCTGTCGGTACGGACGCGATGGATGTCGCAGCCGCTGTCGGCCAGCGCCTTGTTCTGGTATCGGAGCGACTGAAGCAGCGACATTCGCCGTCGCCGCGGCGCGTAGCAGTTGTAGCCGCTGGCGACGTCGTCGCTCACGTCGGCTGAACCTCAAATTTATATTCAAAATCGATTCAATTCCATTTCATTTCTCCTTTTGCAAGCGGCTCCAACCCATATGCTTTTTCCTTCCAAAACAAGTCCAAAGAAATTTCCTCTGCAATCATTCAAATGGACCCCAAAAATGTAAATTTCTAAAATTTGATTGCAGCACGCGGAGCCGCTTTCTTTCTCGTAAAAACAGAATAACCAAAAACGTATTCGAGAACATTTTTGTAGCTGAAATGACTTCCCCTTCACTTTGTGTCTACAGTTTGTAATCGTCGCAATTTTCGCATAATGCAAAAAATAAAAAAGGCCGGAAACGTTTAAGGAAAAGTTGAAAGAGCACAAAAAACCTTCAACAATTTAGTACTACTTCCGTCTGGTTTGAAAGATTGTTCCTTACGATTGAAAAAAAGTTAATTGCTGAGAGGTTGTGGGCGTAAAACGCCACGACTATTCAGTCTCTTCGAAAGAGAAAAAAAAAACGGAAGATTCTATCTTGCATTGTTCCCTTTTGTCGCTAGCTATACACTTTTGCAAGCAAACGATCAATCTCTAAAATGAGAAAGAAAGGAAATTGGAGGGAAAACGAAGGAAAAGGCTGGAAGAACGAACCACTTGTGCCGCGACGAGCGAGTCTCTCGCGGATCGGCACGTGGGGCACCATCGGCGAGCAGAACGGCTCTGAAATCCCATGTTTAGGAGAGCTCTAACGAATTCCGAGAAATTAGACATTTTTATTTTGTGACACGGCTGTTCCAACTTTGATCTGCTCTCAGAAGCTCTGAAAAGATCAAAGTTTGTCTCAGAAATCCAATGGAACAGTTGCTTTTTAACCTACAAACCTCCCCCTCACGAGAGGGAGAGAGAATCAAAATCAATTGTTTTTTTCCGCCCACAGCTCATTTTATTTGTGTTCGTGCGTTAAATTTACTCAAGAGAAGCCCGTTGATACACAGGAAGAATGATATCATTCTCTTTAAAGAACAAAATCCAGAAAGTTTTCTCTCGATAGGAAAAAATGGAAGGAAATGGGGAGTCAGTCTAAAAAATGCCAAGTTGCTCCAGCCGACCACATCCGGTTTTAGCCTCACTCGGACACCAACCGAATTCAGAGCCAATCGAGCCCCGAGGCATCATAAATCCAGGCCGAGGCGTCAGCGAATTTCGCTTCTGCTTGTGCTTGTCGGCGTCGTCGATCAGCAGCCGGAACATGATGTAGTCGTTGACGATGCTCATGTTGCTGCTCAGCATTCGAGAGCAAAATCTGCGGATTCGAGGTTGGGAGGGGACTGAGAACGAGCGAAACGAAGGATGAAGAGGTCCTTTATAAGAGAGGTTGTGTCGTGGACCGAAAACCGCTGGCGTGGGTCCAAAACTCGCGAAAAGCAGGAAAATGATGCGTAGGAAAAATATTGGGGGCGTTCGAGTGCGGAGGTCAACACGGAGACAAGTGATAGGCAAAGGAACGTCCAGACAGAGATCATAAAAAATTATGGTAAACAAAGGTCAAACTAGACATCGTGCTTCTTGTCATAGCAAAAGAATTTTTGGAGTCTAAACGTTATTTGGATCGACTTCTGGAGAAAAATAGAGCCAAACTACATTATATTTTAATTCAAGATAATAACTACTCTGGCTCGTAGTGGTCGACGCTCCTCAAATTGCAAAAAAACTTGTTTTCATTAATTTTCACCGCAGAAGTTATTTTTCCTGTAATGAATTACCTCATTAATCTTGAATAATATTTTTTTAAATAATCTATGAGGCGAAATCTGAAAAAGCATCGACCAAACGCCAGAGGATATTTTGATCCACCAGAAGGTGAGCTATTTCGAAAATTCTCACCTAGTCTCAAAAGAGTTTCGAATGAAATATACTGCTATAATCTTTCTCAAAGTATCTAAATGTGAGAGGATTTTTCTAAAGCGACAAAAATGAATCTCGCTGTGGGATGTGCCGTATTGACACTACGCAAAACAAGTATTCTGTGAAGCGCCAACTATTTTGTCCTGAGGACAAACATTTCAAAGTCACACGGTGAAATCCGAACTCTCGCGGCTCAGCGCTGTTTATTGCCTATTTTCCAGCTCGTCGCCCTCAAAGTTCGGAATTCTTCGCGTCGACAATGAAACCGAGGGAAAATGAAAAAAAAAGAAGTTGAGAGGTGTTCGTTGGAGCAGAATGAAACATATGGGGACAGCGGCTAGAGCTGAGCCGGTGTCATTTCGAATGAGCTCGGCGGAGCCCGCCCAGCCAGTGGCGCCGCCTCAGGCGTTTGCATGAAATGGGCGGAGTTGCCTGGTGGCGTCAGCCGAGCACGACTTTCCATTACGGTACGCTTCGAAAACCAGTTTACAGTGTTGAATCTCTAAACGGGTGTTCCAAATTGAACAGGAAAATGAGGATTCTTTTCGGAGAAATGAAGATGAAAACTATTGCACTTAAATCTGCAATTTTTGAAGATTTGACAAAGTTCAGCCTAACCAGAACTTTGACATTTTTTTTCTGAAACTTTTTTCTATGTATGTAACAAAAAAACTTTGATTTTTCAATTTGGAAAAAAATATCTTTTTTTGTATGAAAGATGTTCACGTTACATTTTATTGAAAAAGTATCTAGGAAACGGCGTTCACTTCAGTTTTGTAGTTTGAGATTCTTAGAATTTTCACGTAGCACGTCAAGCTTTTTCTGACCGAACTCCAAACTTTCAAAAAATTTCGACGTTATTAGTAAAATTACCTTCTCTCTCATGCAATGAATGAAATGACTTACATAAAAAAAATATGTTTCACAAAAACCAAAAGCAAGATGAAAGCTTTAAAAAATATCAAGATAATCCATTTTTTTTTGATCCAGAGGATATTTTCGGCTTCGAAAGCCACACATACAGACAACCAAAAAGTGACATGGAAACTCGCTTGTCAATTCTTTTTTTTCGCGGGTTATTGTTGTCGTTTTTGACACCACTAGAACCGAAAAAACAAAGTCTCGCCGCTTGGGATCATCTGGGGTTAAGGTTTTTTTTTTTTGGGATTCGTCTTTGAACTTTTCCCAGACAACTTCCTATAGAAGCTGATCAAAAATGCATCGAAGAGCCAAAGAAAAACGTGTCACACCAATCAGAGCCGCTGATTAAAACAGCTTTCTTGATCACTTTCTAATAATTTTTCAGAATAATAAATTCATTCTTGCGCATTATCAAGTGATTTATTCAGAAGAACGGGGCTTCGAAAAAGGATACAGTAGAATTTCTCGAGTTTTCTAAAATTTTTTTTTTTTTCGAATGAGCTCGTGTATCGTTTCGACCTTATTTCTGATTTCAAAGTAAGAAAAGGAAGATCCTGCTTGCTTCAGAATTTTGCAAAGAAAGACTTTAACAAGGAAGCAGAAGAACTTTGCGGGATTTATTCACAGGAGATAATCGGGGAGCAGCGCGGCATCGGTCATTCAAGTCGACTTGCGACCTGAGACTCAGAGAAGAAATCAAGAAGGAAGGTTCTGAAGAATCAAGAACGAAGTAGATTATCTCCGTGAAAAGAGCAAGACAGCGAAATCGCACGAAACTTTCTGTTAAGTTTCGTTGTAGTCATCACAATTACTGTCCATCAATGTGATGGATTCATAAATGTTTAACTCCAAAATTTTGACATTTTCTATAACAATCTTAAGGTTTTGATTCTATTGATGTTAGCGAAAATTTGCTGAACGAAAATTCGAGTCTAAACGTGAGCTTCGGCCTCAAAACTTCCAAAACTCATGGAAAATGAACCGATTGGTCAGAAGTCAAAGTGCTCCTTCGCATTACACGGACGGCTTATTTCGTTTTGCTCAAACTGGGACACAAATCATCGACTTTTCTAAATTCCAGAGTTTCAAACCATTCATTACGAGGTCTGGAAGTTGTTATTAGGCGCTGTTTGTGAGTACGAATTGCCTCGAAACATTTAGCGTAAGATTACAAAAAAGTTTGTCTCAAGAAAAAATCTCAAGGTGCAATTTCGGAAAAGGAAACTTTCTGCAGCTTGTCTAGGCTCTAATTAAAAGTAGGTAATAGATAGTGTATCCTACTGTAGAAACATTTGAAATGGAGCAGGTGGAAGGAAAAAGCAGCCGGAAATCCGAAAATAGCGGAACAGCCGTGCGGATATGATAGAGAGATCAAAGTGCCTCGAACAGCCCACTTTCCGATGGTTCCGAGGCCAACAAACGGCCCCCGATCCTCTTTTTTCTCGACGCTTCTTCTGTTTGCTCAATCTTAATTTTAGATGGGCGATCAGGTACTTTGCTCTTTGTATTACGATGATTTCGAAAAAAAATTGGATTGAAATGGGGAAATGAGACAATGACGTCTTTTTTTTGGTACAGAAACCTGCGTAGTTTTAATTGAATGTGTCATAAAAGGAAGTGAAACTTGGTGGAATATATTTTTATCCAATTTAAAAGACGTCACATATCTCGCTTGGAAACTTTCTCATGAGTTTATTGGCTAATTGGCTATAAACACGGGAAAAGTCATAAGATATTTGTAGAATCTCGTGCAAGATGACACTTGATAACGTCCAAGGAAGTATTTCGATTCGAAGAAAACAAGAATATTAATTGCAAACATAAATTTCTACAGTAAACCTTCAGCCGCCGAATAGAAAACCAAACAAAAAAATTTCGAGTTTGAAGTTCTTGGAAGAAAATTGGAATAATCTTTGAGGTCCGCTGTTCTTTGGAAAACTTAAAACCTTCTTTCAGTTGGGAAAAAGACAAAGAGATGAAAAGCGGCGTTCGTTAATGTTTCGGGGCCTTTTCATGGCTTAATTTTGGGTCCTGCGAACCACTTAACCGTGCAAAAGTCTCTTTTCGTCAAGTAGAAAGAAAGTCAGCGAAAATCGCAGTAACCAATATATTTCCAAAGAAGCTTCAACTTTGAAGATTCTTGAGATTTTCGAAAATCAGGAGAGCTAAAAGTAGGTGTTACAAGATCGAAGATCAATCCTGAACCCAAAAATGTTTATTAGCTCCCGTGAACCTGAATTTTCGAATGTGAGATCAATGCATTCTTTTGAGTTAGTTATTAGCAATTCCAAAACTTCATCCACCTTCTCTCAGTACTTTCGCTCGGTTGCTCGTTTTTTGTTGCTAGGAAAGAAGAAACAAAGGAGTCATGTTCACAGAAAAAGCAAGTTGTTGTCCTGATAGAACTACAAAGTAGCCGAGTTTCGTAGTTTTCATCACGTGAACCTTTTTTGAAGCAAGAAGAACAGAAAATGTGAAGTATCATACGACTGGTAAAAAATATTTTTTTTGGCTTGATTTTGATATCCGACGAGTGCCTCAAACCAACTCAAACCAAAAAGCGATTAGTTGAAAATATTTTGATCGCATGCTTCTTTTTCAGAATAAGAATATCCCACGGCCTTCAATCTCATTTCAATTTTCGACCGTCATTATTATTCTGCGCCTTTTAAGGTTCGGAATGAAATTTTCGGCGAACGCATAAATTATAATGAAGGATGATGCCACCTACTTATTGCCTCAAAAGAATACGGTGGGATTTCAAATGCGATCCAAAACAAAATGAGATATTTCGTGGCCTTGTTTATATGAGCTTCTACAGATTCGTTTCGAATCGCTGAAGGAGAATTCCAACAACTTCTTCCCATGTTTGATAATAACTTTCGTGATATTTGATGGACCAAGAACTGATTTATTAGGTACTATTACTTCATAAATGTCTGCAGAGTTTGAGAAAATTTTCTCGGTAAGAGATTGCAAATTGTGACGAAAAGGCAAATATTAAGAAGTCGAGTTTTAATTGAAAGACAGCTGATTTTTAGGCCCTTTCTCTTGAAGACAAAACGGGACGAAGAAGCGAAGACAGGTGAATTGTTTTCGACTGAAAACTGAAAAAAAGTCCACTTAGCGGCGTGGGTTCTCCGCAAGGCCTTTCAACTCCTCTCAAAAGTTCAAGTTTTCTCGAAAATAAAAGCCGTTTTCAATTCGAACTTTCCCAATAACACTGATTTTAAGAACGCACTTGACAAGATCTCATCTGTTTTGAAAATAATGGTGATGGGGAATATTTATCGTCCAAAGGGCACTTAACTTGAAAAGCTGAAAATATGGGTACACAGAGGTGTGGAAATGGCTTTTTGGCTTTTCATCAGGTCATTCTTTCTCTTTCTCTCAGTTTTTGGATACTTCGATTGCTGTGAAATTACTCGAGCGTAGAGGATTATGACGATTTTCTTTTACAGCTCGTTTCTTCGATAACGAACCAATTTGCCGCTATTCGCAAACGCGGAACAAATTTCCAGGGCAAGAAAAAAAAACTGAGGATTCTCAGTTTTATAAATGGTGCCAAATTGTTTCCGCTTATGTCAGAAGCAGGTAGCTAAAAGGATGGAGAAAACGACTTTTTGTTGCTCAAAATTACTCACACATTGCGACTTCCGCAGTCCTTAGAAAGTTGGTTTGCTAAATACTTCAACGAGGAAAGAAAAAGGGAAAAAAAGTTAAATGCCGTTCTGAGAGGTTTTTTTAGTTACAAAAAAAACAAAAAAATTATTAAGCAAGTTTGGATTTTTCGTATTTGAAGTTTAGGCATTACTGGAAAGAAACCAAATTAGAAAAAGAAAGGAATCATGAAAAAACCCATTATTTTCTCCTAAAAAGTGGTTTATTGACTGCCAAACGTGAGAATTTATTCTTGAAAATCAGGAAAATGGACGATAATTGCTTTTTTCAAAAGACTTTCTCAAATATTCTCAGCCAGCAGCCACAATTATTATGGAAAAAAGATCAGAAATGACAAAAACAGAAAAAAGAACCAAAAGTGAAGCTGAAAGAAATTAATTTTTTTAAATACTTTTTTTCTTTTTGTTATTGACATACATAGCTTTCTCTTTCACAAAAAAATAAAAGGACAGAAAAAAGAGACGAAACATTTTTTGAAAGAAAGTCACGAAAAAACTGAGAGATCGGTGAGCTTTTCGCGCTCTGATGAACTCCAAGTCATCGGGGACTCCGATCACCAAAAAGCCAGTTCTTGTTTTCTTCCATTCTCTTTTTCTTAAAATCCAAGCTTTGCTTATTTTTTAAAAGATTTCGTCAGACGTTTCGAACAACAATAAAAATGACGCAGAATGTCTGAGCGTTTTTTGACCGTATACAAAAATCTTTTAGTTTTTTTCTAGCTACGGGAGCTGCAGTCACAAATTTTAAAAAATCGAATCACTGAACAAGCTTCAAGTCTTTTCTGAAGATCAAAGTTCCTTTTAACGTTGAAAATTTATTTCAAAAATTGCCGGAACCACTCATCAATGACCTAAACTAAAAGCTGGATGCCCTACAAAAAAATGAGAACCGAGTTTCATGAATCACTCTGGCAAGCCTAATTTCAGGCCAGAGTTTGAGCTGAAAAAAAAGCGGAAATATGAGCAGCAGATAGTCTTGCAACCTGACTGCACAGTAAATCAAAAGATGGTAATGAGTTTGAATTGTGGAAACTTTGACCTTTGTTCAATTTTTCATTGTTTTCTTATTTGGAGAGATTATTTGATCGAGAAGACGAATATACTCTTTGCAAATTTCCAGTTGTTGAAGGCCTATTTTATAGAGTCACAAAAGGTGTGAGAAAGCTTCCAAACTGGAGAACAAAACATTTCTTTTCAAGCCTTGCTCCCGTCGGTTCCAGCCTTCGAAATTTTTTTGAGGTTTTTCGCCAACATCTAGATTTTTGGAAATATGCTAGTGAGATCATCAAAAAGCTTCGAAACATTTTGAGGTCAAGGTCGAATGCAATACTTCCTTACAACCAAATTGAACCTAAATGAAGAAGTGAAAAATAGCGCTAAAAGGGTCGAGGCCTCATTTTCCGCAATACAAGACCACAACCACTACACACTTCAGCAAATTGTTGATCGAATGTGCAATTTGTTTTTCTTTGACATCATTCGCGTGCAAAATCTGGTCGGCCTGAATACCGGAGCGATGAAAAAAAAAAGGTAAATATTTTCATACCTTTCAGCTGAAATATAGAGACTTAAATATGAAACTGAGCGAACTTCAAGCAGAATATTAAACTTTTTATTAATCCACTTGACGTCAAAAACTATCTTGGCTTTTAATGTACAGTAGCGTAAATAGGTGAGTATTCAAAATTTTCGAAATTTCACAACAAAAGAAAAAATTATTTTCAAAAAATTCATGAACGAAAAACCAAAAAAAAGTACTCACCCATTCCCGCTACTGTACATATTTACATGTTCCAAAAACTTTTTTTTATGAGAAAAAACGAAAACTTAAAAAAGGAAGAGATTGTTTGGAATAAATTCATGCGCTAGAGTCACAACCGGTCAGAAAATGACTTCTGACCGAACGGTCTTTGTGGAAAGTCCAAAACACAATGACCATGAAAAAAGAAATGTTTCCCTTCGAGAGTGTATCCATCCAATATTGTGGACTATATCGCAGCGAGAGTAACGCTATACCGCGCGGGAGCCGAGAGCAATATCGCTCGCCTATCGCTGCGATTTCGCAAACGTCTTGTGCTATATCCCTCTCTGAATATTGTTTTCTTCGAAAATTTTTTTTCCTTTAATTTGATCCCTTTCCTCATAAAAGTCAAAAAAATAAAGCAAAAAAAAATTTTTTTGATTTCAAATTTTTGAGAGGGAGCGATATGGCAGCGAGACTTTGACGAGATCGCAGCAAGAAGCCTTGGCTATATCGCCAGCGGCTGCGATATCGGCAATCATGTTTGGTTTCGGTCAATTTTCCCGTTCTTCATTTCTTCTAAATCCGACTACTGAACAAGCAGTTGCTTTGAAACAAAAAGTCATCGATCGAACGAAAAAAAAGAAAACTAAAAATAAAAAATGTTTTTTTTTTCATCTGAACTCCTAACCGTGTAATTTGAAAATAGATTGATAAAAAATAAGCGATAGTCCATACCCGGAATCGTACAAATTCCTACAAACATTGCTCCTTCCACAAAATCTCGTACCAAAACGTTTCCGGCGCGTGGTGTCGCCTTTCCAGAAGAGAAGGGCTCGGTCGGCGGCGGCGGGACTGCTCGGGCCAGCGCCTCGGCCGCCCAAGTGACCCATGGGACCGTAGAACGGCGAATGGTGCCCATGATGACCCATCGGCGAAAGCAGATGCCGCGCCCCGAACTGCGTGCCGAGCAGCATCCGATCCGGCTTCTCGTTGTCTCCCCACATCTAACTCATTTCTGGAAAGTCTTTCTGCTTGTCCCGATACGAGAAAACAAACCGATCGCGAAATAGATAGAGGGAAAAAAAAATCAACTCGACACATAGCTACAAAAGTAACATAGAGAAGATAATCAAAGATATTATGAAAAAAATTTCGTCTTAATGAAAACACGCAAGTTTGATTTTTTCACGATCAGAAACTTGTTCATATGAAGTTTTCCGGATAAAAAAGTTCAGTTTTTGTTCGCCATAAAAAAACTCCCACATTTAGAAAAAATCTGAAGCTTCATTGATCGAATATACTGGAAGGATTTTTAACTAAAAACTGAAGTTGTCGATCTTTTGTCAAACATTTTAAAATTAATATTCGGCTGAAAATTTATAGTAGTTGCAAAACGATTATCGAACAATTTCAACCAAAATTTATCAACTTCGAATCATTTTTTTAATAACAGGATTAGGATGGAATTTTCATAAATCAACGTGCAGCCGAATTGGCTCTTAAAAGTTGTCGGCTCAGAGGGCGATCTACCGTACGGAAAAAGCAATGATTCAAAAAAGTATTGAAAAGTTTTGGCGACTAAACCGAGGCGCGGTTTGAGCGGAAAATAGAATAAAATTGAAAAAAAACGAGAACGAAGAAAAAAGTGAGAAAAAAGGGGGAACCGAATATTAGTCAACGGAGGAGATGTAACGAAGAAAATAAGGACAAAAATGATCCGTGGTAAATGTTAGCACGATAGAGTTGTGATAAAGTGAGTCCAATTTTAGTCATATTTCAATGAGAATTTGGTATAAACTGTTCGAATAAATTTTAAAACTTAATTTAAACATAGGAATTACTCTGTTAGAGGTGAGCTTGCTTGAATTTGTCTCCGTTGTAGTTTTCTTTAAGAAATAGTAATTTGTTCAAACGTTTATTAGGTCTACTGAATATCATTCAGAGCATACAGTGTAGGAGTTGTCATGAACGATTTGATCGCAGAAAAAATTAATCCTAAAAGTTCTTTCTCGGATTAAAGACAAGAACAATAATCATGAACTTTATCCAATTTTCAGGGTTTTGATCAAAAAAAAGTTGGAAAAAATCAATCTTTCGAGAATATTTGAAGTAAACGACATTAAAAAAAAAATAAATAATTGCAAGCTTTTTTACAGTTAGGTAAAGATAATTACTCCAGAAGATGTGCGAAGAAAATGAAGAGAGAATTTTTGTCCAAAATATTCTTAGGCGTTGTTTTTTTAATGTAAAAAATAAGTTTCTTTCCACAAAAAAAACTTCACAAAATTTCCCAACGAACCTTAGCCGGTCAAACAATGTTCGTGGGAGCAAGATCAAAGCAACAGATGAAGCTCCCAAAAACCACCAGGAAGAAAAAAGTGCTGACAAAGGGCGTCGTTGGAAATTCGAAGAAGTTTCGGGAACAAAAGCGGAAAAATTCTGAGGAGAATAACCGCTGCAGGTGACACCGCAGAAGAGAGTGAAGAGGGGAAGTTTCGAAACGGACAGGTGAGGTCAAAAGTTGCGAGACTTCTCAGAATTTCACAAGAAACCTACTCTAGAAACTTTGAAAACATAGCTCTGAATCATGAACATAGTTGGGTGTTTGAAGAAGCAAACTGCGAAGAAAAAACCGAGTGTACAAGAATTTTTCGCGCATTTTTTTGAAAAACTAATAAAAAAAGTATTAAGAGACTAAACAAGAGAATTTTCGTCAATTTCAAAAAAAGTGAAAAAAATTTTTGAGCTAAAATTGTCATAGAATAATAAAATCATAGAAAAAAAAGCCTCATGATTGGAAGATTCAAGAAAAAAATATAATAAAATGAGGTTAGAAAAATGCTAGCCAATGGATTTGAATGAAAAATGATTGTTTGAACAGAATTGTTCAATTTAATGAGCTCACATTCGAAGATTAACGGAAGATAATAGGATTTCGAGTCCTCAAAGAAAAAGTTCAGTTCTTCAGGATAGACAAATCGGCGTTTTGCAGATTTCGAGCTCGCAAAAAGAACATATTAGCTTCGACGAACAGAATTTAGGCTTCGAATTGAAATGCAGCGTTTTTTTCAAAAGAAAAAATAACACTAACAACAAGGAAGAAAATTTGGTGAGTTTTTTTCGGCCAAAAAAGGATCAAGCTAGAAAAAAGGCCGTGGCGGCGAAAGGAAATTCTACGAAGAAAAACCATAAATTGGAGGAGACCTGCGAAAGTGAAGTGCTCCCTTGGGACTCGTGGATAATTCGACCGATTCGAGTGCGCAATGAAAAACGATACTCCTCAGAGCTACGACCATACACGAGAGCGAGCAGATTCTTGAAAGGTGGCCATCGAAAAAAAAAACTTCAGGTGAAAAATTCAGAGTTTAAAGCTTGAACTTTTGATGCATCTTTTAAAATCTTTCAGAAGTGACGAAAATGTGTATCAGCTATGGATAAGTACAGAAAACGGTCATTTCTTGAAAGGGAAACTGACAAAAATCGAAAAAAAAAATGTAGAATTGTGCTTTTGTAGAATTATTCTTGTTTTCAATGTTGCTGTGAGCGGGAAAAACATTATTAGATTTTGCAATGTCACAAAACAACTTCAACTCCTTCAGACTAATGTTGAACCATTAAAAAAATAATATTAGCTCTTAATGGCTGTTTTTTTCGATTTTTTACTTGTCATTCTAATTGAAGGACTTTTCAAACAGATTTCGTTCAACTTATGATTGAATTAATTGAAAAAAAAAGCTCAAAAACCTTCAAGAAAGTATTCAGGTGACTATATAACTTCTTCAGAGAAGGAAGTCCTGAATAGAAAAATTCAAACTTTGTTTTTCATGAAATTATCGGATGAATTTTATAAATTCGTTGATCTTTCTGTATGATTTTTCCAAATGTTATTGACTTTCTGGAAAGTTCTGGAAAAAATTTCAAAATTTTCTTTACTTAAAAGTGGCTTGAATACTTTCGGTAAATACCTATACCTAGTTTCGACGCTTCTTATTTCATATAACTTCTATCCAAAATTTAATTGAAAGAAAGATGATCAACAGAAAAAAAAAATCCTCGATGTTAGGTAGCACAGGCAAAACGTAAAAAATTGAAATAAAAGATGGAAAAGTAGAGTCGTCGTAACAGTGTTGTGGGGCTATACTCAGTGGACTGGGAACACTTTCCAGGCAGACCGGAAGCCCTCGGGCCGGCCACCGTATGCCCTCACGCTCGAGTCAACTGCTTCAAAATTCGAGGTTTTTCTCCTCCGATTTCTATTCCGAGACCTCTAAACGTTTCATAAGTCTCAAGAAAAAATGTTGTAGATCCAAGGCAAAGAATGAATGTTGTTTCCGGTTGGTCACCTGGCTACGTCAAACCATTAAGAATTTCTTCACTCACAGTGGGGTTCCAGTTTCTTTTCTTTTTCCCTTTCTTTTTTTTGGCACCGCCTAAAAAATAGAGTTAGAAAAAGAACAGAAAAATAGAAGCGTTTTTTGAAAGGAACTACAGGATATAATATTAGCTTCGTAATTATAAAAATAAAACTCGGTCGTGAATTCCGACTCGAAAGAATGCAAACGCATAATTTCTACGTTTTTCTATTCTAAAAAATTTATCAAGATATTTTAAGGAATAATTGTTTTTTCTTCGAAGAAGCGACTAAGTAATCGTAAGAAACTTCGAAAAGAAATAATTCAGCATCAAATAATCTCAAATAGTTAGGCATTGAAAAATTGTTTTACTGCTACTCAAGATGTAAAATTAACACTTTCATCAAAAACAGTGCCTCATTTTTTTCGTAATTTACTTCTTTTTTTATTATTTTTTTCTGTGCAGCAAACTCAGCTCAGATTCTAAACTTAAGCTGGGTAAGAAGAGATTCAAAAAAAGGGGAAAAGCCAGACGAAAAAAATAGGCGATCAGGAGAAACACAATTTACTCGTCGGTAAGATTCCTTGGGCAAATAAACTGCGGAAGAAGGCAATTTCGATGGGGCGTCGAAAAAGGCAAAATCACGGCATTGCGTGTGATCCGAATAATTCATGGAGGTAGCACCGGGGGTCTTTTTCACTTTTTTTTATCTTGTCTTATATATTTACGAAGCCTCCAACTTCCTTGTGACGACGTCTGTTTCACATTGGCCTGATTAGGAGCCGCTTCGACTCGTCTTCTTTTTTCAGAAATCCACCCAAAACAGGAAGTCCGACGACTTAACCGCCATTTTTCACGAGAGGAGGTAATTTTTGAAAGAAAACAGACCTTAGGCTCCAGAACAACCTTTTCCTACTTTAAATGTTCATTTGAAAATTGCGATACGGTATACTGACATAAAAACTTCAAGAATGTGATGAGTTTAAAAATTATCAAATAGAAAGGATAAGAAAATCTTGGCCCAACTTGGAACTTGAGGAAAATTCATGAAAATTGTTGAAACTTCAGAAAGAATAAATTATGAGTTATATCGCTGATAATGAATCAAAACTCATTACCCGGAGGAAATGACTCGTGCTCATTAATTAATCTAACTGAAGATTCATAGAAAAACTTTCAGAAAGGAGAAAAAAATGAAAATTTTCCATTGAAAAAAAGATTAATGAATGAATTGGTAATGAATAAATTTAAAAAAAATCAAAGATCAGAAACCGGTTTATCTTCAGAATTTTGCTGAGCAGAAACTAAGGATAGAATCTTTTTTTTGATTTCAATATGAAAAAAACTGTCGAACGTCATAAAAACTCGTCAACTAAAAATAGAGAGTTTCAAGCGGAAGAAGAAAAACCTTTGAGGAAAAGAGAAAATGAATAAAAGGAAAGTTCCGATTAGATAAATAAAATATGATCAGTTTTTTTTGCACGAGAGAAAATGATGAAAACCCCTGCAAAAAGGTAGAAAAACGAATTTAAAAAGGTCAAAAAATCGAAAAATCGAAGACACCAGCTCTAACATGGGCGCCTAAAGATCCCCATGATTCTTTCTCTGACACACGCTATTTCGTCGTTATCTAGCTACCTTGAAACGACAA